TATCCGGTGAGTCCCACATAACCACCTGCATGTCTACAGGTGGTATGCGTAAATGCATTTCCCAACAAAAAAATATAAATAAAAAAGTGCTAAGATTGATATGATGAGAATATAATATGTAAGGTTTGCATTTGTTGGGTACGAATAACATATAACTGAGTGTTATAGACTATAGTTTTTTATTACACCTTTTGCATTTCTTACGCCTCTTGCGTATGAAAACTAGTCCAGGGCGGAACGGATTATTTCAATTAAGTCTTCGAGTAAAATTAAATGGACGATGGGTGATGATGATGTCAAAATTTAAAAGATTTTGTTTGGGCCATTTGGTGATGAGATTTCCTATAAATTAGTAAGTGAAAATAGTTTTTTTTATTTTTTTTTCACACCGTTATATTTCAAAACGAAAACTCTTTGGTAATCTTAGCCCAGTAGCTTATGTAGGAGGCATGATCAGAATTGCACGCGGGCGTTCAAACAGCTAGCGGAGGGCCTGCGCCAGACAGAGTATTTTCCACGCTATTCAACCAATCAAACCTAATCAACAATTAAAATTACTTCGCAATAACCCTCTAGGATGTGCTGGTAATGACTTTTGTGACAAATTGTTAATTTCCTCCATTTCATGTGTTGGTACCTACACAATATATATTGTGAAATTTTGCCGCCCTCTAAAGATGCAGCCCCTCCCCTCCACGCTACGTCATTGCATACTCATGACTTGTAATTTATACTATAACTCAAACCAAATAGTAAGTTATTATATTACATTAAAATAACAAATATTTTTTAACTCAGCGCGAATCTTTAAAAAAATACTTTACACATTTTGTATATAAATATAATTAACACAGCCATAACAACAACTTTAAAAATGTTGATATATAATAATAGCAAAAAAATATATTTAAACATGACTAGCACTTTCGCTCGAGCTCTAAACCACGCACTCTTTAGTGACATTTTAACTACAAATAAGTTTACTTATATAAGTAGTTCGTGGGGCAAAAAGTAGCTTGTCGACTCATAAAGTATCTGTGACGTTCTATCGAAAAATGTGAAGTTAGGGGTGATTTTCATCCTCTCGAGACCATAAAACATACTTTTCTTAGAAATGGCTAAACATTTCAATTCAATTTTTTTAAGTTCATTATATGTATTTCGAAGACAACGTTCCCTGAGTTCCATAGAAATCAAAAGATTATTCTAGAAATTAAAAATAAAAAACCAAGAAAAAGTAAAAAACCGAGTTTTTTGCAAATATCTCTAAAACTTTGAGGTTATTGTAAAAAGTGTTATTTATAAAAGTTGTAGATTTTAGTAAAAATATTAGTAGGGTTTAGTAAAACCTACAACTTTTGTAGAAAATATTTTTCGATAGAACGTCACAGTAAGCCGGAAATTGAAAAAAACCATTTTTCAACGGTTTGCGTCCCTCCATTTCTCGGGGGTAGCTGAACACTTTTAAGTATTATTACGAATCTTTTGTATGGGAGTATAGAAAAGTGTTGTTTTTAGACTTTTTCAGGCAATTTTTAAAATTTTTCTCTCCGTAAGAACCATCCTGGTACTTCAAGGAATATTCTAAAAAAAAAGAATTAGCGAGATCGGTTCAGCTGCTCTCGAGATTTGCGCTTACCAACACATTCAGCGATTCAATTTTATATTATAGAAGATTTGGTCGTCAATGTAAAAGTGCCATATCTAACTTGTATTCAAAGTCGTTAAATACCAAATCATTTGAATGTAATTATACTCTTTGAATTTACATAGTTAGTTTCGAAGTATGTTAAGGTTATACAACTTTTGCATTAACTACTTTTGTTATTTCTATACAAATGAAATACAAATATTGAGCAAAATAATCTTACAAAATATAGCAATTGTAAATTGTTTAACACATATACACGGTAAACTTCTCCATAAGTCATTACAATAATCATCTTTCATGAAAATATCCAATATTATTATCATTAATAAACCTTTTTTATTACAGACAAGTAATAATTAAACATACATTGTCTAAAAAAAAATTTTAAATCGACTAGCGACTTACCCTCGCCTCGCTCTGGTCCGTCCCTAGTTACGTTTTAACGTTTCGTATAGATTTCTTAGAGATGAGATATTTTCCCGAGGAAAAAGTATCCTTTATGTTGACCCGGATAACCAGCTATCATCATACCAAATTCCATCAAAATCTGTCCAGTGATTTTCTCGTGACGCGGTCACAGACAGACAGACAAAAATTCTAAAAAAATATAGATTCAGCCTCTGTATCGATAATGATGACTATTTCAATAAGATTTTCCAAAAAATATTTAATGTAGAGATACGACTCTGTTAGAATTTTATTATATGTATAGATAGGGATCGTGCGTATAAACTTTTACGCCAACTAGTGGTAAGCACCTGAATTTGTTGGGATCATTTTTCAATAATGCCAACGTGAAGAAAATGTTGTTTTTTAATTTGATTACACTAAGAATTTTTAAAGTAATTTTTTTATACATACCATAATTTTCCTGTCATAAACATTTGACACACTCGTTTGTGGTACAACTTTTGCGGGTCAGACAGAAAACCTATATGGTAGTTCCTTTTGACCTAGAATCACGAAAGTTGGCAAAAAGCAAGGTCTTACTTACAGCACCAATAATGGAAAAATTCTAAAAAATAAAAAAAATCGAAAATTAAAGTTAAACAGATTCTCTATAAATTTGTACGGAACCCTCGGTGGGCGAGTCCGACTCGCACTTGTCCGTAATTTTTATAAATATTCTGTGTTTACAAATGAACGTTTTGATCCCACTATCTTCGGGAATAAAACACTAGAGTGACAATAGTGCTGGCCTCTACATTTCGCGCACGGTCCCCATTATCGTTAAAAAAAAACAAATTTCTATGGAAACGTGTTAGAAGTAAAACTTCATTCATACAAATCTGTAAGATTAATAAAAAAAATTTTTTTATATATTACACTCAGACAAAAATATGATTCTAACGAATATCACACAAAAGAGAAGAGAATAATATTTCATGTCTTTATATCTAGCTGGATTCTTACTTCCATCGCATATACTCTAAGGGAGGAACCCGAGCGAATCTTTGAAGATAGTAACGGAAAGAATGTCATATATGTCATTTTTCAGACAACATCGGTTACTATGGCAACCGTGACTGTTTTCAGTGACGCGACCTTGAAATTTTACTCTCATGGCCGCAAAGAAGTTTCCATAGAGTATATTGCTACATATATAAGAAGTTTCACTTCAATAAATGTACAATAGTGCCTTTCAGCATACTCGTAGATTGTGTCAATTTATAGAACAACTGATTTCGGAGGACATGTTAAGAAATAATAAATAAGGAACAATTATCGTGATAGCAATATTGTGGACTGCTATGATCTTAATTGGTGCTTATTTATGTCAAGGACCAAAGTTGACAAACTGACAACATAAATTAAAACAACAAAAAAATACATAAAAATGTGCTACACAAACAAGACAATTAATAAAAATAACATATATACTAGACTTGCAACGAATATTCGGCTATTATTCGGTATTCGGTCTATTCGGCTACTTTTTTTTTATTCTGCCGAATACCGAATATGTAGGATACTACTTAGCCGAACAAGGAATACTTAAGTAATACTTAAGTAAACTGCCTCGGTGGTGTAGTGGCTAGCATGCACGGCTGCACACCCGGAGGTCCTGGGTTCGAGTCCCGGGTAGGGCCAAGTTTAGTTATTGAGTCTTCCTGTATAGTAAGTCTCAGTAACAGCCCGGAGTTGGGAAGTTGGCGGTGTTTCATCCCCGTGCCTCGGAGAGCACGTAAAGCCGTCGGTCCTGCGCCTTAACTCTCACCGGTCGTGTCGAGTGGTCGTCCCACCGGAGTATGAGAGTGATAGGAATAGAGAGTGCACTTGTGTCTGCGCGTACACTTGAGCACTATAATATCTCCTGCGCAGTTGGCTAATCTCATTGAGATTGGCTGCCGTGGCCGGAATCGGCTAGGAGAACATCATCACATCATCATATTTTGTTGTAATCAGTTAATTGGTAAAATGAATGTATTTTTTTTTATAATAATATGTTTTTCCTATAATCGTTAAAGTAATCATAGGTACATAATCAAGTTTTGTATTACAAAAATTAACCAAAAAATATTGTTATGCACTTGCATTATCATAATTCAAATTTAGAAGTGACAATCCCAGCTTCAGAGAAAAGACGCTCTGAATAAACTACTTCCTGGCGCCAAACAGACACAAACACGTCGGTTCAAGTTTTCCCACCACAAGTTTTGCGCTGACCGAATGAATACTTTTGCCTAATATTCGGCCAGAAAGCCCACCCAATATTCGGTATCCGGCATATGGCCGAATATACTATTCGTTGCAAGTCTAATATACAAATATAAAAAATAAGTAGGATATATTACAATCAATGTTTATGGCACAAAAATAAAATATTGCACAATTAACTTAAAATAATATGAGATACCTCAAGTCCATACAAAATTGTTATTTAGAATGCAAAGATTATTATAAATAATATAATTAAAAATAATTTCATAATTTGTCTGACAAGAACATTACAGATTTAAATAATGTTTTTTGGTAAACATCATAAGTTTCTTTTTAGGTAGTACCAACATAAAAAGTACCTTAAGTCACTCTAAACAGCAATAAAAAGACATTGAGTAGAAAGTTGATATGAATCCTTTATTTTAGTTAGATGTATAGCTAATTTAAAAGATAATATCTGTAATATAATTAGTATATAATATCCATAAATCTGTTTCTGCGCTGAGCTGAGAAACTTAAAATCCTTAACAAAGAATAAAATGAATATGAGCAGATAAATAAATAAAGTAGGATCAAATAACTATAATCTTTACATCCTTAGCTTACAGCATAACTGAAACCCTAACTGTATTGTACCCAGCTACAGAATCTGCAATGTTTAATTACAGATTGCACCTCCAATATGTCATATTTGCAAATGTAGCGGTACCGGACGAGTCTCTGCAGGTCGCCTGTCAAGGTGTACTCTATCCCTCATGAGCCGCAGACTATTTTCTGTAACCTTTGTACATCCTCGGACTAAAAGGCCTTCTAATTGTTGGCAATGTAAAGCGAGGGCACTGAAAAAATAAATAAGCATCATAAGGATGGCAACATCCTAAATGTTAGTGAAATTGATGTTCAATAAAACTACAATACTGCCCACCTGAGCCTAAAGTGCAGTAATAGACATTTTGGTCGGTTTTGAGTTAAATATATATTCTAAATCCCCATTTTAGTAGCTATCAGTCAAATTAATTCTTTTTTCTGTAGCGCTAATAAAAGTATTTTATTTTAATGTTTTTTCGGAAGGTGTTGTAACAGCAAAAATATCACAAATCTGTTAAAATATTCCATGTTTACCAGCTAAACCGCAGTACAATTAATACTGCACAAGATTTTTCTCTGTTTCCTAACTAAACTGCAGTGTTTTATCATATTTTGTGGCACTTAAAATAGTAGTTTGTTCTAGGAGATTCAAGAAAAAACTTATTAAAATGCAGTATTATTCGACTCTATACAAATTGATTATACTGCAAAGGTTAAGAAAAAATATTTTTTATTTATATTCCTAATTAAAGTGCAGTATTAACATTCCATACTGCACATTAACTTGTGGGGGATTTTGTAATTTCTTGTGAAAAACTAAAAGACATGCAGTATTTAATAACTTTACTGCAGTTTAACTTTGTGTAGGATGTTTTGTAGTTGCTTGTAAAAAAAGACCATTTAGTTTACAATATTTATAAATTTTACTGCACATTAGTTAGTTTGCTTCATCCAATTCATACTACCTAAAATACTTAAAGTCAAATACTATTCCCTAATACTGCGTTTTAATAGGTAAAATTATTAAAATATTAAAACACAGGACAGGCAAATCGCGGTTTGAGGCAGTCTCCTTAATCTGTGGCCTAAGGCTGACTTGACGTGCCAAGCTGTGTCTGTACCAAAGAGATATGGAGGGTAGAACTAAGGAGAACTATTTCTCGTATAAAAAGTGACCGCTGACAAGCATTAAATTGGTGGCGCCACAGAAAACAAGTATATGAATCTATACATCTATACAGATAAATAAAATTGTAGTGTCTGTTTGTAATGTCAAAATAAACCTTTTTACTAAATGCATATGAAATTATATACGGTACTTATAAGAAAAACAAATTTTTAAATTTTTTTGTCTGTCTGTTTGTTCCGAATAATCTATAAGGTAACTGATGTTATAGGGAGTAATTTAGGCTACTTTTATTTAAAAAAAAGAATTAGAGTTCCGCTCAAAAAAAAGTATCCAGGGACGAACCCGAGTGAGGCGAGGGTGAGTCGCTAGTTAAAACATAGCGTCATAAAAGTAAGAAGGTGAATTAAACAAGGAAAGAAAGATTTCCGCTTTGCTGTGGCGCACTTTTCTAAATAGCTCTAGCATAGGCAAACAGCAATATAATTATATATTATTTTCAAGTAATAATAATTCAGCACACTTCATTCCGTTAAAAACTACTAACTTCACATCACATCTACTTGCTACGCTAGTGCTGTAAAGCTTAGTTCGCATTAAGCTAGTATTTTAGTCTAGTAGCGAGTAATTTAGTAGCTAAATTACTCGCTACTCACCAAAAATCGTTCGCACTTTGGTCGAGTACAGTTTACAAGTGAGTGGTGTTTTGCAAGATGAACAGCCTACAACGCAATAAAGTAAATAAACTGATTAAGCTGATCGTAACGGCTATTTTAGAAGAGGTGGATGAGGAAATTTGTGTGATTAATAAAAAGAAGCTATGGGTACGAAAATGGATCAAAAGACAAGATAAACTAGGAGCTACTAACTGTCTTCTGAAGGAATTAGCATTGGAAGATCCCAAAGAATACTTCGATAGTTTGAGAATGTCCGAAAGTTGTGTAAATTTTCTGTTAATGAATGTTATGGCGGCAACTAATGAACTCGACTAATTCGACAGGTTCGTACTTGTTTAGCCGGTGAACCAGTGAGCTCGGACGCGTGGTGGGGGCTGCTACTCGCCCAAAAAGATAGAATAAAATGGATTGACTCGACTAAATTACTTACTAAACTAATCGACTAAATTTTTAGTGTTCAGACACGTTTAGTTACTAAATTACGCGCTACTAAACTAAAATACTAGCTTAATGCGAACTAGGCTTAACCGAGAGTTTCTGAGCTATAATTTGCTGCTCACTACTGGACACTTTTTCAACCTGTTTCCCATATAAGTTAATTCTCCTTAGTTCTCCCTTCCATAATCTTTTCAGACTATTATTTTTGTAAGACAAGAATACTCGTTTAGTAATTAGTTATGTTCAGAAGAAAGATTTTATGTAAATTTTATTGATCCATGCATGAGAATACAAGTGATATAGTTTTATGGTGGATTAACTAGTTAAGATTATCAACATCTTGTAAAGATTGTTATATTGTTAGTCATATAAAACAATTTACACTATTAGATTATAATGTACAATGTTTTGATGAATAGTTTTAATAGCATAGTCATAAATGCATGTCCAGTTTTGTTTAAGAAATTACATATTTTTATCAAAATTAAAGGTAATTTTATATTACTATAAGTGTGGAATATCAGTGTTTTGTTCAAAAAAACAGATTAAATAGCAGTATTTTCATAATATTACTGCACTTTAGTTAGTAACAATCATGGAAGAAATGTCTAAAATGCAGTAATAACAGGATTTACTGCATTTAAAACAGTTTTTTAAAAGATTATACAAATAAAGTGTGTGTAGTAATAGGGGCAAAAAAAATTAAAATTGCCATAATTATAAGTTTTTTATAAAAAAAAACTAACGTAACAATGTTTAGTATTTTAGTTTGGTACATATTCTTTCACTTTCCATTCAAGGTTTTATCGAAAAATCTCTTTTTGATATATTTTTATGGATTCTAAACTTTAAGCGCGTTTTTCTCGAATTCGTGTTTTTGCTGTTACTGCACTTTAGGTTCGGGAGGGCAGAATATTAATATATATTATATATAAAGTGTATAGTTATTGTTTACAAATATACCAATAGCTTCATTTAGTCAAGTTTTCAGTTCTAACAAATTCTATTGAACGATATGAAGAATTTTTAAAAATACTATACACAAAACTAAAATTATTAAAGATATGGTTAATTTACCTTAATATTTTACGAATAATTACAAAGAAAAAAAAAACTTACATAATCCCCTTGTCAGAAACTTCACAACAACCACCTAAATTCAACAGCTTCAATGATGAACTGTATTTGGACATTGTAAATAAGCATTTATCTGTTATTTGCTTGTTGCCCTCTAAATTCAATGTTTTCAAGTGTCTAAACTTCTTTAGAAATATTACTATGCAGCTTTCCGAGATTGATACACAGAATGCAAGATCCACATCTTCCAGTTGACTTTGGTGTAAAGCTAAAGCTTCCATAGCTCCAGAGGTTAGCCAAGAACATTTGGCAAGTTTAAGAACCTTCAAATTGCTACAATATAATATTGCTGGTTGCAAACATTTTGCTGTCAAATTTTTGCATTGACTCAAATTTAAATTTATAAGATCCGGATTGTTCCGTAATATTGGAATGAGCTCTGAATCTGATAGTGTCGAACATCGACTTACATTCAACACTCTTAATTTTTGACATGTTTTGGAAAATACCTGTAAAATATATAAATGTAACAATGATTTAAATATAACACAGCTGAAAATCTATAGAATAGATGCTTACACTGAATGTATGAGGCGAAAATCCTTTATTCATAAGTTTTAAGCATTTTAATTTTGCAAAATACATATCAATTATTTGGAGGCACGTTTTAGATACGCAGCGAAAATTAAAGCATTCACGAATAGTTAAGAAAGGCATAATTTTAGCCACCAATATATCTTCCCAGTACAAATCCAGAATATGTGTATTCCGCTTTAAGGTCATTTTTATTTGTAAATAATAAATACACAAAGTAGATCAAAAATCAAAATGTTTACTTCATTGATAACATTAACTTGACAGGTACGCAGTATTGCCAACCGTTACTAAATCATTTTGCATCAAAATAATATGTTTCAATGTTTGTATTAAAAATCAATACTATTAAAATCGATTCTGGTGTTAAAACGTTTTTTTGCAAACCATCGATGTTTTTATTTATAAGTATGTACATAATTTAGATTCATGGCCTATTTATAATTATGTAAAGTCTAAAAGAAATCAAGTTTAATTTAGCTTCGTTCTATCTAAATATGGATATTTGTTAATCTGCAGGTACATAATATAATAAAATTGTAACTAAGTCGAATCTGTACATTAAATATTTTTTGGAAAATCTTATTGAAATAGACATTATTATCAATACAGAGGCCGAATCTATAGTTTTTAAAATTTTTGTATGTCTGTCTCTCTGTGACTGTATCACGAGCAAACCACTGGAAGGATTATGATGAAATTTGGTATGATGATAGCTGGTTATCCGGGTCAACATATAGGATACTTTTTACTGCGGGAAAATATCTCATCTCTGAGAAATCTATACTAAACGTTAAAACGTAAGTAAGGACGAACCCGAGCGGAGCGAGCGTGAGTTGCTAGTATAGAATAAAATCGGGACTTTTTATTTAAGTTTATTTTATAACTTTCTCATAAAATATATTTTTCCAATAATGATAGGAAGGATTTAGGATGTTATACCTTTACAAATGTATTTATTTGTATGTAGGTATGTACATTGTACAATGTACAGTGAACATCTATGACTCCAAGATCTCTTGGCCTTCTTGAGTTTTTAGACAAATTGTTGAATGTCTGATGTTTATGTTAAGAAACGAAGTCTGATGAAGAAGTAAGAAAAAGTGATTAATGCTAATTAATACCTACTAACAATTAAAACTATTAGAATATATGTATTACTTTTTGTAGATCTGTAGACTTAAAAAATAAAAGGTTGACCTCAATAAAGTTTGTATAAAATACAACTTGAACCTACCTTGGCTTTGAATGCTGGTTAGATTTAGAATGGTAGATGCTAAGTAAACTCTTTCAATACTTTAAATAGTGCTTAAAAACAAAGAGCGGGATCAAATGTCCCTCTGTTCCTCTCCAGTTTGATTTCCTAAATATAAATCAGGGGTTATCTAAAACTTGTAAATTAAACGGAAATAGGCTAAGTGTGTTAAATACATACTGGGTTTTTCTTTTTTATTATTAATTAATATTAAAAGCTTGTGTTACTGGTATTTCCAATATCTGCGTTACCGGCATTCTTGTTTTGATCGTATAGACGCTGGTGTCCCATAAACCTGTGTGAAGTAACCAGGCCATGCTATTTTGATAAAACGCATATATCAAATACTCAATTTTCCACACTCAAACTCAATTTTCCGCCCTCAAACTCTAATTTGGTCTATTTTGCTTCCTGAATCATGGCTAATTTAGCCAGCCTAACTTCGCTCACAAGCGCAAAAGTGTCATGGGAACTTCACAGGTATAAATAAAAAGAAAACATATAGCGCACTGTTTTGATTTAAAACAATAAAATGGCCGATTTCACCAACGTCACCTAAGTATAAGGGATCCCCTATGCATGGTTAGGGGGCTGTTGGGGGACAGTTTCTGTTTCACCTACAGTTAGGGGTCACCTAAATGTTAAAATGCCACCTAAATATAGGCACTAGAAATACGGGCTCTGACGATGGTAAAACGAAATTTAATTTAGAGGCTAGTTTAGGAGAACTTTTAAGCTAGGGATCCCTCCCATACGTAGGTGGTAGCTTATGGGATGTTGGTGAAATCGGACATAAGTCAGCCTTTAGTATATTTAAAAAGTTTATACAAACGCTGTTAAACTACAACACACTCGGATAACATAAAATTTTAATTAAAAAAACAAACAATGTAACCTACATAATACATTGTAGTAGTTATTAAACTGGTATAATTATGTAAATACAATGTAGTTTACATTCTGTTAGTAATTTATGTTTTATTAGTCAATTAAGTGACCTTAGTTCATTGAAAACGAGAGACGAATCGGCAGCAGTCATAATCTTGATGCTGGTCGAGACATTGGTTTCTAAGGTGAGATTGATTTGTTTTACTATTTATTATAATTAATATTTTATAATTTATATAATATTTTATATAAACCTTTTTTAAAGTTAACCTTTTTTGAAAAATAAGTATTTTGTTTCTTCTAAAGTTGTAATATTGCCGTTTTAAAATGATGTTTTGACCCATACAATGTACGCATTACGCAATTATTAATAACTTGTTATTATAAGCTTCACATGTTATCGAATCAAATAAACAAATGTAGTGAGTCGATTTAAGTCTACTTCTAATTTAATAGCTTTGTCGATTTAAAACATTCCGATTTGATATGTTGACAAACATTTAATAATATAATAAATTCCACTAATTTTGAGTTATTTGTTTAGTTTTGAGGAGATATGTTATACTTGATCAAAATCTCATTTATTTTTACTGTAAGTAGCTGTGAGCTTTTGAAATTAAACTTTAAGGCTGAGAATTTTATCTCTAAGCTTAATAACCTAAATAAAAGAAGACTTTTCTGTCATAATTTGATATTGATCACATTGACAAAATAAATAGTGGCCAAACGGCACTCCTAGAAGCCATTGAACATAAGAATTGAATTGATATTGAAATATGCTCATCTTGATGATATTGAAATATGCTTATCTTGATTATTGAAATATGATTATGTAACTTAATCGTATAGTCAAATTAACTTTTTAAAGTTTACTTTAATTCCAAGTGATGAACATGTTAACATGGCTAACGCTGGCTAAACCTCAAAGAGATACTTACCACATCAAAACAATATACTAGACTAGAAAACTATAAATCTTAAAAAGGCCTATAGAAAAGTTCGTAATAGCATGTGTTTATCTCTTAGGGTACACTCACAATAACAATTTTTATCTATTTAAAACTTAGTTATGGGCTCGGAACCGGTTTAAAGACAGTTTATTTCGGTAATGTAATGGTTGATGATGTTCTCCTAGCCGATTCCGGCCACGGCGGCCAATCTCATTGAGACAGCCAACTGCGCAGGAGATATTATAGTGCACAAGTGTACGCGCAGACACAGGTGCACTCTCTGTTCCTGTCAGTCTCATACTCCGGTGGGACGACCGCTCGACACGACCAGTGAGAGTTAAGGCGCAGGACCGACGGCTTTACGTGCTCTCCGAGGCACGGGGGTGAAACATCGCCAACTTCCCGACTTCGTGCTGTTACTGAGGCTTACTATACACAAAGACTCAGTAACTAAACTTGACCCGACCCGGGACTCGAACCCAGGACCTCCGAGGGTGCAGTCGTACATGCTAGCCACTACACCACCGAGGCAGTTAAATGTAATGGTTAATTCATCGCTGTTGCTTTAACCGATTAATGAAAACGAACGGCTTAGTAAATCGAAATAATAACTAGTTAACAGTAAGAGAAAGGTTAGATTTCGGTTTTGATACCGAAATAAACCGGTTAATTCATTCATACATAAGAAACGCCCACGCATCATTCTACTAAGCCATTCACCATTAGCAAAGACGCGCCAAACGTAAACACACTAAAACTCATTTTAATCGGTTAATTTTGTTCATGGAACCTAAATTCGTCAAAAGCCGTTCTCCTGGGTTTAACTGGTTAAAGAACGTAACCGAATTCTTAAACCGAAAAATCTTACGGTTTGAAGTCAATGACTAAAAGTAGTTTAAAAATTGAACGGGTTCCCATTAGACGCACCCGAGGAAAGCGAGGCTAAGTCGCTAGTCTTAAATAAAACTATCTTTCTGGATTTTTCCGCGGTTTTTTTGACTTTACATCAAACATGGTCACGTCTGTATAGTTTCCCGAAAATATCCGAAAAGATATTTTAAATAAAACTATCTTTTCGGATTATTCGCGGATAGTTAAAGATAGTTTTATTTAAAATGTCAAATATTCGCGTAAATCTAAGAAAGTATTATTCGAAAAGATAGTTTAATTTAAAGTTAAAACTTTCCCGAAAATGTAATAAGAATGTAGGTATCATCATAAAAATTGCTGTAGATAAATATTCATAAATCGTAAGTGTATTTGATGGTATGTCATTCGTTGATGCCATAAAAGTGCTGACTAACATGATTTTTGACCTTGTAAAAGGAAGTATTAGATTCTATTTTGTTCTCTGGGTATGTTACGTGATATCAAGTAAATTAATGAAAATCAAAAATTAAAATTATACTTTATTCCAATAGACTTTTACAAGCACTTGAATGGTCAGTCATTTTAAATTTAAATTTTGTCAGTCCGTAAGGAATCCACCGGCTCGGAAAGCAGTTCTGCTGAGAAGAGCCGGCGAAAAACTCAACAGTTGCTCTTTTTAAATATAACAATAATTAACAATATACCTATTCAATATTATTGTTCTTATTTTGCATGAGTACTATAATCAAGGATGGTGCTACACATTTTGCAAGAAAAAATTCAGCAGGCGAAATAATTATTTTTAAGAGGCTTTGAAGTCAGAACCTACTATGTTTACTGACTTCAAAAAGGTAAATAACGCAATATCTCCGCCAATTATTAATCGATTTTAGTATTTTTCTATACTTATTTAGTTAAAAAGTATAATTAATACGTATTATCGATTGAACAAACACAGTAATAGGCCTTCTTGGTACTCTTAGTGGTTGTGGTATATACTTACACTACTACTCACCAAAAGTGAAATAGTAATTTTTAAGTAAATTTTTTATTTGTTTCAGATGTATTACATAATATGGACGTTGTTGCTTTTGTTCTGCCTTCACTGTATCTTATGGAGTCTTTTCTGGAAGGCGCGACGCAATTTCAAGAATCTACCTTCGTACTCTCAACTACCATTCCTTGGTTCTATACATTGGTTCATCGGGGGTGGTGCGAGTAAGTTTTTTTAAAGTCAGATTTGCATTACAGATGAGCAAAAACCAAATTCTTAGGTTATTTTTGTATTTTTTTCTCAGAAATGTGATATTTTCCCGCGGTAAAAAGTATCCTATATGTTGACCCGGATAACCAGCTATCACCATACCAAATTTCATCAAAATCATCAGACAGACCGACAGACAGACAAAAATTCTAAAAACTATAGATTCGGCCTCTGTATCGATAATAATGTCTATTTCAATAAGATTTTCCAAAAAAATATTTAATGTACAGATTCGGCTTACATACAATTTCATTATATGTATGTGTTTGTCCCTTTTTAGTATCGCATTTTCGTTTCATCGAGTTTCAAATCACAATGATTCTAAAGAAGTTTCACATCAAAAACTTAAGTTATTACTTATAAAAATGAATATTTATAACTGTGGGTTGAATGTGCATAAGTTAAAAGTAAAAGCAATTATGACTAAGTGTTGCCATAGTAACCGTTGTTAATGTCTGACAAAATATAAATGTATAATATTATATACTTTCCAAATAAGATATTTTATAAATATATGATTGTAATATGCCTTATATGCCTTATTTTATTATTGATTTGTTTTAATTTAATTAAGATATTTACCAAAGAATTTTGACTTCAACCGCGCGTAAAGGTTACACGCATCCATTTCAATAAGTAATAATTATTACTCATAAAAATGAACATTTATTACTAATAATAGCGATATCTGCCAAAGAATTTTTATTTCAATCGCGCATAAAGGTTACACGCACAATTTTTTTCTTAAATTTTAATGTGTGTATGTATGTGATCTATTCGCCTATTGTGAATCTGTTACAGCCATCCTTTTTAAAGTTAAGGCTAAAAAATCTTCTCCTAAGTCTGGATATTTACTTGACTTAAAAAGTAATAAATAAATAAATGTTGGGACATTAACACACAGCGCCATCTAGTTCCATGGTAAGCTACCAGGCTTGTGTTATGGATACCAGATAGTTGATACACTACACATATATAACTTTAAATACATACATATTATAAATACAAACACCCATGACTGCAGTACAAACATTCGTGCTCATCACACAAATGAATGCCCCCAGCGGGACTCGAGCCCGCGACCGCTGGAACAGTTAGTAGGGTCACTACCAACTGAGCCAAACGCGTCGTCAATAATATAACAGTAATAATTATTATATTTCACTTTACTTTCACTGGTAGTATTAAGACATTGGGGATGATATCCAATTTTATTTAACCAAGTTTCGACAGACTGGAACTTGGTCAATACGAAAAAAATTGTTGGAATAGAATCAGTGACCTTTGATGCCTCTTGAGTTTGGCTTTGTAGGAAAATATAAGCTAGATAGACCGTATAATTGAACAAGCACTATATGTTATATAATAAAGTATTGAGAAAGTTTGACGAGTTTGTATTGATAATGAAGGATTTGACTGTCTCAAGACTAGTCTGCTGATTGTAAGGTTCAAGTTTATAGAGGAGGATCGAGTGTTTAAATTTTTTAACTAAGGTCAGTTAGGAGAATGTTATAGCTTTACACGGCTCAAAGGTGATTTTTTAATGCTAAGGTATTATAATTTTCAGAGATATTTCGTCGTTTGAAGGAGTTATCTAAAATAATGGATGATAGAAGGTTACCGTTCGTTGTTTGGCTTGGACCACAACCTTTGCTGTGTAAGTACCTATTAAATATTTACTAATTAATTTCTTCTCTAAATACGTTAAAGAGGCATACCACTTCCCGCGCATTTCACATTAAAAATTACAGAGTTTCTTACAAACATAATACACATTTTCATTCCCTATTTTACCCTCTTACGGGATGAATTACAAAGAATGCTAAAACGCATGTTTATTTTATTGAATTCAAGATCATTAATACCAAGTTTCAAGTAATTCTAAACATCAACATATTTTTCCCATATAAACCTCATAAATAAAAACTATCGTATGTTCTTCCCAGGGTCTCAAACTATCTTCTTACCTAATTTCATCTAAATCGTAATCGTAAAAGTAATCGTAAAAGTAGTTCTGAAGCTTATTCGGTACAAACAAACAAACAAAAACATCAAACATCATCTTTATAATATTAGTATAAATATATCAAAAATCGTTTCTTCTCTCTAAAATTATATTTTACATACAAAAAAAATATTATCTGAATTCCTCAAAAAAACAATACGTTATAGAAAAATAAATAACAATTCAAGTATTTCAGTAATAAGTGATCCTGAGGACGTGAAAACAGTTACTAACGGCTTCCTCGACAAGCCGTATCTTTACGACTTCGGCCGCGACTGGCTCGGGAACGGCCTTGTTATTGCACCAGGTAATAACTTTTCATTCAATTGTTGTTTAAAATTGTAACTAAGAAGCAAAAACTTATTATTATTTAATTAATGGTTTCATTACATTTATTACTGTTGATTTACGTTCGCCTCGCTACCTTTGTTATCCCCCGACTCCGCCCGCGTTAGTTAGTGCGTTTAAATAAACTAGAAACAAATCATTCGGTTTTTATATTCCTAATGTTTTATGATAAACTTTAACAATAAAAATGGTAGATTTTCTTATCAACTGTACTACCACTTTTTACCCCTTGAGGCGCAGAATTATGAAAAATTGAATAGCTTTTGTTAATGTAATTGTATTAAAGAGCATCTACAGATTTCTAATTCTGATCATAAAATTAGTTTTTCCCATTCGAATTTTACTAATCCCTTTCACCCTTCAAGGGGTAAAACCTTATACACGTATTTTTTATTTTGAAACCAAGAATTACTCGAGAATTTCACATTAAAAATGTCAGAGTTTCATTCAAACTTTTTTACCCCCTGAAAAATAATTTAGATCTATCCTTACACAACAATCCATGTACTAAATTTAATCATTTTAATTTCGGGAAATAAAAGTAAGCTATGTCCTTCTATAAAAAGGATGCTGTGTGCCAAATTTTATCAAAATTGGTCCTGTATCTCTCGTATCCTAATAATTAGCAAAAATGCTAAATATGTTTAAAATAATATTAAAACTACATATTTTTGTATAAAAATGCAAAAATCTTTCGCTTTCAGGAGAAGTCTGGAAACGAAATATAAAGCTTATAGCGGGCATGTTTACCGGAAGTATGGTAGATGGTTTCCAACCGGCGTTTAATATAAAAGCGAGAGAATTAGTTGAGAAATTAAAAGAAGAAAATAACAAACAGCCTTTTGATGCGATGCCCCATTTATCTTACATAACATTAGCCGCCATTTGTCGTAAGTGCCCAAGTGATTAAGAAAAATGTTATTTAATACTTAGCAGTTTTTAAGCCGCATTCACTGTATATTTTTTTAATTAATTAAGAAACGTAAAATTATCTTATCAAAGTCATTGGCAATATAACGACAGTTTCGGATACATATTCCAAACTAGCGACTCACCCTTGCTTCGCTCGGGTTTGTCCCTACTACTTTTAACGTTTAGTATAGATTTCTCAAAGATAAAATATTTTCCCGTAGTAAAAAGTATCCTACATGTTGACCCGGATAACCAGCTCACCAAACCAAATTTCATTAAAATCTGTCCAGTAGTTTTCTCGTTATGCGGTAAAAGAGAGAGACAGACAGACAAAAATTCTAAAAACTATAGATGCGGCCTCTGTATCAATAATAATGACTATTTCAATAAGATTTTCCAAAAAATATTTAATGTACAGATTTGGCTTAGTTAGAATTTTATCATATGTATAGATTAATATTGTTTAGTACAAAAAATCTGGCAAAATTTTAAAATCGGTAGAATTAGTAGAAAATTGATTGTCATGATATCGAAATATCGATCCAGCCGACCTTAAAAACAATTTCATTTTCGTATTTTAGAGACTGGTCTTGGAGTAACATACACATCAGATAGTAAGAAGTCTCAAGAATACTATGAAGCGTTCAAGAGTGCATTGGAACTGCTCACAAAGCGAGGATTAAATCTGTTCCACCACTACGATTACATTTATCGATTTTCATCAGATCATGCCAAGTTTGTAAGAAACGTAGCTGTTATGCATAATCTATCAAATACTGTAAGCTTCTTTAATTTTTCATTTTTATTTTCAATATCCACTAATATCAAAACCCAATAACTACTTTGTCTGACTCGGGACTCAAACTTAAGACCTTCGTACGTTCAGATATACCCGTCAGCTATGCGTACGTACTAGATGAACAGGCATTTGACAAAATATAATATTTTTTGTAAATAATGCCACAATTTATTGTTTCAGGTAATCAATCAAAAGATACAAGAACGAAAGAAAATGAGCAAGACCCATACAGATTCCACAATTGAGGGTGAGGTTATTACCATGCTATATATTTGTGTATTCAATTTAATTTCGGTTTTCTAAAATTATGAAAAAGTAAAAAAAGAGCTTTTGTTGTAATTTTTGAGCTATTGTAATCAATTAGGTATTTAATTAAGTGTATCTTATGCTTTTTATAAGAAAATAAAATAACATTATGTTACACGTTACCTTTATGAATAAATTGAATTGAATGATACTATTTGTAACTTTCATTTCAACCGGCATCAAAAACGAACGAACAATTTCCTTTTTATATTATATTTTAGTTAAGACTAAAATATCTTATGACAAGATATATAATATATATTTCTCTAATTAATATTAATATTTATAGGTCCGAAAAAAGCCAGTTTTAAAACAGTATTGGACGTTTTGTTAGATCTAAAAGAAATAGATCCTAATATGGATGAAAATCAGATTAGATCTGAGGTGCATACCATTATTGTTGGTGGACAAGAGACGGTTGCGGCCACGCTTGGTTACGTAATGTTGATGCTGGGTTCTCATCCTGATGTGCAAAATAAATTATATAATGAGTAAGTTTATGTGAACACTGTCAGAAAATATTATGTTTGTTAACGCGTTTCAAAGCTATTAAAGAAAAAAAATTAATACTTCCATGACCATGACTGCTGTAAAGTGAACGGGAACTTGGAAACGGAGAGTCGAGAACCAAAAATCGAATAAATCCGTGATAAAATCCGAAAAGATAGTTTTATTCAAATATTAGCGTAAATCTGAGAGAGTATTAATTTCAGAGATATTATAGTGCAGTTATATGTGTTGTTTACGTGTGTGTGTGTGTAGATGTACACACAAGTGCCTTTTCTATTCCTTTTCCTCTCAAAGTCCGATAGGATGATACTTCGACAGAACGGTGAAAATTAGGCCCAGGACTGACGTCTTTACATGCTCTTCGAGGCACGGGGGTAAAATCTACCGACATATGAAGTCTGAGCTATTATTTTTTCTTTGTCCTTGATGATCCTTTATATAAAATAGATAAATGTAACAACAAAACAACAAATACAGATAAAAAGTATCGAAAGATTTGGCCAAAAGTGTTAAGCAGTACCGAAAAAAAAGCTAAAGCCTGCAATGTGTGAGAGTACATTGTTGTTATTTTGCTATTCTCTTTGAAAGATTTCTTTACATTAATAGATATTCAAATAATCCTCAGATTTAGAACATTTAAGCAAGTAGAAGGTTTATTGTAATTGAAGCTTAATATAATATATATCAATTAATTTTATTGTTCAAATGGCGTATATTACAGAGTAAAGCAAATATTTGAAGGCAATAAAAGCGATTTGACAAAAGAGGATCTTTCGTCGTTGGTTTATTGCGAAGCAGTAATACAGGAGACTCTGAGGCTGTACCCTCCCATACCAGTAGTGACAAGGCATGCTGATCGAGATCTTCAGATAAGTAAGTTATTTTGAGGAAATAAATTGTGTCAGATATTTTACATTCTTATGAAATGGAGATCTCCTATCTCCCTTTTCTGGTAAAAAAGTTTTTTTCATATACTGGTTATGTGAGTTTTTGCAGTTATAGTTATCATTTTTCTCAGCTCCGTTTGCATAGATTTTTATGTATACCGGCTACATAAAATAGCTTTATATAAACTACATACACAAATATATTTTTTTTGTTTTATAATAATACTTTCTTAGATTTACGCGAATATTTCACATTTTAAATAAAACTATTTGTTCGTCTCTCTCATGACCATGATTGTTATAAAGCATTCGAAACTTCGCGTCGGGAACCAAACCCAAAATAAAGCCTGCGAAAAATCCGAAAAGGTCGTTTTATTTAGTTTCATAATATTAGTATCTATTTCATTTTCAGTTTTAAAAAGTTAACTCTATTTTTAGTATGTTTTGATTCAATAATATCTTCATTTTACCCTTAGAAGTATTATATATCTTGTCTTTGACTCTTTATATAAAAATCACAACCGTGTAGATTTTCTTTTTCGTGAATTATTATAAGAAGCCTAATACTTGTTTTAATTATGGGTGATTTGTAGTAAACATTAAGATTAACTCACAATTAGTGATTTGGTTATGGAAGGATAAGATATGAATTAAAATGTTCAAATGTGATTTATATATGAAAATATCTTTTGATTTATATGTAACGTCTATTATTTTTAGAATCATGCACAATACCAAAAGGTACACTGTGTTCTTTAAATCTATGGGGCGCTGGAAGATCTCACCGTGCTTGGGGAGAGGATGCAGATAAATTCTTGCCCGAACGTTGGCTTCTGCCGTGGACTTCGAGCAATCTGGCTTATATGCCGTTCAGTATTGGAAGAAGATCTTGTATAGGTATTATTTGTATTTATGTATAGTTTAATTGTAAATAACAAGAGAATGACTCTGGAAAAAGAGATGCTACTCCGGCTCTAATTTCCTATATTATTATCTGATGGAGATTTTATATATTATGAAATTGCTAGTTGTTATAAGTTGTACACACAAAAAAAAATATGGTCCAAAATTCGTCTAGTAATAAACAATCTAATATATGTTCCATAAAACTGTACAATTTTATTTTCAGGAAAAAGGTATGCGACAGCAATCCTGAAAACCCTTTTAGCTCATTGCGTAAAAGATTTAATATTTGCATCAGAAGCTGACAAATTGGAATTCCAAATGGACATCGGCTTGAGGGCTATAAAGGGAAATCTGTTGGAGGTTAAATTAAGAGTATGAATTGATTTGATTATAAATAAGATTGTTTTTGTAAATTACTTTATAAGTACAAAGGATCGAACTTTTCTTGGAACAGGTGGGATCAAGAATTTAACACAATAAAGATATTCTTTACTGTATATGATATTTTATTTTCCCTTTTGTTTATTCAAATGCGTGCATTACGTATTTTTTAATGAGTGCAAGGATGAATATGTGATTAGTAGAAAATTGAAAATTCTTAAATTTATCTTGTTAGCTCCAACAAATTAGGCATTGCATTATTATTTTTAACCGACTTCCAAAAAGGAGGAAGTTCTCAATTCGTCGGAATCTTTTTTTTTATGTATGTTCACCGATTACTCGAAGACGAATGAACCGATTTGGATTTTTTTTCCTTCAAAGGGTATATACTTCCCAGGTGGTCCCATTTAAATTTTATCAAAATCGGTTGAGAGGTTATAAAAAAAATCAACAGAAAAATGTTTTTTTTTAAATAAATTGTTTAATCGAATATGTTATTAAAAAACTTTCTTCTTTCAAATTACCTGCTTGTTACGTCTACTCCAAAAATGGAAAAATAAAAACTTAAAAACTGGAAAAATAAAAACTTAAAAAACTTAAAAAAAGTAATTTAAAAAACATTAAACCGATTTCCAGGCAAAAAGTCGGCGCCAGTCGATGCAAAGCAAAGCAAATATAATATAATTAGTTAATTTTTAACTATAATTACAGTTTATACGTTGTCATATTTACCTATTAGATATGAATATCTTAAATCATTGTAGGCTGGCACAGTGTTCGAAAATATATGATTAGGTATAGTAAAAGAAAACCCCCGTTCAGTTAACTTTTACTTTTTAGTGCCTGGAAGTCGGTTCTCATATACCTAGTTTTTAAAGTCGGCTTAATTTTTCTAAAATTACTTTTTTCTTTCGTAGTTTTTAGTTTTAAGTAAAAACTGAAATAGTTTTTGTATTGAGTAGTAAATGTTTTTTTTTAATATTTAGAGAATTTTTTAGTAACCATTTTAATATTATATTTATATTTTGATTTATTTTAATTTAATTGCAGAATCTGCCACAGCGAAAAGAGGTTGAAGTCTTACTTCAGCCGTGCGTGAAGGTTACACGGACTTATTTTTTTTAATAATAATTAGGTAGATACATTGTATCTTTTGTCAACTTAAAATTATAGTTAATTTTATTCACATCAAAATAAAGCGTTGCTATGATGGTGGGTAATGTTGGAAATGGTCATATTCATTATTCAGAATATAAATATTATGGAAATAAAAAAATTATAAAACTACACTTTGTCTTTTTGTGAATATCTAGTAATTTTTCCATACTTTGAGCTAGCTACTTCTTTTTTCCTAACAGAAAACTATCTCCATGTAATATTACAATAGTAGGTACTGATAATAAATTATGTTACAAGCATTGTGAATTCTCTCATTGAATCATATTGAGCATTGAATATTTTATTTTGTGCCCGCATTGAGCCCTTAATAACAATGATGTCGGCAGAATATGGGTATCTCGTTATATAAAGTAGTAGTAATTGGCCGAACGAGCTTCGACGATTTTTCGGGTGCGATATAAAAATTGCGTTTTTTTCAGAGAGAAGGAAGTATTTCAGAAATAAGTATATAAATAAACTCGAAAACCTTATCTAAATACAAAATTTGTTTCACATACACGAAGTAAATTTATATACAAGAATTGCTCATTTAATATTATAAGATATAAAAAAGTGTGTGTTTACTTATGCACGTACGCATGTAAGAAGTTATACTTCCTTGTTTTTTAGAGCATTTAAATAAAAGCTTGTTTTTTATTAATTCCTTTTTCTTTTTTTAAAGTTTTTATTTTATTCGTATTCTTCACAACAAACCTTTTTATTTTATATGATATCTATATCATGAGGGTGCATAAAGAATCAGTCCGCCATCTTTGGGAGTCAGCCATATTGGATTTACAATGACGTTACTTTGCTTATTGTGTTTCGCTCATCAAACCCTTTCATTTGATGTCCATATCATGAGAGTTTAATGCCCGATTTCACCAACATCACCTAAGTATAAGGGATCCCCTAAGCATGGTTAGGAGACTGTTAGGGGACAGTTTCTGTTTCACCGACATTTAGGGGTCACCTAAATATTAAAAGGCCCCCTAAATTTAGGTGCTCGAAATATGGGCTTAAAGACGATCGTAAAACGAAATTTTATTTAGGGGTTAGTTTAGGGGACTTTTAAGCTAGGGATCCCATACGTAGGTGGTAGCTTATGAGTTGTTGGAGAAATCAGTCATGTACATTTTGTGTGTAAAACCAGGATAAAGAATGGGTCAAAAAGTGAGGTAAAGGGAGAGGGAAGGCGTTAGGAAGAAGTAGTTTCCTAAATATAAAGCACGGGTTATCTTTTGATTTGTAAATTAGATGTAAATAGGCTAGCGTGTTAAATACATAATATTTCTTATATTTTTTAGTTAATAATTATATTTTTTAATTAATTTAAAAAGCGTTAGTTACTGCATACTGGTATTTCCAATTATTACCTGTCACCGGCATTTTTACGAGTATTTTGATCATTGAGACCTTTGTCTCCCATAAACTTGTGAGACAACAGTTTTGATTAGATGCACTTTTGGTCATGTTATTTTGATAAAACGCATATGTCCAATCCTTACCATACCTCCATCTAATGATCTAACAGCCTGATAAAATATATAGCGCACTATTGATTGATTTGAAGAATAAGTCAACTTTTACTATAATATATTTTAAAAGTTATACAAAACTGAAAACGCCGTCAAATTACGCTACACTCGGACAACTCAACAGATTACATTATATAAGTTATTTATAACTTTAATACACTTAAGTGACCTCAGTTCTTTGAAAACTTCGAGACGAATCGGCAGCAGTCATAATCTTGATGCTGATCGTGACATTGGCGCTAAGGTGAATAGATTGAATTTTACTTATTATACAATCTAATTTTACTTTATATATCCCTTTTGAGATATATATATATATATATATAATACTCAATAATAGGGCTTCTCGGTACTTTTAGTTGTTGTGGTTTATACACGCTTTTATTGATCTAAAGGATCTAAAGTAAAAGAGTAACATTATTAAAAATATATTTCAGATGTATTACATAATATGGACATTGCTGCTATTGTTCTGCCTTCACTGTATCTTATGGAGTCTTTTCTGGAAGGCGCGACGCAATTTCAAGAATTTACTTTCGTATTCTCAACTACCATTCCTAGGTTCTGTACATTGGTTTATCGGGGGTGGTGCGAGTAAGTCTTTTTAATGTGATATTTTTTTATGTATGTACGTGATGATTGTGTTCGCCTATTGTGAACCTAGTTCCTCTTGACTTTGGTATTATAGGAAAAGGTATGGGTACTTCTCTGCCGTAGTAGAGTGGACTGTGGAGCAGCCCCATTGGTTTGGTGGTCTGCCTATTTAGGCAGACCTGCCGCCGGGGCGCCGTAGTAGTGCGCAAGCGATCCTGCGGCGTCCCATTAAGGCGGAGGGGAGGGGAATGTCGGGTTTTAGTGGGTAGTACCGGCTCTTCTAGCCGGTGAGCCCAACATCACCACCTGGGGGATCAGGTGGTATGCGTAAATGCATTTCCCGACATAAAAAAAAAAAAAAAAAATGGTATTATAGGAAACTAGCATTGCCCGCGGCTCCGCCCGCGTTCACATGACCAAAAACCAAATTTTTAGGTTTTACATATTAGTATATTCTTACATTGCAGTTTTTGTATTTTTTCTCCAACCAGCTATCATCATATCAAATTTCATCAAAATCCCTCCAGTGGTTTTTCCGTGATGCGGTAACAGACAGACAGACAGGCAAAAATTCTAAAAACTAAAGATTCGGTCTCTATATCGATAATAATGTCTATTCCAATAGGATTTTCCAAAAAAATATTTAATGTACAGATTCGGTATAGTGACAATTTTATTATATGTATAGCATGAACGAATTGCCACTTCGTTCATGATGTATAGATATGGGTTACCTTTACTATTGCACGATTACTACGCAGACTGTATAATGTAACAAGGATTATGTATTAAGTATACAATGTATTGAGAAAATTTGATGAGTTTGATCAAGAAGCATAAGGATTTGACTGTTTCTGATCTAGTGGTAGTCGTAAAGTCTTGGGTCATGTTTGAGTTTTGGGCCGGGCCAAAATGATTACTGTCCAAAGTTCTAAATAGCAGCCCGAAGTTAGGATGGCGGTGTGTACACCCTCTTGGAGAACACGTTAAACTGTAGGATCTGCGCTTTATCTCACTAGTGGCGGTTTGAGACCGAGTTGATATGACATCTCACTGGAATATGAGAGTTAAAGCAGATTGTATTTGTATCTGTGGACGCTTATGCACTATGATTAATCCCTCGTTATTGGCTAGTCTTAATGAAGTAACTGAAATCTGTTAGGAGGAAATTATAAGTTTACACAACAAGGCGGTTTTTAATACTAAGGTTTTTTTAATAAATTTCAGCGATATTTCGTCGTTTGAAAGAGATATCTAAAATAATGGATGATAAAAGATTGCCGTTCATTTTTTGGCTCGGACCACAACCTGTATTGTGTAAGTATCTATTAAACATTTACTAATTATTTTCTTCTCTAAATACGTTAAAGATGCATAACACTTTCCGTGCATTTTACATTAAAAATTACTGAGTTTCATACAAATAAATTACGAATTTTCATTCCCTAATTTAGCCTCTTCTTCTTCTTTCTTCTTTTCCCTGCCCATTTCCCAATCACTTGGGGTCGGCGCAGTACATCTTCTGTACTGCTGATAGGATTTGGCAAAAGTTTTACGACCGGCCGCCCGCCTTACGTCAACCTTCCATGGGAATGCTATTGTCTCTCTTTGTCTCAATGGTATCGCGAAAGTCTTGTAATATGCACTTTTGATTTTTTTGTCTTTTAAAACATTTTCATACTATTATTTAAATTTTTAATGTTATTTTCGGATATATTTTAAAATAAATTTTGATTACACAATAAATTTTGTTTTACCCTCTTATAGGATGAATTTAAAATAATTCCGAAATTTCACGTTTGCACTACCCCCTTTTACCCGTTTAAGGTATGAATTTCAAAAAAAACTATTTTTTTATTTTTATTTTAAAGCAAACAACACTCATCGTGAATTTCACATTAAGAATGACAGAGATTTGTACAACATTTTATCCGCTATTTTATCCCTTATGGGGATGAATTCCGGAAAATCCTTCCTTATCTAATGCCTATATCATATAAGGAATACGTTCTCCCACGTTTCTACGACCAGCGGCTTAGGCTTTGGGTTAATCCATCAGTAAGTCAGAACAAAGCCTTTTATATATGTATATTGTATATATACAAATAAGTGGAAGAATATTCTCGTATAGATATATATTTGTGTATGTAGTAGTATATACATTTGTATATATTTGAGTATCATGGGATTATTTATTTCATTATAATTGCACTTTAGCCTGCTTTATAACACTACTAGCGGCTCAACCTCACTTCGTTTGGGTTCACCTCTAGGGAAACAAAAACAAATCTATCCCACGTGATCCGTACATTTTTCCGGGATGAAAGTAATCTATGTGTTATTCCACGCTATAATTTATCTCTGTGCCTCATCCAGATCCGTTCAGCCGTTCTGGCGTGAAAGAGTAACAAACATCCATACTCGCAAACTTTCATATTTATAATATTAGTGTAGATTAATACAGATTTATAATTACCGTAGGTTGCCTAGAAGAGATCTCTTCAAGAGATAAGTCCACATTTGCGAACTAATTCTATTGTATTGACATAGAAAATAATATAAATGTATGGCTTAAATTTAAATTTTACAATTCCAAAAACTAACAATTGACGTCAACAAAAAATAAATAATAATTATTAATCTTTATCTTTAGCGGAAATCATAAAAAAAGTAATGTAAAACCTACTGTGTCCACTTTATATAAAAATTTATAACTATTATAAAAATATATGTATCTTAAAAATATATCTTAGTAAAATATATGTATCTTAAAAATAATTATAAACTACAAATGAGATTTTATTATTTTATTTTACTCACTGATTTTACAATTAGATGTGGTTTTAAAAGCATTATATATATTTTATTATATTTTAATGCCCCACTACTGGACACGGGCCCCTCTTCTATGCGAGAAGGATCAGTCTACATATATAACCCACCAGGTTAACTAAGTGTGGGTTGGCGGACTTCACATGTCTTTTGAAAACTTGCAGGTTTCCTCACGATATTTCTCTTTAAGACAAGTAGTTATCATGTTGGAAATAATTCGCACATGAAAATATTTGAGGCACGAGTCCCGGGATTTGAACACGCTTCATTCAAGCGCGGTACCATCGCGTGTCCGTATATACTCGTACATAGGTACATGCCCATAGATATCGCCGAAATGAACGTTTAGCTTATTATTATCCGACTGCCGTGAAGCCCAAAGAAAGGTTATGTGTTTGACATGTATGTATGTATGTATGTCCGATCTATGTCCCTTCGTAATTATAATTATTAAACTAAACGGCTTAACCAATTTTGATAATTCATACGTCATTAGATCCGTCTTGACAATGCGAGTGTCATAAAGTATATAGATAAATATCATTAAAAATCGAAATGACGGATCTAAGGCGCCAATTTGGCAACAACAATTTTTTTAACAGAATTTTTAAATGAAACGTAAATAATAAGTTATAGAAAAATAAATAACAATTCGAATATTTCAGTAATAAGTGATCCTGAGGACGTTAGAACAGTTAGTAACGGCTTCCTCGAGAAGCCGTATTTTTACGACTTCGGCCGCGCCTGGCTCGGGACTGGCCTTGTTGTTGCACCAGGTAATAACTTTTCATTCAATTGTTGTTTTAAATTATAAGTAAGAAGCAAAAACTCATTATTATTTACGAAATGATTTTATTATATCTATTACTAATGACTTACCTTCATTTCGCTCGTGTGCGTCCTTTGGTGCCTTATATATTTGTACAAACAAATCATTTAGTTTTCCATATTCTTAATGTTTTATAACAAACTTTACCAATCAAAGTGATAGATTTTCTTGTCACTTGTACTATCCTTTTTTACGCTCTTAAGAGTAGAATTTTGAAAAATTGCCCAACTCGTTAGTTTATTTAATGGTATTAAAGAGCATATATCTCTAATTCTGATTATATATTTTTTCCATTCGAATTTTACAAACTCTTTTTATCAATAACATAAAATAAACTTTGGCATTTAAAATAAACATAGTTTCGAAATTTTCATTGAGATTTACTGAGTAATGTTGCTGTTGGAACTTTTTTATTTCGGGAAATGAAAGTAAGCTACATAATATGTCTTTCTGTGTGTGCCAAATTTCATCAAAATCGATCCAGTATATTTTATTAATGTAACTCAAATTAAATTTTGTATTTTTAATAATTAGCAGAGCTACAAAGTATGTAAAAAAATAATACTCTTACACCATATCAGGACACATATGGAAACGAAATATAAAGCTTATAGCAGGCATGTTTACCGGAAGCATGGTAGATGGTTTCCAACAAGTGTTTAACATAAAAGCAAGAGAACTAGTTGAGAAATTAAAAGAAGAAAACAACAAACGGCCTTTTGATCCGATGCCCCATTTATCTTACATAACATTAGCTGCCATTTGTCGTAAGTACCCAAGTGATTGAGAAAAATGTTACTTAACAGTTTGAAGTCGCGTTCTAATATATATATTATATATATATATTATTATATATATATATATATATATATATTTAATTAAATTTAATTAATTAAGAAACTATTATCTTATTTAAATAATTGGTAATATAATTGCAGTTTCAGTAAAAATAATATTTAAGATGAATATTGTTTAGTTTGAAATTATGGCAAAATTTTATTTTATTTTATTTTTAATATCGATCCAGTCTTCCTTAAAACCAATAATATTTTCCTTTCATATATTAGATTAAATTTTTTTTTTTTTTTTTTGACAAACAACCCCAAACTATTTACAAACTTTGAGGTAATTAACACTTGCTTCCCTTCGGATCACAAACTTATAAGAGGCACAATGACACTAAAATTACCTAAAATTAGTAGGAGAAATTTCAATAACACACCAAATATTCCAAAGACAGAAGATGAAATTGATTACTTTATAAAAAACTTAAAATCGAACATAGAAAACTTAGAAGATGATCTAAATTACTCTACCGACGTCCAAACCTATTACAATACATTAGAAAATATTATTTCAAGCAGCTCTAAAACATGGAAAAAAACTGAGAAAAAAGGACACAGAATATTTAGTGAAGATACTAAACTACTAATAAAAACGCAGTGAACTCGTACAGACAAAAAATAAAAGTATAGATATGAAAAAAGAATTAGCAAGAGTATATAAAGAAACAAATAAATCAATTCGGAAAGACTACCAAACACATAGACAAAAAGTAATAATAAGAAACTTAAATAAATATAGGAGTACAAAAAGAGCGTTTAGGGAGCTAAGTATCAAGAAATCTTGGATATAAAAACTTAAACAACAATCAGAGGAAACTAAAACAAGGAAAGATGTAATCAGACACGCAACAAACTTTTACAAAGATCTGTATCGTAGAAGAAATAACGATCAGATATTTGAACTTACAGATAATAATAACTGGGAACCAAAACTAAGCTCTGTTAAACCAATAGAAAAAGAAGAGGTGTACGAACAAATAAAACAGCTAAAAAATGACAAAAGCCCTGGCCCGGATGGGCTCAGCAACGAAGTTCTTAAACTAGGAGCGCCAATTCTCGTCCATTACCTTACACAACTATTTAATATGGTACTAAATACAGAGACTGTACCGCTACAATGGTGCAAATCTGACATCATACTGCTGTTTAAGAAAGGCGATCCATTAGACATAGGAAATTACAGACCAATCAGTCTTTTAACAAATGTGTATAAACTCTTTTCTTCTATAATATTAAAACGAATAACTCAAGATATTGATAACTCACAACCTATAGAACAAGCAGGCTTTCGCTCAGGGTTTAGTACTACCGACCACATCCAGGTTATAGAACAGGTTATAGAGAAATACCGTGAGTTCAACAGACCACTATACATGGCTTTTATAGACTATAGCAAGGCTTTCGATAGTATAAGTCACCATTCAATTTGGAACGCCTTGAAAATATTCGGAATAGATCAAAAATATATAAACATATTGACATATATTTACGAGAATAGTCAAAGCTGTGTAAAACTTGAAACTAGAGGAACACTCATTGATATAGAAAGAGGTGTTAGACAAGGTGACCCCCTATCACCTAAATTATTTATTGCTGTCCTCGAGAACATTTTTCGGAATATAGACTGGTCACTAAAAGGTATAAAAATATGTGGTCGTTACTTAAACCATCTAAGGTTCGCTGATGATATAGTACTACTAGCTGAAACACCTAAGGACTTAGAGGACATGATGCAATTACTTGACAAAGAAAGTACAAAAGTCGGCTTAGAAATGAATGCCAGCAAGACTAAAGTAATGACCAACAGCGTTAAAGAACCTATTAAAGTAAGAGGAAATATCATAGACTATGTCGAATATTACATTTATTTAGGAAAACAAGTTTCTTTTAGTAAAACTAATAATGAAGAAGAAGTTGCAAGAAGAATAGCTATTGCGTGGAAGAGATTTTGGTCATTAAAAGAAATTTTAAAAGGTAACTACAGTTTACTTATGAAGAAAGTCGTAATGGACACATGTGTGCTTCCAAGTCTATTATACAGCTGCCAAAATTGGACCTTTACAGAAAAAGTTAAACACAAGATAAGAAGCAATCAAAGAGCAATGGAAAGAAGTATTTTAAGGATAAGGAAAGTACAGAAAATAAAAAGCGACAAAATCAGACAGAAAACTAAGATTACCGATGCACTTACACATGCACTGACATTAAAGTGGAGTTGGGCTGGTCACGTATCACGATACTCTGATAAAAGGTGGACTATCGAATCTACACGATGGAAGGGACCAATGGCGGGGAAAAGAAAGGTAGGAAGACCTATAAAACGGTGGACTGATGAGATAAAGAAAGTGGCAGGAGAACAATGGATGAAGATTGGCAAAGATAAAAAAGCGTGGAAGGAGCTGGAGGAGGCCTTCACCCAAACAGGGATCCATATCTCGGAACAAATAAAAAAGAATAATCATACTAACAACCTAGAATTAGCAAAAATACTAAAAACAACTAACAACTTTTGAATGTAACTTTTAAGATATGAAATAAATGTGGCTTAATTATTAATTATTATTATTATATTAGATTAAATATAATATAAATATCAAATCAAACTGTTATATTTCAGAGACTGGTCTCGGAGTAACTTACACATCGGATAGTAAGCAGTCTCTAGAATACTATGAGGCGTTCAATAGTATATTGGAACTGATCCTTAAGCGAGCATTAAATCTGTTTTACTACTATGACTGCATTTACAGATTTTCATCAGATCATGCCAAGTTTTTAAGAAACGTAGCTGTTATGCATAATCTATCAAATACTGTAAGTTTCTTTTATTTTTCATTTTTATTTTCAATATCCACTTAATATCAAAACCTAATAACTACTTTGTCTGACTCGGGACTCAAACTTAAGACCTTCGTACTTTCAGCTAGATCTACAAGGCATTATACATTTTATTAAATATGTTTATATTTTTGTAAATAGTGCCACAACTTATTGTTTCAGGTGATCAATCAAAAGATACAAGAACGAAAGGAAATAATGGGTAAGACCCATACAGATTCCACAATTGAGGGTAAGGTTACTACCATGCATATCTGAGCATTAAATTTAGTTTCAATTTTCGAATATTATAACAAAGTAAAAAAAGGTTTAAAGTTTTTGTTGTTTTAATAAAGGATGTACTTAATTAAGTGTACCTTATGCTTTTTATAAAAAAAAATAACATGTATGTTACACGTTAACTACATCTTTTGTAAAACCATTTTTATAATTCTTTTTGTAATGAATGATGGGTAAATTTTAAGAAAAATTAGATTTATAATAATCGTCGTCACTTGAGACTGGATAAGTTTCAATGAATTTAATGGTGGTACATGTATGTAATGGCGTGAATTTTATAACCTTTGTGCTGGGAGCGTTCATTTGTGTGATGAGCTCGAATATTTGTACTCCAGTCATGGGTGTTTGTATTTATAATATGTATGTATTTAAAAGTTATATATGTATAATGTATCAACTATCTGGTATCCATAACCATAGCCTCGTAGCTTACCATGGAACTAGATGGTGCAGTGTGTTAATGTCCTGACATATTTATTTGTATGTTTCATATCAACCGGCATCAAAAACAAATAAACAAATTCATTTTCATATACTTTAGTTAAGACTAAAATATGTTGTGACAGATATATTGTTTTAATTAATATTAATATTTATAGGTCCTAAAAAAGCTAGTTTTAAAACAGTATTGGACGTTTTGTTAGATCTAAAAGAAATAGATCCCAATATGGATGAAAATCAGATTAGATCTGAGGTGCATACCATTATTGTTGGTGGACAAGAGACGGTTGCGTCCACGCTTGGTTACGTGTTGTTGATGCTGGGTTCTCATCCTGACGTGCAAAATAAATTATATAATGAGTAAGTTTATGTTGAAATTATCAGAAAGTATAATGTTCGTTAACGCGTTTCAAAGCTATTAAAGAAAAAAAGTGTATGTTAAATAATAAAATTTTCTTCTATACAATTTCGGAAATTTTTAATCTAAACTTTGACGGCACGTTTGGCTCAGTTTGTAGTGACCCTACTTGCAGTGCCAGTGGTCGCCGGTTCGAGTCCCGCTGGGCGCATTCATTTGTGTGATGAGCACGAATGTTTGTACCCCAGTCATGGGTGTTTATATTTATAAAATTTATATATTTTAAAGTTATATATGTGTAGTGTATCATCTATCTGGTATCCATAACACAAGCCTCTTAGCTAACTATGGAACTAGATGGCGCTGTGTGTTAATGACCCCAACATATTTATTTATTTAAACTATGTTTTCGGATTTTTTTCGCGTATTTAATCGCGGAATGCAATCATGGTCAAGGGAGCGACTCTTCCGTAACCATGATTGCTGTAAAGCAAACAGGAACTCGGGAAGGGAAAGTCAGAAACCGAAAATCAAAATAAATGCTCGAAGAAATCCGAATACATAGTTTTATTTAAAATGTCAAATATTCAATGTAAATCTAAGAAAGTATTAATTTCGGCGATATTATAGTGCAGTCATGTGTGTTGTATGTGTGTATGTGTAGACACACACAGGTGCACTCTCTATTCCTTTTCCACTCAAAGTCTGATGGGACGATACTTCGACAGGACCGGTGAGAATTAGGCCCAGGACCGATGTCTTTACGTGCTCTCGTAGGCACGCTTGTGAAACACCGCCGATATACCAACTCTGAGCTGTTATTGTTGCTTTGTGTTTGATGATCTTTTATATAAATTTATAGATAAAAAAATATAATATCAAAACAATAAATACAGATAAAAAGTATCAAAAGATTTGGTCAAAAGTGTTAAGTAGTACCGAAAAAAAGCCAAAGTCTTCAATGTGTATGAGAATACCCTCTTTTTTTTTTAGTGTCGGGAAATGCATTTCCCCCAGGTGGTGATGTGGGGCTAACTGGCTAGAAGAGCCGGTACTACCCACTAAAACCCGACATTCCCCTCCCCTCCGCCTTAATGGGACGCCGCAGGATCGCTTGCGCATAACTACTACGGCGCCCCGGCGGCAGGTCTGCCTAAACATTAGGCAGACCACCAAATCAATGGGGCTGCTCCACAGTCCACTCTACTACGGCAGAGAAGTACTCGGAGCAGCCCCATTAAATCCTCACCGCTCACCGAAGTGGGCCACATTCATCCGGCTGCAGAGGACAGGGAGAGCGGCAACGAAACACCAACACTCCTCTTCCCCTGCAGCCCCACCGCGTCCGCCATCAAACGGTGGCGGCCCCGTCTAGGCCTGCGACCACAAGCGGTCCCACCACCGGTGGCCGCAAATTTTTCGGCCGAGCCTTTCGGCTCGAGGCCTAGACGAGCGACCCCACCAAGCCATTTGGTCCGCGCCGGATTTCTCCGATACCACCCGCCGTGTGAGAATACCCTGTTTTTATTTTATTTATTCTCTTTGAAAGATTTATTTACATTAATAGATATTAAAATAATCCTTAGGTTTAGAACACTTAAGCAATTAGAAGGATTATTGTAATTAAGCTATTATTATTAATTAATTTTATTGTTCAAATGACGTATATTTCAGAGTAAAGCAAATATTTGAAGACAATAAAAGCGACTTGACAAAAGAGGATCTTTTGTCGTTGGTTTATTGCGAAGCAGTAATACAGGAGACTCTGAGGTTGTATCCTCCTCTACCAGTAGTGACAAGGCATGCTGATCGAGATCTTCAGATAAGTAAGTTATTTCGAGGAAATAAATTGTTTCAGATATTTTACATTCTTATAAAATGGAGATCTCCTATATCCTCTTTATGGTAAAAAAGTTTTTTTCACTTACTGGTTATGTGAGTGTTTGCAGTTATAGTTAACACAGCTCCGTTTGCATAGTTTTATATAAAGTACATACACAAATATATTTTTTTTAGTTTTATAATAATACTTTCTTAGATTTACGCGAATATTTCACACTTTAAATAAAACTATCTTTTCACCTCTCTCATGGCCATGATTGCTGTAAAGCATTCGAAACGTAGGGAAGTAGAAACAAAAGTAAATCCTGCGAAAAATCTGAAAAGATAGTTTTATTTAGTTTTATAATATTAGTATCTATCTAGTTTTCAGTTTTAAAAAGTTAAGATATTTATCAGTTTATAGTAAGGAAACAGTTCCATTGTAAAAATCATTGTAAATATCTTTATTTTACTCTTAGAAGTATTATATAAATTCCTTGAAATAACTTACTTGTCCTTGACTGTTAATATCAAAATCCACGAAGAAAACAAAACCCTGTAGATTTTCTTTTTCTTGAATTATTATCCCATCAAAAACATAAATGTGAAATTGGGAGCCAAGTTCAATAATAAGAATATATGTCGTTGTCAACTTCACCGACAAAAGAACTGAGATCTAAATGGGTGCCAAGTTCTGTAGATAATTCTGACATTTTTTCATAAGAACATACAACGTTCTAAAATAAATTTAAAACACAATTTCTTGTTCATTGTCTGCTTCAAAAGTGTTTGCTATTGAGAAATAGAACTTCTTAAATTTGAACAGTCTTAGGATAAATAGAAGTTCAAGATTTGACTTGGCTTGTTATTCCGGACTATAATCTATCTTTGTGCCAAATTTCATCCAGATCCGATCGCATGAAAGAGTAACAAACATCCATACTCACAAACTTTCAAATTTATAATATTTATACACATGTTTATTATTTTTAGAATCATGCACAATACCAAAAGGTACACTGTGTTGTCTAAATCTATTGGGCGCTGGTAGATCTCACCGTGCTTGGGGAGAGGACGCAGATAAATTCCTGCCCGAACGTTGGCTTCTGCCGTCAACTTCGAGCAATCTGGCTTATCTGCCGTTTAGTACTGGAAGAAGATCTTGTATAGGTATAATGTGTACTTATTAATAGTTTAAATAGCAAGAGAATGACTCGGGAAAAAGACATGTCACTCCGGCACATGACTAGGACATCGCCATTTCCGAGTTGTTTTGAAGATTCTAATTTCTTTGTACTTTTATGTAAGCTTGCCTGAATATAACCTATATTGCCTTTGCCTGATTTTTCTAGATTATTACCTTCTGGAGGCTTTATATATTTTTTAACTAAAATATTTTTTTTACTCTAATTGATATTGCTAGTTGTTAAAAGTTGTACAAACAAAAAAAAAACAAATTAATGGTCAAAAAAATTCGTCTAGTAGTAAACAACCTAATATCTGTTTCTTAATACCAGTACAATTTTATTTTCAGGAAAAAGGTATGCGACAGCAATCCTGAAAACCCTTTTAGCTTATTGCGTAAAAGATTTAATATTTGTATCAGAAGCTGACAAATTCGAATTCAAAATGGACATCGTCTTGAGGGCTACAAAGGGAAATCTGTTGGAGGTGAAATTAAGAGTATGAATTGATTTGATTATAAATAAAATTATTTTTGTTAATTACTAAACTTGTAAAGGATCAAATCATGTAACAGATTTAGCAAAATTGTCTGGGAACGGGTGAGGTTAAGAGATTAACACAATAAAGATATGCTTTACTGTATATGACATTTTATTTTTTCTTTTGTGAATTCAAATGCGTACATTACATCTCTCTTAATTAGTGCTAGGGTGAATGTGTGATTAGTAGAAAGTTGAAAACCCATGAATTTATCTTGTTAATTCCAACACATTAAGCATTGCATTATTATTAGAAAATTGACGGGAAAATCTACAATCATGAGTTACCGATTTTTTAAATTGACAGTAGTCTGTACCGTGGTATATGTCAAATTTGTGAATCTTGTAACATACGTTAGAAATGGATAATTTAACACTGCTATACTAATTTGTAATTTGGTAATTTCGAAGCATCAAAAGAATAATTTTTTGATTGGCGACGTCGAAGTTATCCCAATGACTAACTACTGTATAATGCCCTTTCAAATACCATACTAGCATCTCACAGCTTTTGACTAATCCAACAATCTAAGAATATCTGATGAAAAGTATATGGTATTTGTACGTACGTGTTTTTAAACCACCTAATATTGAGTATTAGGTGGTTTCAACCACAATACCGCAAAGTATGAAAATAATCTCAAGAAAATATATTTCTTTTCTACAGCATTACATAAATTAATATTCTTGATGTAGGATTCGACAACACGTTTGGCTCAATTTGTAGTGACCCTACATGCTGTGCCAGCGGTCGCGGGTACGAGTCCCGCTGGGGGCATTCATTTGTGTAACGAGCACTAATGTTTGTACTCCAGTAATGGGTATTTATATTTATATTATGTATGTATTTAAAGTTATATATATGCAGTGTGTCAACTATCTGGTATCCATAACTCAAGCATCATAGCTTACGATGGAACTAGATGGTGCTGTGTGTTAATGTCCCAACATATTATTATTATTAATATTTTCATCAATAATATCAACATTAACCATTACTTTTTTCCATGAAATTTTCGCAAAATAGTTCGCTATATATCCGACGACGACCACGACGAAAAAGCTATTTCCACCATAATGAAAACTCCACTGATTTATTGTTGGTATCATTAAAGTAGTTGCTATTTCATAATTTGGCGTTTCAATCATTTAGTTATAAACTGAAATATTTTCATTTAAATTTATTTCTTTCAGAATATTTTTCGTAATATAATTTCCTTAAGTTATTTAGTGTAGAAAATACTTGGGTTTCAGAATTTTATTGTATGAACAGGATCGTTTATATTATAAACATGAGCTCTTCGAGTTAAAGTTGTCAGTACTACTTAAATACTTAATTGCAAGTCAGTACTTGAATTAGATTGGTTTACTGCTACTGTATTTTTAATTCACTTCAAATTTTTTGGCGTCATACTTGATGAGTCTAACGAATCTTCAGTCTCCAAAAACTCAGCATTGAAATCTCTATCATGTTATACTGACTGTCTTAAGCAAATATTTCTATTAACAAGCGATAGCGGTCAAACTTATAACACCCCTCTTTTTGCGTCGGGGATTAAAAATCAAATTACAAGAAACTACATTGTATTACTTATTTATGACTAGCGACTCACCTTCATCAACTTTCATCCCCATTTTCACCTTCTTAAGGGAAGTTTTTTGAGATAAAAATTGTCCTATGGCCTTCCCAGGATCTTAAACTGTCTTCTTAATTTCTTACCTTACTACCTCGCGGTTTATTTCTAAGAAATTAATTTTTCACGAGCTGCCGGCGGTTCGGTGGTCGTTGATAGGTTTACCTTTAATTTCATCTTTTTCGGTTCAGTAGTTCCAGGGATTACTTCCTACAAACAAGTTCACAAACTTACAAATTTTACCACTTTATAATATTAGTGTAGTCAAAAGCTGCTATTGTGACTTAACTATGATAGATATATGTATGTATCGTATATTCCCTCGCGGATTTTTTTGTACGTAGTAATGAGTACTTTAATCATGTAGTAGATTATTTTTATAAATCATCAATAGTTTTCTCACTCAGCGCACGCTAAATAATGAATTTTATAGGCAAAATTTGCTACTTTGGGTTACATTGTTACAATTTTCTTAAGGATCTCTAACTTTTTTGAAAATAAATTATAACCTTAGCCACTTTCTGATAATTTAGCTTTCCATTGGTGAAAAAATGTTTAATATGGTTCAGTATTTTCGTAGCTTATTCGGTACAAACAAACAAAAAAGCTTTCCTTTTAATTAATATTAGTATATTAGTATACATTTTAATAGCCACTTAAGTGACCTTTGTTCACTGAAAACGTCGGGAGTCGAGACGAATCAGCAGCAGTGAGTAGTCATAATCTTGATGCTGGTTGGTCGTGACGTTGGTTTCTAACGTAAATAAATTAAACTTTACTAATTATACAATTTCATATTATTTTATATAAATCTTTTTTAAAGTTAGTCTTCTTGAATAAAATATTTTTTGAAGCAAAATTTCTTTAGGCGTGGCTGAGGGGTAAGTCAATACATTGGAAAAAAAAATATTTTCTATACTTTGTTAAGAAGTAATGACCTCAGTAATAGGTCTTCTCGGTACTTTTAGTTGTTGTGGTTTATTCACACTTTTACTGACCTAAAGTAAACGAGTAACGTTGTTAAAAATATATTTCAGATGTATTATATAATATGGACGTTGTTGCTTTTGTTCTGCCTTCAATGTATCTTATGGAGTCTTTTCTGGAAGGCGCGACGCAATTTCAAGAATTTACCTGCGTACTCTCAACTACCATTCCTAGGTTCTGTACATTGGTTCATCGGGGGTGGTGCGAGTAAGTCTTTTTTAAGGTCATTTTTTAAGTATGTACGTGATGTGTTCGTCTAATATGAACCTATTATAACATTTCTTTTTTAAAGTCAGGGCTTAAAAATCTCCTCCAAAGTCTAGACATTTAGTTGAAAATAATATTTTTTATATATCACTTCCTTAAATTTCACTGCTGGTTTGCACATTGCGTGCTTGGGGATGATATCCAATTTTATTTAACCAAACTGCGACACACTGGAACTTGCTCAATAAAAAAATCTGTTGGTATAGAATTAGTGACCTTTGATGCCTCTTGAGTCACTTTGACGCCACTTCGGTGGGCGGTGGGAGGTGGCCCATTTCGGTGGGCGGTGTACCATGCGGGTTGTTCCTGGTACTTCTGTGATAGCAAAGTGGATTGTTTTAGCAGCCTCACGGTTGTTGTGGTCTACAGGTGGTATGCGTAAATGCATTTCCCAACAAAAAAAGGACATTATAGGCTGACACAGCTCAAAGGTTAATACTAAGGTTTTTAACAAATTTCAGTGGTATTTCATCGTTTGAAGGAGATATCTAAAATAATGGATGATACAAGATTACCGTTCATTTTTTGGCTCGGACCACAACCTATACTGTGTAAGTACCTATTAAATATTTACTAATTAATTTCTTCTCTAAATACGTTAAAGGGCTATACCACTTTCCGTGCATTTCACATTAAATATTACTGATTTTCATACAAATATATTACAAATTTTCATTCCCTATTTTACCCCCTTACGGGATGAATTACAAAGAATGCTAATACACGTGTTTATTGATTTGAGGATCATTAATACCAAGTTTCAAGTAATTCTAAACATTAACATTTATTTCCATATATATTTTAAAGGTAAATCCCATTTTCCAAAAAAATATAGAGTTATATTATATAAAAAATTTACCCCTCTTCTACCATCTGATGGGATTATTTATTATATAAATATATATATATATATATATATATATATATATATATATATATATTACTATATAATAAATATTCCCATAAGATATAGTAATTTCAAATAATTCTGATGATAAATATTTTTTTTGCCCATATAAACTTTCCGAAATTTCACGTTTGTACTACCCCCGTTTACCCGTTTAAGGTATGAATTTCAAAAAAATCTCATAAGAATATTTTATTATATTATATCTTTGAGTTAACACTCAAATATTATTTATTTCATTATAATTACACCTTTGAGAACTAATTTAATTGTATTATAATTATTACTTTAAGTTGTAAATAAATATTTTTGTAATTTACAATTACAAAAAATAGCAATTGACGTCAACAATAGATTAAACAATTCGTAATCTTGATTTTTAGCAGAAATCATAAAAAAACCATTGCAAAATTTATTGTGTTCACTATATATTAACACTATTAAAATTCCCAACTATTATAAAAAATAATTATTAATTATTATAAATGAAGTTTAGTTTACAATATTTTAAATTAAATGCGTTACATGTACGAGATACAAAATTATTTGAAGCATACTTCGTTTTAGCTTTCTATACCCCAGTGACCTAATCTGTGACACGCAAGATTCACTTTGCTTTGTAGGGGAGAGTCGATGATATTATGTAGCAATTTGTTCAACAACATTTGATCTCTTATATCACGGCGTTTTTCGAGGGTATTACTGTTTAAGTTTTCGATAATGGAATGTACAGATGAATTTTAATGATTTAAGTGACGCAGATATTTGTTATTGATTGTTTCAATCATTTTCATATAAACTTTGTATTAAGGATCTCAACATGAAGAACAATACTCAAGAATAGACCGCACCAGAGAGTTAAATAGTATAATTAAAGTTGTGGACTGTTTAAAATCTTTCGAGATACGCATAGCAAAACCTAGCATTTTGTAAGCTCTTTGAGTTATAATACTAATATGTGACCCCAGTACCAGCATTATCCTATTTTACACTACAATTAGATGTTCTTTTCAAATCATGAAATATTATAAATTGTTTCCAATATTTTAAACTAGTTTTCATCCCTTTTTAATGCCCCACTACTAGGCACGGGCCGCCCAGAAGGGAAATGTGAGAGAGATCAGGCCATAGTCCACTATACAAGTCAAGTGCGAGTTGGCGGACTTCACATATCTTTTGGAAACTTGCAGGTTTCGCTTTAAGATAAGTAGTTATTGGAAATAATTCGCACATGAATATATTTGAGGCGCGAGACCCGGGATTTGAACACGTTTGATTTGGATTCGCAAGCACGCGCGTTACCACTGCCTATTTTAAACTACATGGCGGCATAATCGCGCGTCCACATATGTATATGTACATGCCCATAGATATCGCCGAAAAGAACGTTTAACTTAGACTATTATTACCCGACTGCGGTGAAGTCCAAAGGAGGGCTATGTGTTTGACCTGTATATAATTGTATATGTGTCCGATCCTATGTTCCCTCGTAATTACTAAACGGCTTAACCGTTTTCATAATTCATATGTCATTATATCCCTCTTGAGAATGATTTAGATATCATTAAAAGTCATTAAAAAATTTAGGAACAAGGCGACAGCAAATTTTTCTGTTAAATTTTTTTTCTCAATAAAATAATACGTTAAAGAAAAATAAATAACAATTCGAATTTTTTAGTTGTAAGTGATCCTGAGGACGTGAAAATTGTTACTAACGGCTTCCTTGAAAAGCCGTATCAGTACGACTTCGGCCGCGACTGGCTCGGGGATGGCCTTCTTACTGCACCAGGTAATACTTTTAGTTCAATTGTTGTTTTAAATTCTACGAAGCAAAAACTCATTATTATTTCCTCCACGGTGTATCAGTTGACAATTGATTTCTTAGAATTTTAATTAAATTCTTAGAAATTTAACTGAACGTGTTATTTACGAAATGATTTCATTATATCTATTACTAATGACTTACATTCGCTTCGCTTGTGTGCGTCCTTTGGTGCCTTTTATATTTGTACAAAAAAACCATTTAGTTATTCATATTGGTAATGTTTTATAAAAAGTTTAGCAATAATAATGGTAGATTTTCTTGTCAATTGTACTTCCCCTTTTTACCCCCTTAAGGGTAGAATTTTGAAACATTGCACAACTCGTAGTTTATTTAATGGTACTAAAGAGCATCTTTCTGTAATTCTGATCATATTTTTTTTTCATTCAGACTTTACCGACCTCTTTTTCCCTTTAAGGGATGAGTTTTAAAAAAATGCCCATATATGTATTTTTTATGTTATACTAAGAACTAATTTTACACATTTCACATTAAAAATGACAGAGTTTCATAGAAACTTTCATCGCCTATTTTATCGTCTTATAGGATAAATTCTCTTTCTAAATGGAGCCTATAAAATTAACTATACACTCATCAATAATATCTATCTACTAAATTTGATTTAAATCCTTCCAGTTCTTGCAGCGTGACAAACACACAGAAACGTACAAACTTTCGCATTTATAAATGTATTTTTGCAATTATCATTTAGCTGTAATAAGTAATGTCGTTTATGTAGTGTTATGATCCGTTCGCAACTTTTTGATTTTGGGAAATGAAAGTAAGCTATGTCTTTTTATAAAACGGATGCTGTGTGCCAAAAGTTCATCAAAATCGGTCCAGTAAATTTTATTAATGCACTTTAAAGTCAATTTTGTATTTGTCATAATACACAGTAGGTTAAAACATAATATTCTTACATATCAGGAGAAATCTGGAAACGAAATATAAAGCTTATAGCAGGCACGTTTTCCGCAAGCATGGTAGATGGTTTCCAACAGGTGTTTAATATAAAAGCGAGAGAATTAGTTGAGAATTTGAAAGCAGACAACAACAAACAGCCTTTTGATGCGATGCCCCATTTATCTAACATTTCATTAGCCGCCATTTGTCGTAAGTACCCAAATGATTGAGAAAAATATTATTTAATAATTACCTAGTAGGGATGGGCCGAAATTCGTTTTACATTCGGTTTAACCGAATTTCGGCAGCTTAAGCCGAACATCGGCATTCGGCAGAATTTTTTAATCTCGCCGAATGTTCGGCCGAAGTTCGTAATCGGTTCAAACCACATTCGGCCCATCACTATTAAGTAGCAGTAGCAGTTTTTAAGTCGCGTTCATAATACATTTTTTTTAATTAATTAAGAAACTTAAACTTGTGATGATATCCTAAATATTGAAATATCGATCCAGTCTTCCTTAAAAACTATAAAATTATCCTTTCATATATTAGACTAAATATAATATAAATATCAAATCAAACTGTTATATTTTAGAGACTGGTCTCGGAGTAACTTACACATCGGATAGTAAGCAGTCTCTAGAATACTATGACGCGTTCAAGAGTACATTGGAACTGCTCCTTAAGCGGGGATTAAATCTGTTCTACCACTATGACTGCATTTACAGATTTTCATCAGATTACGCCAAGTTTTTAAAAAACGTAGCTGTTTTGCATAATGTGTCAAATACTGTAAGATTCTTTCATTTGTATCTATCAATTATATAGGTATAACTAGCATTGCCTGTGGCTTCGCCCGCGTTCAGATGACCAAAACCAAATTCTTAGGTTTTACATGTATTAGTATAGTCATACTTACATTGCAGTTTTTGTATTTTTTCTCAGAAATGAGACATTTTCAAGCGGTAAAAAGTATTCTATATGTTGACCCGGATAACCAGCTATCACCATACATTATATTTCGTCCTATTACATCTATACATATATGTATAAGCTAAGAGTTGGTTTGTTTGGAGTCAAGCTCTTTTGATATTAACACATTGGATTTTTTACCGTCTGTTTTTTACCGTTATAGTTATTTTAACAGACATCAAATTTATACAGATAAATAAGATTGAAGTCTCTGTTTGTAATGTCAAAATAAAAGCTTTTTACTAAATGCTTATGAAATATACGGTACTTATAAGAAAAGTACAATGTCTAAAATATTTTTTTGTCTGTCCGTTTGTCCGTCCGTCCGTCCGTCTGTCTGTTTGTTCCGGCTAATCTCCGAAACGGCTGGACTGATTTTGATGCGACTGACTTTTAATGGCAGATAGCTGATATTATAAGGAGTAACTTGTAATATAACCCTTTATTATATACTATCTAATTTATATATCATATAAATTGTGTGTAATCTACCTGTTGAGTAAGACTTCATAAATTAAAAGACCTTTATTGAGACTAGTCTGCTGCACAGGACTGTACAGGAGATTTTATAACGTTGGCGTGTATGCACAGGCATGAGAACACTATATTTCGTTTATTTTTAAAATCCAGCCTGACAGCACTTTAATACTAGTGAGAGATAAGGTCAGGACCCACTTTTCAATTCCTCCTTAAGAGCGGAACCCAATAACTACTTTGTCTGACTCGGGACTCGAACTTAAGACTCGTACCTTCGACCGTACAAGCTATCTATGCGTACAACATTAACGAGGCATTTGGTAAAATGTATTATTTTTGTAAATAGTGTCACAATTTATTGTTTCAGGTGATCAATCAAAAGATACAAGAACGAAATAAAATGGATACGAGTAAGACCCATATAGATTCCACAATAGAAGGTAAGGTTACTATTTACTAAAATATTATATATTTTTGCATATACAATCTAATAAAATTATAACGAAGTAAATAAATGGTTTAAAAGCTTCTGTTGATTTTTTGAGCAATTAAAAAAAATGTGGTACTTAATAATAATAATAATACTTGGCAGTGCTGACGCACATATTTTGGCCACATAACGATTGCAGTTATTCACGTCACGGCCTACCGATTCGCTTGTCTATTTGCAACACTAAAAAATTATAAGTTGTGTTAGGGAGATTAAGTCCCCCCGAGGTGTGTTTACCTTATCGTGGTTAAGGGGCTCATAAGCATCCAGCATATCCGACATATCTGATAGCAGAGCAGACCGTTGGAGCAACCTCTTGGATGTTGTGGTCTGTTTCAAGAGACCTGACGATGGGACGTCATGGTTGATTGCGTAAGCGAACCTGCGACGTTCTATTATGACGGAGGAGGTTTCGCTGGGTTTAAGTGAGTAGTACTGGCTTTCGAAGCTGGATATATGCTGGTGATCTACGTAAATTTTCCACCGTTAGGGACATTTTGTTAGTAATTAGAGTCAATATAATAAATATATGTAAATTTGGATGTTCGATTATCTCTCTACCACACAACTACAGTCAATACGTACACACTCACAAAACATTTATGTTTTTTATAGATGTAAGTAATAGTGTGAATTTTATAACATTAGTAAGTTTCATTTCAACCGGCATCAAAAACAAACATACAAATGCGTTATCACATGATAATTTCGTTTATCTTATGATATGTTGTTCTAATTAATATTTATATTTGTAGGTCCAAAAAAATCTAGTTTTAAATCAATATTGGACGTTTTGTTAGATCTAAAAGAAATAGATCCCAATATGGATCTTAATCGGATAAAATCAGAGGTGCATACCATTATTTTTGGTGGACAAGAGACGGTTGCAAGCACGCTTGGTTACGCGTTGTTGATGCTGGGTTGTCATCCTAATGTGCAAAATAAATTATATAACGAGTAAGTTTATGTTGACACTGGCAGAAAGTATTGCACTTGTTAACACGATTCTAATCTATTCAAGCAAAAAAGTTTATGTTAAATAATGAAACGTTCTTCTGAACAATTACGGCTACGGCGGCCGATCATGCTAAATCTGCGAAGAAGATATTATAGTGCACTTATGCGTGTTGTATGTGTGTATATATAAATACACGCCAGTGCATCGTTCTATTCTTTTCACACTCAAACTCCAGTGGGATATGTATTCGATATTCGCTATGTAAGGTCTCATGCAGGACCGACGGTTTAACTTGCTATGCTTTGAGTGAAACACTTTACATTGCCAACTTTCCAATTCTAAGCTATCATTGTTGCTTTTTCCTTGATGATCTTTTATATAACTTTTTAGATAAATAAAACAAAACAATAAATAAAGTTAAAAATATTAAAAGATTTGGTGTTTTGGCGAACTGGCCAATTTGATTTCATTTGATTTTTGTTAGGAGTTCCAAATTCAAATTTATTTCAAATTTCTAGTCAGATTCATTCAGATCTGGCTAGATGGTTACGGTAGATCTGTATTGTCACTAATTGCAAACCGACGGAAAAGCTAGCCTTTAAACAACTGAGTCTGGTCAATTGCTCTTGCCCACTGCTGCTTTAGGACAACGCTAGACCACATATTATACAACAGATGATCGCTAGATTAAAGGAGCTGCGATTGGAATGTTTCCGACACCCACCATACCCCCGGACCTTGTTCCAACAGATTACCAGTTTTTTTTCGGAATTTAGGCAATTTCTTGCAAGGAAAAGAATTCAATTCCCACGAGGCAGTCAAAACCGTCTTCAGATATTTTATTGATTCTCGCTCCCACATTTTTTTCATCAAAGGAATCAATGAATTACATTTAAAATGGTGAAAGCATTGATAATAATGGTACATATTATGTACTTTGCTTGATTAAATATATAATTTCATTTTTTTTTCGTTTTGCTTTTTCCGTATAAAACGCCAACATCATAATTGTAAGGACCTAATATTAATAGACATTAAAATAGTCCTAAAATTTAAAATTCTAAGCAATTAAAAGGATTATTGTAATTAAAGCTAATATTATTAATTATTGTTCAAATGACGTATATTTCAGAGTAAAGCAAATATTTGAAGATAATAAAAGCGACTTGACAAAAGAGGATCTTTCGTCGTTGGTTTATTGCGAAGCAGTAATACAGGAGACTCTGAGGCTGTACCCTCCTGTACCAATAGTAACAAGGCATGCTGATCGAGATGTTCAGATAAGTAAGTTCAGATATTTTACATATATCCTTATGAAATGGAGATAGGAGGTAGTGATAAGAAGTTTATATTATCCATTACTTTTATATTATATGTTCTTGTAGTAACGATACGGTACATATGTATCTGTCACAGCGCCAAAGAAGTTTTTCTTCAACCGCGCGTTAAGGCACAGTAAGTAAGTACAAGTACAAAGTTACACGCACTATTTTTTTTGTTTTAGAGTCATGTATAATACCAAAAGGTACACTGTGTTCTCTACATCTATGGGGCGCTGGTAGATCTCACCGTGCTTGGGGAGAGGATGCAGATAAATTCCTGCCCGAACGTTGGCTTCTGCCGTCAACTTCGAGCAATTTGGGTTATATGCCTTTTAGTGTTGGAAGAAGATCTTGTATAGGTTAGTGTGTAATTATTAATAATTTTCTTTTTCTAGAGCCGTTCTCTTGTTATTTAAAATGAGAAGAGAAGCTCTGGAAAGAGAGATGTCACTCTGGCACATGACTAAGACATCGCTATTTTCTAGTTGTATTGAAGATTCTAATTTCTCTATACTTTTATGTATACTTGCCTTATTATAAGTACGTTGCTAGATTTTAGATTAGTACTTGAGGTTTTATACCTTTTTATAACATTGTCTATTGGATATTGTTAGTTGTTGAAAATTGTACAAACAAAAAACAAATTCATTGTCAAAATTCCTCCACTTTATTAGTGGATACAACCTAATATTTGATTTATAATAACTATACAATTCTATTTTTCAGGAAAAAGGTATGCGATGGCGATCTTGAAAACCCTTTTAGCTCATTGCGTAAAAGATTTAATATTTGCGTCAGAAGCTGACAAATTGGAATTCCAAATGGACGTCGTCTTGAGGGCTATAGAGGGAAATTTGTTGGAGGTGAAATTAAGAGTATGAATAGATTTGATTATGAATAAGATTATAATTTTTGTAAATTACTAAACTTGTAAAGGATCGAATTATGTGACAGGTTTAGCAAAATTTCTTGGAACAGGTGGGGTTAAGAGGTTAACACAATAAAAATATACTTTACTATATATGATAATATATTTTTTCTTTGGTTTAATCAAATGCGTGCCATACATCTTTTCAAATGAGTGCTAGGATGAATGTGTGATCTGTAGAATATTGAAAATCCTTGAATTTATCTTGTTAGCTTCAACAAATTAAGCATTGCATTATTATTAGAAAGTTTACGGAAAAATCTACAGTCATGATTTACCGATTTTTTTGATTGACAGTAGTCTGTAGTGTTGTATATGTCGAATATGTGAATCTCATAACATACATTAGAAATGGATAATTCAACACTGCTATACCCCCAGCTGATAGTGTTAACCTATTTTGGGAATTTTGAAGCATCAAAAGAATCGTTTTTTGATTAGCGACGTCAAAGTTCTCCCAATGACTACTGTATAATGCCCTTTCAAATACTATACTAGCATCCAATAGCTTTTGACTAATCCAACAATTAAAGAATATCTGATGAAAAGTATATGGTACTTGTACGTACGTGTTTTCTAAACCACCCAATAGTTCAGCCACAATAGCGCAAAGTATGAAAATAATTTCAACGAAATATATAATACGAAATTTCTTTTCTACAGCATTACGTAGATTAATATTCATCATGTGGAATTTGACGATATCTTTTAACTGGCTTTTAATGAATATATTTTTAATAATATTTTCATCAGTAATATCAACATTATTATTTTTTTCTACGAACTTTTCACAAAATAGTTCGCTATCAGTCCAAAGGTGAAGTATCTCGTCGCTTAACGCTAACATTTGAGCTTCTATGTAACCAACGATGACCACCACGAAAATGGCTATTTCTGCCATAATGAAAACTCCACTGATTATTGCTGGTATCATTAAAGCAGTTGCTATTTCATAATTTGGCGTTTCGAGCATTGGTTCTAAGCCTGAAACATTTTGATTTAAATTTATTTCTCTCAGAATATATATCGTGATATAATTTTCTTAAGTTATTTTGATAAAAAAATCTTGAATTTCAGAATTTCATCGTATGAACATAATCTTTGTCGATGTTGGTAGATAATGATGCTCTTTGTATTTAATTTGTACCGACTTATATTACATTGGCTTATTGCTACTGTATTTTTAATTTATTTTACATTTTTTGCTGTCATACTTGACGAGTCTAACGAGTCTTCAGTCTTCGATAACTCAGCATTTCATTCTCTTATTTCTAATAATTTGATAAGAATTCCATTAAAATCCCTTCTAACCAAATCAAAATACAGATCTAAGAACGATCAGAAAATTTAATTTAATCTAACTCGCTTACCATAAATAACATACAGGTCCTCGGTCAAATGGCGACCAGGCATAAGAAAAGGCATTATGATATAAACAGCTCCATTGACTGTAAATGCAATCCAAATAACGAGTGCCCTTTTCTTCACAACTCTTAGTATTTTGAGAACATTTGTAGCAAACCGAGTTTCCGGTATAACCAATCGATCACATTGTAAATACTCATTGATTAAGATCCTAATTGATTTTCTGTAATATACTATTTAGTTATAAAATATTTTTTAAATTACATTACTTTTATTGCTGGTTTTTAAGGTTTTGATTTCTTGTTTTTAACGGAGTTTTAGAAACAAGGGACAAACAAATGTTAAAATTATTCCTATAAAAATATTTAGGGTGGTTTTGAAATATTGTATAATATTGTTGGAGATATATAGAAGAGATATGAAATTAAATGAAATAAATAAAATGAATTGCGAACCTAATCAAAATACTTACTCATATAGCTTTATATAAAAAAATTTCATCACCGCTGACGCACTGCACATTCCAAGTGATATTTCCAAAAAACATATTGTTATGTCTACATTTTGTGGACATCGGAACAAAACGAACCATATCATTGAAAATATGTATACATAAAAATAGAATGATCCACCTAAGACATTTAAAAAATAAATAATCCATGGAATAGCTGAAATTTTAATAAATATCATTATTACTCATTTTTATGTAAGATTTTATGTACTAAGCAATGATTTTTTCTAAGCTCTTATTCTATTATTTTTGTTTCAATCATTTTCAGTGAGTGCTTTTGTAACTATATTGGATACTGAGATTAGCCGTTTTAGCAAAAGATACTTTAGTGTAAGTGTGTGAGAACTCGACATGAACGGCGCAGGACCAACAGCTGTGCGTGTTTTCCGACGGGAGTGTAACACCGTTAATTTCCCAACGCCTTGTTGCTACTAAGAATTTTTTTGTTAATTATTATTACTTGGATCGATCAGGAACTTAAATCCAGTACCTCCGGCCGCAGAAGTCTTTTCATATTTAGAAAAGTGTTGTTTTGATCGATTTCAAAAAAGAGGAGGCTCGTAATGGTGATGTCCTCTCGGCGGATTTCCCCTACGGCGGTCAATTTCGCTGACACAACTGGGTGGGAAATATTATAGTGCACAAGTGCTCTCTCAAATTGCGGTGGAATTCTGATTCGAACGAGAGAGATCAGGTGCAGGATCAACGATGGCTTTACGGAGGTGAAACACCGCTAACTTCCCAACTCCGGGCTGTTGCTGAGACATTCATAACAGAACTTTCAATCTCAGGACCTCTAGGTGTGCAGCTGTACATGCTTGCCACTATACCTCCAAATTTTATAATATTTATTTTTTAATATTTGTAATATTAGCGAGAATACTTACGCCTAATATTGTTCTTATTAATATTTATAGTCAGTCCCCTGAACAAAATAGCAAGGTTTTCTATCATAGTTGGTAGATCACAGTGGTCCAGTCCAAACTTTCCGAGGATACCCATGTCGGATATTCTGTGGAGTAAAATTTATTATGTAGACTTTTACACAGACATCTTGTATTATATCGTATTCAATGTTATAACACATTGACGGGATATATTGGTTTTCCTCTTTTATGTAGGAAAAAATATTATAATCTTAGCAGGGTTATTCATTATTTTATTAAAAATGAAAAAAAAATAATAATAAGAAACAATCAGGTAAAATTGAAGTATTATATATTATATATATAGAGAGAATTGAATCTGTTCCTTTTATCTTCATATGAGCAATGTCTAAAAGTCAGATAAAAAAAACTGACAAAAAAATTCTGAGTCGAATCTGTACATAGAATATTTTTTTTGAAAATCTTATAGTCATTCATTCTTATAGTCAGTCATCAAATAGTCATTATTATCGATATAGAGGCCGAATCTATAATTTTTAGAATTTTTGTCTGTCTGTTTGTCTGGGAACGCATCACGAGATAACCATTGGACAGATTTGAATAAACTTTAGTATGATGATAGCTGGTTATCCGGGTCAACATATCGGATACTTTTTACTGCGGGAAAATATCTCATCTCTGAGAAATCTATAATAACCTTTAAAACGGTAGTTTTTATATAAATTCCACAGTGGTATTGAAACAAACGATTGCAATAAGCTCTCGAAAGAAAATATAAAGAAATTTGTATCAAATATTCACCATTTTTCACCCTAGAATAAATTAACCAAGCTTGATTGACATTCAAATAGCTTTATTGGTCTTAATTATATGAAGTGTTCCATTTTTTTTTTAATTTAGTTGTTTTCTAGCGATAGCCGTAGAGTAATATAATTTATAATATTATATGCCTGTTGTTTGTCAAGACTATGTTTGAAGATTTTTACAAATATTAGGTATTATTTATAAAAAAAAATAGTTTGTATGGAAAAATCACTAGCTAATCTGTTCTTATAATAAACTAGCAATGCCCGCGGCTCCGCCCGCATTCAGATCACTAAAAACCAAATTCTTAGGTTTTACATATTAGTATACTCTTACATTACAGTTTTTGTATTTTTTCCTATATGTTGACCCAGATAGCCAGCTATCACCATACTAAATTTCATCAAAGTCCCTCCAGTGGTTTTTCCGTGTGCGGTAACAGACAGACAGACAGACAAAAATTCTAAAAACTATAGGTTCGGCCTCTGTATCGATAATAATGTCTATTTCAATAAGATTTTCCAAAAAATATATAATGCACAGATTTGACTCAGTTACAACTTTATTATATGTATAGATTAGTGGAAAAAAGTAGACTTTACATTAAATATTCATTGACACTTTTTTTTAAAGTTTTATTATCGATATAAGTCACGAAACACAATTTAAAAAGAGATAATATATTTTTGTTTGGGTGTAAAATATTTTATGTGCGTTTATTTTTTTAGCAATAATTACTGGATACATTTTAATAACATTTATAAATAAAAATAGGATAGGTACTCAGATTATAAAAGGATTTTTTATCCCGCAAAATGAAAATATTCCTGGGAAAGGAGGAGGAGAACAATTTTATCAATATTAAAAAAAAAAAAGATTTTGATATTAATTGACAATATCAAAATAAATAATTCATTAGTGGTTAGGAAATTGATTTGTGTACTTTTTGTCCCGGAAATTGAAAGGATTCTCCGGAAAAGGAGAAGGTGCTGTTATGAAAATTCATTTTCTAAGGTAAATTTAAATTTTAATGTCAATCAAAAGCTATACAGTTATTATAATAAAATTATAGTGGAGAAATTAAATGAAGTATTTTGTACATTATTAATGTGACTGGACTCAGCAGTTTTTATGAAGAAAATCGAATACCTAGTTAATTTTTATATACTTTCTACCCGACTGCGGTGAAGCCCAAAGGAGGGTTATGTGTTGGACCTGTATGTATGTATGTATGTATGTATATATGTATGTATGTATGTATGTATGTATGTATGTCCGACCCAATATTCCCACGTAACTAAACGGTTAAACCGACTTTGGTGATTCATACGTCGTTAGATTCGTCTTGATAACGCGAATGTTATAACATGGCAGATTTCAGGCGCTAAATTGTGCGTTTTTAAAAAAAATTCTTCCACCAACCTATCGAGTGGAATATCAAAATAAAGGTTTTAAGGGGGTGATGACAAAAATATATGCAAATTATATGCTTAAAAATAATTTAGGATAAAAAATTGCTAAAAATAACTTTAAATGTCTAATTGGACAAAAAAATCTGTAAATAAAAAATATATTATAATAATAAAAATCCGACTGCATAAAAGCTAACCAAAAATATGAAAGTAAATTGACGAAGGTATATATATTTGTTTCATTCTTGCTGCGAGGTGTGGATATGTCTCCGACTGCATAATACTATATTCCATATAATACTAATAATAATAAATATTGGAACATTAACACACTACACCATCTAGTTCCATGGTAAGCTACAAGGCTTGTGTTATGGATACTAGATAGTTGATACACTACATATTTAATACATGTATAATATAAATAATTACATATTATAAATATAACTTCGTTAACTTGTTTTCATCTTTTTAGTTAGCTTTTATGCATTGGGGTTTTACATTATTATATTTTTATTGCATGCTTTTAAATAATAGATTAGAATTAACTTAAGTAAGGTAGTTGAGTTAAGAGTTGCGTTTCTAATAATAATAATAGTAATTTTTATTGTCCAAAAAGTTTAGCTTACAATATATTTTATATCTGAGGGTAACTCACACTAGGCAAAGCCTATATCGTGAGTACCACAATTTGATTTACAAATGAAATATTGTTGCTCGGTTAACAATGCTAGTAAAAGTTATATTATTATGACAAAGAAATATGTAAAAACTGTTTTTGTCGGAGAAGTGTTAGTCCAGTGGTAACGCTTTCTCAATGCACGCTAACTTGGGAACGCGAGTGAAGCGGGTTCAAATCCCAGGTCTCGTACCACATATTTTCACGTCCGAATCATATCAAAATATTTTTTAACAGCGTACGATCCTGCCTATGTCCTGCCTGGCTAGCCTGTGACCATAGAGAATAATATACTTTTCAAATGCTATAATAATTTTTCAAATCGCTTCAATAGTTCCAGAGATCGCTTCCCATACCTATTAAGTATTTAGATATACAAACTTACAAAATTCACAATCTCTCTTTCGCTTTGTAATATTAATTATTATGTAGTATCCTACACATCGACGAAATGACGAAATTTGAACTACAACAATAAAAAAAATCTTTTCATATCTACTTTAATACTACGATATCCATTATTATTATTCCTTATTATCTATACATATAATAAAATTGTAACTAAGCCGAATCTGTATATTAAATATTTTTTGGAAAATCTTATTAAAATAGACTTTATTATCGATATAAAGGCCGAATCTGTCTATATTACTACATCACAGAAAAACCATTGGAGCGATTTCGATGAAATTTGGTATGGTGTTAGCTGGTTATGCGGGTCAACATATAAGATACTCTTTACCGCGGGAAAATATCTCATTTCTGAGAAAAAATGCAAAAACTGCAATGTAAGAGTATACTAATCTGTAAAACCTAGGAATTTGGTTTTTTGTCATCTGAACGCGGGCGGAGCCGCGGGAAATGCTAGTATTACTATAATAATAGACATATATTACTTATACTATATCACTAACTGTGTATGTTTCGGAATACTAGGAAAAACTTCAGGGTGTCTGTAATTAATGGTACTAATTATAATATATTCATACGTTGCATGTTGAAATAAGTGGTCATTTGGGTTAATAGCTTTAATGTTTTTATAAATATTATTTTTATTTCATCGTCATGTTAATTGTTAAGTGCGACACAAAAAACATTTGTAGATAATATTAATTTCATTTCCGTTGTTTTATTTTAAAATATTAAAAAGTCAATAGTGCGATATAAATGAGCTGGAAAATAATTGAAACTACGAGTATCCATACTAATATTATAAATGTGAAAGTGTGTTTGTTTTTTTGTTTGTTTTTTGTGTGTTTGTTTGTTTGTTTGTTTGTTTGTTTGTCCTTCTTTCACGTCGAAACGGAGTGACGGATTGGCGTAATTTTTTATATGGAGATAGTTGGGAGGGCTGGAGAGTGATATAGGCTACTTTTTACCGCGGGAGATTATCTAATTCCCACGGGAAAACTCTTCAATAAAATTAAATAAATACGTGTTTTAGTATTTTTCCAAATTCATCCTATAAGGGGGTAAAATAGGGGATGAAAGTTTGTATGAAACTATCTTTTAAAATATTTTTTATAGTTTTAGCGCGAGCGAAGCCGCGGGTTCTGCTAGTATGTATATAAATAGGCAAAGACAAAATAGTTCAGTAACTTTTTCTTATCTGTTTGTCTTCTGATTTTCTTTTTTTTTGTTTAGACTATTGACAAGCTTTAGTGGTATTGGTATATAGTAGGCGGATCGCTAGTAAAATCTATACATAAAATAAAATTGTAACTAAGCCGAATCTGTACATTAAATATTATTTGAAAAATTTTATTGAAATAAACATTATTATCGATACAGAGGCCAAATCTATAGTTTTTAGAATTTTTGTCTATCTGTCTGTTTGTTACCGCATCACAGAAAAACTACTGGAGGGATTTTGATGAAATTTGGTATGGTAATAGCTGGTTATCCGGGTCAGCATATAGAATACTTTTTACCGCGTCTTGCGTTGTCTTCTTAAAATGTCTCATTTCTAAGAAAAAATACAAAAACTGCACTGTAAGAGCATACCATAGAGTATATTGCTACATATATAAAGAGCATACTAATATGTAAGACTTAAGAATTTGGTTTCGGTCATTTAAACGCGGGCGGAGCCGCGGGCAATGCTAGTAATAAATATGCTTAAATGAGGATATATAAATGCTTAAACGAACTTGTGACGAGAACGTCACTTGAGGTAAGTATGATAGAAATCATAATTATACAATTACAAATAGCTTTGTCCAAAGAGATTAACTTATGTCATAGTGTGACACAAAAGTAAGTATTTAATATTTGTCCAACTTCAACAAAGGAAGAGGTAGGTATGTTTTGTGTATGTTATACTACACTATATCTTTGGAAATTTTATTGTCTTTCCTGCAATCCTTCTGTAAATGCATTTTGGTTAATAGTTAATATTTGCATTCTTCTTTATAAGAAGACATAAAAAATAGAACATAAATTATTATTAGTTGAACACGATCGCTGCGGCTGTGATTTTTCTATACTTTCCATTCCTGCGGTACAAGATCTATGCACCTGGTAATAAAACTTCCATTGTGGCGGCACAAGGCTTATAGACCCTGTCACATAAAAACTTGAATCCTTTTTTTGGCTTCATGTAAAAATATATTTAATTTTTTTTTCTTTGAATATTAATAATAATGAACTACTTGACGTACACCTGAAGCCGTTCGTTAACAACTTGTTTAGTTTAAAAGTTATAGCTATATTTAAAATACAGGGTTTATACACCCTGTGCCGCACTGAATATGGGAAGTCTGGTGCGTATTTTAGGGATGTGAAATAAAAATACCGAGTCTTAATTAAGTTTTAATATAATGAAAAAAGAATAAAACAACAAACATGAATTAATGTTTTTCAATAAAGCATGGATAACAGAATTTTTTTTTACATTGAACAGATTCCGTTAAAAAAAAATTTACTTTTTTGTCAGCTTGGCGGCTTGTTAAAACGGTTCGGAGTTTTTCGTAGCATCCGACATAGTTCCTCTTCTTAACACCTTTTATTAAATTGTGTTTCTCAATTTTTCGTGCGTGTTCCGAAAAGATAAATTTATCAATTTATTTTTTATTTATATGTGTATATGTGTGCGTAGATTAGATGTGAATGTGTATGTGTGTGCACGCGTTTTCGTCTGCGTTGAAATTACCTGTATCATTGTCCTTTTTTGTAAAAGCTTTGATAATTTCCTCCACAAACTGTAGTTTTGGTAAACTTTACAGGGTTAGTTAGTACGGAACCCTCGATGCGCGAGTCCGACTCGCACTTGACCGTTTTTGTAAACTTACATACACACAAAATGTTACTTTTTTTATAATAAAACAGAAAACAAAACCCTGCCCACGGGAAACGTAATTACGTAAATAAAATAAATAGTAATGATGATCACCTGTCTTGGATCAATCAATCAATAATTTAATATTAGCCGCATCACTGTCCTCACAAACCCCGTGGATTATTTTTTTTCGGCACCTTTTTGTTGGTCCTGATGGTTGGCCATGTCGATGCGTGCGTTTCTCGCGAATATAAGTCAACACTAGCCGCGCGAAGCTAGCGCGGGTTGCGGTACCAGCTGCGCGGGGTACAAGGTGCTGAGACCTGGTTTCGCACTGTGATGAAATTTTATTTCTTCCGTGCGGACCCAGGTTTATAAACACGGTATTAAAGTAGGTACACCATTGGATTCTATTTAACAATACATCTTAGATATATTTGAATTGAAGTTATGCCTTCCGCATGACAAGGAAGTCTATACTTTTCTTAGCCGCACTGTATGCGAGGCGGTATACAAGATGTTTACACCTGGTATCGCACTCAACGTGTTAATGGATTTGAATCAACATAACACAATTTAAGTATAAAATTATTATTATTTAGACACTATAGATAGAGTAAAGTAGCCAAGCACTGAAATATTATGCAAGAATGTATGTATAAAAAGTTCAAAAGTGAAAACACATCTAGGGGGGCTCATTTTTGTGATGTTGATCCTGGTACGTCTCTGATAGCAGAGTAAACCATGGTAGCAACCACTTGATTGTTGTGGTCTGCCTGGGTATAACTGCCAACGAGTCATATTGAGTACGTAAGCGATCCTGTGATGCCCTATCAAAACAGGGAAAATTTCTTTTATTCCGGTGGATCTCCCCATAACCATCTATATATGTATATAATGGATAGTTAGAAGTTATCTTTCAAACAAAATGTACACGGTCACACTGTTGTGCGTATCATCTAACAACTTGTCAACTTAACACTTAATTTTATTTATCACTAGCATTGCCCGCGGCTCCGCCCACGTTCAGATTACTAAAAGCCAAATTCTTAGATTTTACATATTAGTATACTCTTACAGTGCAGTTTTTGTATTTTTTCTCACAAATGAGATATTTTCCCGCGGTAAAAAGTATCCTATACGTTGACCCGGATAACCGGCTATCACCATATCAAATTTCATGAAAATCCCTCTAGTTATTTTCCGTGATGCGGTAAGAGACAGACAGACAGACAGACAAAAATTCTAAAAACTATAGACTCGGCCTCTATATCGATAATAATGTCTATTTCAATAAGATTTTCCAAAAAATATTTAATGTACAGATTTGGCTTAGTTACAATATTATTATATGTATAGATAAATACTTAACACTAATGTCTGACGATAATATAATGGACATAATTGCCGTATATTAAATATAATGCTGTAATTTTCCTTCAAATATAAGTAAAACAAAATAATATTCTAGTTGCTACGAGATCGACTTAGGTAATTGTACATTTTGCTTTTTAAATCTAAGTACGTGATATATGAAATTAAATATATAAAATCGTGAGTATTTTAGGTATAAGCCTTAGCTTTGATTTGATTTTGGTTTTGGTATTTGTATGGCTCTCACATATTTTTGTTAATCTGTAATCTAGTAGCTCGATGGCAGTGGTAGCCCAGTGGTAACGCGCTCGCTTGGGAAACCGAGTGATGCGGGTTCAAATCCCGTGTCTCGCACCTCTGATATTTTCATGTGCGAATGATTTCTAGCATGATTACCACTTGCCTTACGGTGAAGGAAAACATCGTGAGGAAACCTGCATGTCTGAGAAAACTTAGCAAGTTTTCAAAAGACATGTCGCCAACCCGCACTTGGCCAGCGTGGTGGACTATGGCCTGATCCCTCTCGTATTGAAGGGAGGCCCACCCCCAGCAGTGGGACGTTGAAAAGGGCTGAATACTATATCTAGTAGCTTACATAGTAAATAATGGGCAAAGAAATAAAGTAATAGGATAACAGATATGAAGTGAATAATTATTTATGCATGTGACACAAGGGGCAAGTTGGTCTTCAAAAATTCCATACAAATATTTGCGTGACATTATCAATATATATTTTTTCATTTATGTAACAAGTTTTTGTCCGGGGCTTCGCTCGCGTGATAAACGGTAAGGGGCCTGAGGTTTATGTATTTTCTTTTTATATTATTTATGTATATATTGTACAGGTTTAGGTATTTTCGATCCTAGGATACAAAATATGTTCTTACCTATTTTTTCAAAATCTGTTCAGCTGTTTAAGTATGAGTAGGTAACAGACAGTTCACATTTATAATATTAGTATGGATTTTCAGATGTACACCCTATTACTTCTGGCGTTGTTAATAGTGAGTATGTATGCCCTTCACTGGTGTCTATCGTGGAGGGCAAGACTGTACTTAGGACACTTGCCAACCTTTTCACAGCTTCCGTTACTGGGATCTATGCACTTGATGTTCGGAGGAGGCAAAGGTAATTTTTATTTAAAAAAAAAACACATCCTTATACTTTTTGTGAGTATTATCATCTATGTAATCTAAATGTAAGGATTAAATCCAAGAGTCTGTCTGTGTTTTCAAAATATAGCAAGTTTTCCTAAGCTCTATGATTATGTGAATAATCAATAATAGTAAAATCTAAATATTTTTTGTTTTTAGTCAATAAATAGGGTTAGGCAATATTTAGAGTTATTGTGTAAAAATTGAAAAAAATATATATAGTATCACGGCCGTAGCGAAGCCAGAGGAAATCAATAATATATATATTATAATAATTATATGTATATTTTATTATAACATATATATAATAATAATTATATGTATATTTTATTATAGCATAGGTTATGCTAAAAAAAGTTTTTGAATATAAAAAAATAATTTACAAAAATAGAAAAAAATCCCGACTGCTTAAAAAGCGAACTAAAAAGATGAGAACAAGCCGACGAAAAAAAAATGTATTATGCAGTCGGAGACATACAATAGACTCGCAGTTAGTATATAACAAGTACATATGTCTCCATCCATTATTCGTCGACTTGTTCTCATCTTTTTAGTTCGCTTTTTAAGCAGTCGGGTTTTTCATTTTTGTAAATTAATTTCTTCTATACAGATCTTTAGTTTTGATCAATAAGACATTTTTAATTTTATTTAACAATAGATAATATGCGTGTGATTTTATAATCTTTATTGCTTTTGAATTAAGCCTATATTAATATTTTTTAATGTAATATCTTTTTGATTAAGAAAATAATCATTAAATATAGGTGGGAAATTTAAATTAGTTAAAACGGCTGCCATTTGTCAGACTGAATATGACGTCATTGTATATCATAACAGAGCGATTAGCGATTTTGATAAATTGTGTTGTCATTTTTCGGTGTATGATTTACTGTGACGTCACGCCAAGCGCACGAAATAAGTATCTGTATCAGTATGATATTTAAAAAAAATATATACTAATTTTTAGTTTTTGGAGCTGGATATTTTTTTAACAATTATATAACGATGTAAGATGCGTGTTTTTTTATACCATATTCTGATCCTAAATTAATATTAAACATATTTTAGTTGTGTATATTTGTGTACAAATTGGAGCGTAGGATCCGCCATTTTGTTCATCTATATACCCTATGACACTCGTGTTATCAAGACAAATCTAACGACGTACGAATCATCAAAATCGGTTAAGACTATTTAGTAATTACGTGGGAACATAATATTATATAATATTATATTAGTCTGTTTCGAAAGAAAAATTGTCACTAATCCTAGTCATTAACTAGTAAAGTTAGTTAGTTACGTATTAAATAAAAGTATATTATAATATATTCTAGTTGCATTCCGACGATTTAAACAGCTTTCTGAAATTAGTGAAGAAACTAATAAACCTTTCATTCTGTGGGTTGGGCCGCGAGCTTTAATATGTGAGTACCTACTAAGTAAAGAGTTTTTTACTTTATTTACTATAGTTTTAGTCTTATAAAAAGAGGGGGTAGTAAAATCTAGCTATACTGGGACAGTATATAATATATAAATGTTACTGCCTCGGTGGTGTAGTGGCTAGCATGTACGGCTGCACACCCAGAGGTCCTGGGTTCGAGTCCCGGGTCGGGCCAAATTTAGTTATTGAGTCTTTCTGTATAGTAAGCCTCAGTAACAGCCCGGAGTTGGGAAGTTGGCGGTGTTTCACCCCCGTGCCTCGGAGAGCACGTAAAGCCGTCGGTCCTGCGCCTTAACTCTCACTGGTCGTGTCGAGCAGTCGTCCAACCGGAGTATGCGAGTGACAGGAATAGAGTGTGCACCTGTGTCTGCGCGTACACTTGTGCACTATAATATCTCCTGCGCAGTTGGCTAGTCTCCATGAGATTGGCCGCCGTGGCCGGAATCGGTCAGGAGAACATCATCAATATATAAATACCCTCCAGATTAGTGTTGGCTACGATAGCCAATTTTAATGAGATTAGCCTTTTACCCAATAGATATAGTGAACAAGTGCACTTTATTTTCCTTTAACTCTCAAATCTGGCAGGAAGATAATTCGGTAGGGACCAGGCAAGGGACCGTATGTTCACGTGCTCAACCCAACAACGACGAATTTCCAACTTGTTAAAGAGAATTTCTCTATAGAAAAAACAAATTCGATAACTTGGCACGACCAGGATTTAAGACCACTAAATCTGCATTCGTTAATACGACTGGGCCAAAACAGTTTTCCATATTCATAAAAAAGAATTTGTTTTCTAATTGTTCATAATTAATTTATTTATTTTAGTTCTAAATGATCCTGAAGAAATGAAGATTGTGTCAAACACGTTCGTGGAGAAACCAAGTTATTATGACTTTGGAAAGGTCTGGCTTGGAGATGGATTAGTACTGGCACCAGGTGATTTTATTTTCTTTTGGTATATTTTCTATTTTGAGCTTTTCATGTATTATGAAGGTTTTGTATATAGGTAGGATATCTTTTTATGAATATTTAAAAATGTAACTGATTATGCATTTTAATATAATGTATGATAGGCTATCACGCAGTCATTATAAATCGTTTGGGATCGTTTTTGATCCCTTGATTTTCAAAACAGACTGAATGATCAATGATCATCCGTATCATGATTGATGTACAGACATATCTTTTTCTTTTATTAAATCTTTTTATTCTTATTTGTTTCCTTTATTTGGTCTTCAATCAATGTGTGTCACAAGTATGTAAGAAGATATACAATCATTTTTTTTTAATTAACGGCTAAATGAGATATTTTGTTTATTATATCTGTCGAAAGATAATGATTGATTTATTTTGTTAGGTGATATATGGAAGCAAAATATAAGGAAGATTGGTGGAACATTCATTCGTAGTATAGTTAATGGGTATCAAGATATATTTAACGCACAAGCGCGAAAGCTTGTTGAACAATTAAAAATGGAAGTAAATGGACTACCCTTTAATGCCAGAGATTATATTTCTCACGTAACCCTAGAAACAATATGTCGTAAGTACTGAAATATGGATATTAAGAGTTATCAAGTAATAAAGGAATATGCATACTTAATATTATAAATGTGAAAGTGTATTTGTTTGTTTGTTTGTTTGTTTGTTTGTTTGTTTGTTTGTTGGTAAGTTTGTTTGTTTGTCTGTCCTTCTTTCACGTCGAAAAAGATTGACGGATTGATGTGATTTTTGTATGAAGATAGTTGGAGGGCTGGAGAGTGACATATTATGCTACTACGAGTATTTACCGCGGGAGGTTATCTAATCCCCACGGAAAAACACGTTATAATACAATCCAAGAAAATATTTATGATCAGAATTAATTAAAAATTAGTATTAAGGCTCTTCAATACAATTAAATAAATACGTGTTTTAGTATTTTTAGAAATTCATTCTGTAAGGGAGTAAACTAGGGGATAAAAGTTTGTTATACTATAATATTAAACATACCTTTTTAGATATTTTTTTGTAGTTTTAACGCGAGCGAAGTCTTGGGTTCTGCTAATATTATTATAAATAATAAAATCATTTCAAAATCACAGTATATTTGCACATTATATATTTAGTTATATATTTTAAAAAAATACAACATTTGTTATGTAAATTTTGCAAGTGAAAATAGTATGTTTAACAATCTAGTACTTTCTTGCCATTTGTACCCGACTGCGCAACGTAAAGGAGAGTAATGTGTTGTTCAGTCTATGTATGTATGTTCCTACGAGGCGTTCTAGAGACGAAACGAGTAAGCCGATTTTGATGATTCATACGTCGTTAGATTCATCTTGATAACGCGAGTATCATATGTTATATAAAAATAGTTAAAAATTAAAATCATAAATTTCAGGCGCCAATTTGTCTCGTCTATAAAAAAAATATCTTGCAAACTAATCGAGTGGGGTTTAAATAAAGGTTTTTAAGAGGCGATAACAAAAATATGTACAACTTTTATATCCAAAAGTAATTTAGGATAAAAAATAATAAAAATAACTACAAATCTTCAATCCTAATTGGCAAAAACTAAAAAGTTGTAAATAAAAAAATATATTATAAAAAAAACCCGACTGAATAACAACTAACTCAAAAGATGAAAACAAATTGACGAAGGAATAAAGTATTATGCAGTCGGAGACATATATACATATGTGCATACCTACATTTTGCGGCAAAAACGAAACGTGTATGTTTCCGACTGCATAATAATTTATTGTCAACTTGTTTTCATCTTTTTAGTTGTTATGCAGTCAGTTTTTTTATTTTTAAAATATTTTTTTTAATACAGTAAACAGTGTCCTGTTTGTCTAGTCAATTCAAAAAAAAATTGTATGTAGGTAGTATAAACAACTAAAATTTTAAAATTTTATAATATAAAAAATCACTTGAAACATTTACGTTTTTGTTTACAGAAACAGGTTTCGGTGTATCTCAAATAACTGATAATCTAGTAACGGAGAAGTACCACAAAGCATTCCATCGGGCCACAGAATTGATTGTACTTCGAGGGACAAATATATTTTATCATCCAGATTGGGTGTTCCATAGAACTTCAGCTTACAAGGAATTAATGGAATGTGTAGGGATAATTCATAATGTTTCAGAAACAGTAAGTTTTAATTAGAAATTTAGTACATACACTAGCGACTCACCCTCGCTTCGCTCGGGTTCGTGCCTACTTACGTTTTCACGTTTGGTACAGATTTCTCAGAAATGAGATATTTTCCCGTAGTAAAAATTATCCTATACATTGACCCGTATAGGCAGCTGTCATCATACCAAATTTCATTAAAATCTCTCTAGTGGGGTTTTCGTGATACACACACGACAGACAGACAGACAGACAAAAATTCTAAAAACTTTAGATTCGGCCTCTGTATCGATAATATTGTCTATTTCAATAAGATTTTCCAAAAAATATTTAATGTACAGATTCTGCTTCGTTACAATTTTATTATATGTATGTATAGATATGTCAAGATAGTGTGTTATCTACTTTATATTATTTCTACTTGTACTTTTTCAGATTAACATTATCTGTACCTTACATAACCTTAATTGCTATATTTAAAAATCACATGGTCTTTTATTATATTATTCTTAAACTCTTTTTGATTCATAAGTATAATAAGAAGACAGGAAAAAGTAAAAAAGGCAAAAAAATAAAATATGAAACTTTTAATTTTAGGTCATCAAGAAAAGAAAGTTTGAACGGGAAGCTTTGAAAAGTGACAAAAGTTTAAATAGAGACAATTTCGGTAAGCGTTAGCAGATTATGCGTATTATTTGCAGGCTCCCTAAGGTATTTTGTTTTTAGATATTTGTTAGAAGTTTTCGTAAGTCTATTTATTTTGTATAATACAAAAACAGAATTTATGAACTTTTATTTCATTATTGTAATAATCGATAGAGCTTTCTGGTAGAATAGGGAATGTGCGTGTGATTTAAATAAAGACGAAATATTTTTTTAATAATATTTATGGCTTTTGAATTAAGCCTATATTTTTTAATGAAATTTCTTTTTGATTAAGAAAATAATTATTAAAAATTGCAAATATAGAGGGGAAATTCAAAGTAGTTGAAACGAACGCCATTGGTCAGACTGAATATGACGTCATCGTAACAGAGCGATCAGTGATTTTGTTCGCTACAAATTGAGTCGTCATTTCTGTGTATATCATACTATGGCGTCACACCAATGACTAAGCGCTCGGTATGATATTTTTAATTTTTTTATACTAAATTTTAGTTTTTTGGAGCTGGATGTTTTTTTTACAATTATATAGCTATTGTATAAAAATAAAAAATAAATCACGCATACTCCCTATTATGTCAATTAGGTAGAGAATAGTGTTTTTCTTCACCTATTAATTATAATTATTGACATTAACACCTCCAGGTAAATTTCTAAGCAATTAATTAAATTTCTAAGAAATCTATTGTTAACTGACACGCCGGCGTGTCTGCGGTCGTGGAGGGATTAAAAATAAGATGTTGACAAAATATGATATGTATAATACACTTATGTATTTTCTATATTAATCGATCGTGACTCAAAAGTTTCTACTATCTTTGGTTTCTAAAATGCAATTATTTAATAAAACAAAACAGTGATTTTTTTCTATAAAAAGATCCTATAATTTGCAATGACAAAAAACCAACATAAAGATAATGATGTTCTTTGATTGACTTTGAAAAGGGTAAGGGTAAGAACTACAGTGGATGGTGTTTTGTCCATCTTGGCTTATACCACTTTTAACAGTACATAAACTCTACCTCAAACGTGGGCCATATAAATTTCAAAGGAAAAATTTGCTTTAATCATAATCATTCTAAGCCAACTTTTGCTATTTAAACTTGAAGTAAACTTTCAGGAAAACCAATTTTTAGAGCATTCCTTGATATATTACTGGATTTAAGTGAGATAGATTCTACCTTAACTGACCAGCAGATTAGATCAGAGGTAGATACCATCATCGTCGGCGCTCAAGAGTCTGTAGCTACCGCTTTGCTCATCGTCTTGCTAATGATTGGGAATAATTCTGATGTTCAAACAAAATTATATACAGAGTATGTATTTTTTAGAATTTATTTACAAATACTTTAGCTTGTCTCTCTTTTTGGATAAATTTATTTTAAGAAGTTGACCACTTTCATTACAAGTAACCATCCAATCATTCGAAAAAAAATACAGATTAAATTAAAAAAGTAAAGTAAATACTCGTAATATCTTATGTCCATGTATTTTCAGAATAAAACAAATAATGGGAGATAATAAACGTCACGTAGATATTAATGATTTAAAGCTCATGGAATATTGTGAAGCTGTTATAATGGAGTCAATGCGTCTGTTTCCTGCCTTTCCCAGTCTTATGCGTCAAGTCGATTGTGATTTTAAGCTAAGTGAGTATCTAAAATATTTTTTGTATCTTTTGCTTTGATTTGAAATTTAATGTCTAAAGACTCCACTTTATGGATTTGATAAATTGTAATAATATATGTCTTTAGAGGATTTATATTTTATAAATCTTTAACCTGGAGTGTCATATATTTAAAAACATCGATCAAAAAAGTTCTAGATACACAATCCAATGCAAAAGTTTTGTTAAAACTGTCAGCAATTGTGTTTTGGTAATTATTATAGTTGAAATAAATATACAACAATGAAAATTGAACCTTAAATGCAATACTTAAAGTTGTTATCAAAAACAAAAAAAAATAAAAGTGCGGTCAAATATTCAAATGAGCGCTCATTCGGTTAGGACATTTTTCGTCGCTGATTGTGTATCTTGTACTTTTTTGATCGATGTTTAAAAACGATAAAAATAATGATAAAGTCATTAAAATTGGTTACTTATTTTTTGTTATTTTTAGAATCGTGTACTATTCCCAAAGACACCACCTGTATATTTAATATTTGGGGCGCGGGAAGATCTCAACGTCTGTGGGGACCTGATGCAGATCAGTTTGTACCAGAACGATGGTTGCCTCCCCGTGTACCTTATATCACTTTCGGTCTAGCTTTCAGTATTGGAAAACGAGCTTGTATAGGTATAAACTTATTTGAGCATTCTATCAATTTTCATATATATATAAAAAACTAATACAACTATAAAAAAGTCTTTGGTTTTATGCTATTCGTAATAATGTATGGAAGCCTGCTTGATTTGTTGACATTTATGATTACTGCTCCGCGCCCTTGGGTAGTAGCATGATATATATATATATAGCCTTCCTCAATAAACGGGCTATCCAATGCAAAAAGAGTTTTTAAATCGGATTAATAGTTCCTGTGATTAGCGCGTTCAAATAAACAAACTCTACGTCTATATAATATTATTATAGATATTATGTTTGTAGAATGCTGTTCAGCAACTGTTCTTTTTATATCTTATTTTTACAATCCATATCAAATAAAATAAGTTATGTTTTATGTTACAGGTAAAACATACGCGATAAATCTTTTAAAAACAGTATTAGCACATTGTGTAAGAGAACTTACATTTACATCTGAAGCTAATAATTTATCGTTTAAGTTTGATCTAGTATTAAGACCTATAAGTGGGCATCTAATGCAAGTTAAGCTAAGAAAAGATAGTCAATTTGATGATCAATGACTATGTCCATTTTCTTAATGTTTCCTTGTAGAATATTATTATTATACATTTTTGTGTGGGAAGGGGGCTTAGATAAGATGAGATTCTACAACGTCTCATAATTTTTATAAAATGTTTATAATTTCTATTCGTAATCGATTGTAGAATATCATCTTGTTAAGTTCAAAGATAGAATAGATAGAAATATTAGATTTAACACTAGATAAATAATTAGATAAAAGATGAACAGATAAAGTGATAATAAAACATCTTATAATATAACAGGAACATCTATTATTAAATAAAACTATCTTTTCGGATTATTTCGCGGATTTATTTTGATTTTTGGTTCCCGACGTTTCGAATGCTTTACAGCATCCATGGTCACGGGAGAGACTGAGGTGTTACATGTCTTAAAGATATAGTTGTTACAGACAGCCTACCCACAATAACAAAATGAAAATTGCACCAATTACATTACAATATTTTTAACTTTAAACGTTTTTATAATTTTAATTATAATTGAATATGGAAAATTATTTATTTAATTTTTGCTATTATTTTTATTTATTTTTTTTATTTTTATAATTATTACAATTTTAAAAATATTAATTAGTAATCTATATTTAGTGTTGCCATTATTATATTTATAACCATAAATAAAAATATAAAAATATAGTATTAATTATTAAAGCCATATAATTGTTCTATGTGTAATTTAAAAAAAGTTAAAATTAATTACGGATAATCATTTTAATTTAGTTTGCTATTATTTAAAAACAACTTACTAAGCAACACTATTAATATATACTTTTACAAATGAAAATTATTATTCTGATAAGCTGTCATTTTGATCTACACAGTATGACTTACTACATCTGCCTGTCTGTTTATGTTTATTTTTTTATTATTTGATTTTATTATATTAATAACAGGATCCCATGACGATGGTAGTACCCAGCCATCTTCCCTATTGAAATTTGGATGTTTTTTAATTTCTATGGCTTCTCGAATCATTCTAGGGCGATATCGGTTTTCTTTCGCCAGGATTTGAGGTCTATCGAAACGAATATAATGGCTTGGGCGGTCCTGGCTATGTTTGCAGACAGCAGATGTTGTATTGCGACGGTGCTTCACATCAGCTATGTGTTCTTTGACCCGGGTTCTAATGGATCGCTTTGTTTGTCCAATGTAAGAGAGCCCACAATCACAATCAAGCTTGTAGACTCCTGCATCTTGTAGAGGGATGTGGCACTTGACAGGTGGTAAGAACTGACTAATTTTCTTTGGCGGCTTGAAGTAAGTTTTTAATTGAAGCTCGCTTTAGAATGTAGCCAATCTTGTCAGTGACTCCTTTCATGTATGGCAAGACTGCAGGGACGCGCTCGACTGTGGCTGGTTTCACTCTCGGTCACTGTGACGCAGGCGCGGCACTTGCAGCTTGTTGTCACGCAGAACTTGCTTGACATGTTGCAGTTCTCCGGCCAGGTGTTGCTCGTCACAGATCCCGCGCGCTCTCTGAAACAGAGATTTTCCCACGGTAGCTAACTGTGAAGGATGGTGGTGAGATTCACCGTTCAGGTACCTATCAGTATGGGTCTTCTTTCTATCACAGTATGACTCAAGGGTGTTATCTGGGTTACGTTTAACTAATACATCTAGGAAGCTAAGGTTTTGTCTGATTCTAATTCCATTGTAAATTGTATTTTAGGATTTATAGAATTAAGGTGTCTAAGAATACAGTTATTTATCAGATGGTAATATTGTAAAAGTGTCATCTACATACCGCTTGTAGAAACGAGGGTCACGGGTGATGTATTCAGAGCAGTCTCCTCGAAGTCCTCCATGAAGATGTCGGCTACGACGGGGGCGACTGGCGAACCCATGGCCACTCCATCCACTTGCCTGTAGAATTCACCATTCCACAGTAGATAGCCGGATGTTAGGCAGTGTTTTAAAAGTTCAATGTATTCTATTGACATGTTGTGATCTAGTAGCTTCCTAGATATTATTTTCAATACAGTCTTCCACTGGTAGGCTGGTAAATAAAGACTGTACATCGAAACTAACCATTGTTTCATTGTCCATGAGTTTTAGGTGTTTAACTTCATTGACAAAATGGTAAGAGTCCTTTGTGAACGCTCTTGTTAATCCTCTGAGTGGGTGAGAGTACTTTTGCTACTAGTTTAGCCAATTTTGTAAGTCGGTGAGTCGATTTGACTCACAATTGGGCGTAGCGGAGCGTTAGTCTTGTGTATTTTCGGAAGTCCATACAACTTAGGTGGTTTTGCACATGATGGAATAAGATTTTTAACATCAAGATTTAATGTGTCGGAGTGTTCCTTAATTAGCTTTTTAGTATTATTTAAAACGGTGGTAGTTGGATCCGTTTTAAAAAAAAACCTTTTTGTACGTGGCTCTCGTCCGACAAAAGTTGTTTTATTTTATCATTATAATCTGATGTATCCATCACAACGGTTGCATTTCCTTTGTCTGCGCGTAGAACGGTGATGTCTGACCTATTGCGTAGGTTCTTCAACGCTAAATACTCTTGTTTATTGAGATTTGGTTTGGGCCTAGTGCTACGACGTAATAAAGACGAAACATCTTGACGTATGGCCTCCATATCCTCAGTTTTCATAATATTTTGGGCCAGGGCATCTTCAACTGCGCAAATAATGTTTTCATAAGGAATGCGCGTAAGGCGTTACAGCAAATTCAAACCTTTATTTAGTACCCGAATGGTAGGTTCGTCTAACGTTTGTTTTGACAGATTGACAACAGCTTGAGGTCCGCACGAGTGTGTATCTGTGGTAGACGGGCGCGTTCCGTTATACTCTATGGTTTTCTTTTTCTTTTTGATGTTTAATTTTTCAACGAGTTTTTGATATTTTAAAATATGTTCAATTTTGCACTGATTATATTTGGTTGTTTCACGCTTATTTAAAGTGTCAATGCAATCGTTGAAATCAGATGGTGTCAATACTGTCTTAACAATATTAGACGTCTGTTCATGTCCCGGTCGTTTTCTGCGTAGATCGCGGGCGATTTTGTCGAATCACTGTCCGTAACAACTTAAAACTTGCCTGGTTTACGATCTTAGCGCTTCCTCGTATGTTCTTTTTGGAAGATATTTTCACACACGTAGGAATGAGACGATGATCACGACATCTCTTCAAGAAAGTTAACGATGTTAATAATCTTGCGCGCTTTGTCTTTAGATCTTCTAACCGGCGTATCTTATTTGCGGTTTCCAGTCCGTACTGGTTCACAAATCGCGTAAATCTAAGAAAGTATTATAGGAACATCTATTATTTATTTACCTTTATAGCAATACTAGCAATTTATTTTCTTAAATGTTTATATTTTGATGAGCGTTGGCTGAATTATTTTTTGATTGTAGATTCTAACGTTGTGTACGCAGAATAAGTTGATTTAAGTATCTTCATCAAGAAATTGAAATTAAACTTGGCCATTCCACCAGCTGATAACATCAAGGTTTTTTGTGACATCCTTAACATCAATAGAACAGTTTTCCTATTTTCAACGTTGAAATTCTCCCATTTACAATTATATAACGCGTTCTCGAAATTATTCCCAGCATCGATTAAACGCTGTCCTGCTAGATAATCCATGAAAGCGTGTATTAATGAAAATGGTAACTCAACGTAGGTATGTTTCAAACCACCAAGTAGCTCACATATTATTGAGAAGCCCATGATACAAACACTCTAAGCCTAAGGTATTACGAAATTCTTGATCTAACTCGTGGACTAAATTAATATTGACTTTATGAAATCTGATGATGTCTCTCAAACGGACTCTGACAAACTCGTTCAATATTCTATGTTTAATCTCGATATTTTCGTTTATCTTTAGTTTCATTTCATCGTAGTAATGTTGGCTGTCAAACCAGACATTTCGTAATTCTTCGCTCAGTGCATACAATTGAGCTTCTGCATAACCAACTATTACAATAATGTATGTGGCTACACTAACCATAGTATAAACACCGAAGCCAGTGGTGACTGTTGTAAGGAATAAAGCAATTTCATAATTGGGTGGTTCCAACATTGGGACGAGTCCTATAAAAATAAGATTACATAATACGAGTGTGTATATATCTATACTAATATTATAAAGAGGTAAAGTTTGTGAGTTTGTGAGGTTGTAGAGGGAAATCTCTAGATCTACTGAACCGATTTAGATGAAATTTGGTAAGAAGATAGTTTGAGATCCTGAAAAGGTCATCGGATACTTTTTATCTCGAAAATCAATTCTGGATTATTTCATTAAAGGGGGTGAAAATGGTGATGAAAGTTTGAGTTGGAAAGCAAGCGACGAACCCGAGCGAAGCGAGGGTGAGTCGCTAGTAATGTATAAATATATCGTATATTATCTTTCTTTTTGGTTATAACCACTATATTAAAATATATGTAACTCTAATTATATTTGGTCTCACTCAGATTAAATCAATCAATTATTCAATTTCTTAACCGTAAATGAGATATAGTTCCGTAGTAAAATGTCTTCCAGGTCGTACAAAAGGTATCAGAATATAAATAATGCCATCTATCACTATGGAGAGCCAGATGACTGTAGCACGCTTCTTGATGACTCTAAGTCGCATTAGTAGATTCTTTGCAAATCTCGTATCTGGTATCACTTGAGCATCGCATTTTAGAAACTTTTTAACGGTTTCTTTAATTTCTTTCCTGTTAAAGAAGCAATTATTTCATTAATTATATAATAGTCATTATCGAGTTACACAATTTTTAAGATCTAATATCAATTTTAAAAATAATGATTGAATACTGAATAGTATTATAATATTAAGCTCTAAAAAAACATAAAAAACGATTAATTATCTCTTTAAATTAAAGCAAATTAATAAGTACTTATTAAGTGTTTTATTAATAATAGCATTAAGGAGGCCGGCAATGTGTCCTTGTATTCTTTTTAACCCTCGACGCAAAAACGACGGGGTGTTATAGGTTTGACGTGTCTGTGTGTATCTGTATGTGGCATCGTAGCTCCCGAACGGATAAACGGACTTTTAATTTTGTTTTTTTTTGTTTGAGAGGTGAATTAGTCGGGAGTGTTCTTAGCTATGTTTGATGAAAAACGATCCAAGATGGTCGGGGGTTTTTAAAATTTTTCATTTATCATTGATTAAAGTATCCTATAAGACATACGCATAAATCTTCATAAAGACAAACTTAGTGACGCATATGACGCTGCAAGCACTCAGAGAAAGTACCACAGCAACTTCAGTCCACATGCCAGATTTTCCGTAGTGGAAAAATACCATCCAGACCATTGAGACGGTGTACACGTAGAAGTACCCGAAACCAGCGATTGATGTCATTACGTAGAAGATGAAAGAAATAGCTAAAAACAAAAAGTTATCAAGATGAAAATTATATTCCCATCATTTCTCGGTCACAAGCATCGTGGTCAAGCGGCCAAGGCGCAAGATTGATAAGCACAGGTATCCGGGTTCGAATCCCGGTCGGATACAAAAAGTTTTAGTTTTGTTTTTTTTTGTATTTATTCAAGTTTTTTTGGTTATTTTTTATCTAAAAAATACGATATAACCAAAAAGAATGTTTACAAGATAACATTTTTGATATTCAACAGAAATGGCTTCCCAAAAGTTATTTTTATTATTATATATGAAGTGTAAAAGCTACAGAACAGAAGACTTAGATGAAGGTATGAATAAATGAGAAGGTAAGAAGGAAGGAGGAATGTAGTTTATACTTACGTTTAGAATTTTTATAAATATCTATGGTAATCATTCTTAATAGGACATCCACGTTTTGAATTATCGTTGGAAAATCGCTGTAATTTAGACTGAATTTCTTAAGTTTTACAACAATCTCACTCCATGTATCTGCCTTCATTGTTATGAATTTTATTCGTAAGAAATATCGTTCAAACTATTGCAACTATTATATGACTTAACTTTTAAATAAACCAAACAAATAATAATTTATTTTCGAAGGCTATATTGGATGTATATGTATGTATTCAGCCCTTTTTCTTTAACGTCCCACTGCTGAGGGTGGGGGCCTCCTTTCAATACGGGGGGATCAGGCCATAGTCCATCATGCTGGCCAAGTGCGGGTTGGCGGACTTCAATTGTCATTCAAAAACTTGCTAGGTGCTCTCAGACATGCAGGTTTCCTCACGATGTTTTCCTTCACCGTAAGGCAAGTGGTAACCATGTTATATATGATTCGTACATGAATATATCAGAGGTGCGAGACCCGGGATTTGAACCCGCTTCACTCGGTTTCCCAAGCGAGCGCGTTACCACTGGGCTACCACTGCCTATATTGGATACTTCACCTCAAGCAAACTTTATAAAAAAAGTATAGAAGAAGAAGGAGCACTGTCACTGATTCTCCTAGATAACGAGTTCACCATAATATTAAATTATTAGTAAGTTAAGGGAAGCTACAAAGTTTCACGATTTTATAACAGATATCTACGGACGAACATTAGCAATCGATTATGTAAACAAAATAAACACGAACACGAAGATTAGACTTTATTCTACGTATTCAGTGGACGTTTCGTAATGTTTTGGATTTGTTTACAATTAATACGAAATGTTGCAGTTTGATTTGGAAGTAATAGTTTTTTATATACTAAATATGCATTAACATCATAGGTGTTGCTTTTTGATCATTATTTATTTCATAAGTGTAAATTCTGGTATTATATCCTTATAATTTTTGAAAATTATATGAGTGCTTGTGGTACTCGGGCAAATAATTCTGCACAGTGACACAATATATAACTTATATTTGCTTATAAATAAGCTTTTATATTGACTACCGGTGAACTTTACTGTGTTTATTTAAATATTTTAAGCTCTTGCATAGTGACCCACCATATTTATTTATATTTTTCTTTTTTATTATTTGTTAGAGTAACTTTTGTAATAACATATTCTGTAAAATTATTAATGAGCTTTTTTGGTTAATAAATTTAAGATGGCACAGACGGACAATCGGACCAATAGCTTAGGTTATCAAGCTTAAACCCTTTTCTCACGCACGGAAGTCCATGTGTAACTGGATATAAGTTAGTAAGATAATGAATATTTAATGAAGCCATATATTCTGAAATTTCTGTACTCATGTTGACTCGAGGCGAATGTTAGATTAAAAATGAAGAATATTTAATTAAATTTATTTTTTATACAGAAAGTTTGGAAGATATTTAGTTAAAATGAAGTTCTACTCTTGGACTAACACGTGGGCATTCCTCAAAACTTTCGGAGTTAATTATGACGACTTTCCAACAATTATCAATAATGTTTCTGTATTATTAAGGATTTTGACGATCGATATATATAATAATGCAAAACGTAAGTATTTTTGTGAGTTATTATCAAATATTTAGTGGATAGATTTTAAAAGAGTATATTCAAATTTAAAATTCGAACCAATTAAAATCTCATACTGAAATACTAAGCAAGCGACTGACTGTGATCGAATAAAGTCCAAAAACAATGATTCAAAACATTGATAAGCTTTATGATATTCTACTTTGATGAACAAAGTTTATTTGTTTTACTAGTGGTCGAAATTCGACAGTAATCATTTTTAATTTTTTTATTTTTACTTTTTACTGAACCGATTTAGATGAAATTTAGTAAGAAGATAGTTTGAGATCCTGGGAAGGACATAGGATATAGATATTTTTATCCCAAAAATGAAAATGGCTATGGAAGAATATATCCTTACAGTACGAAATAATAGTGTTTTAATTTTATTAGATTTTAATATTTAAACAATATTCTGAATTCTTTGCAGCTATTTCTCTTTTTTTTTATATAACGACGTTCATCGTAAGTATCTCTTACTTCTACGAGTTCATCTTTTCTATGGTCTGGATGGTGTGCTTCTACTACGGCGGGACTCAAGATTGGAATGAAATATGCGGTGTCCTAGCTTTATCCTCTTGCACCCTCACTTGTGTCACTAAGTTCCTGTTTATGAAACTGTACTCGTAAGTCAAATCACATTGCAGTACTCAAAAAAAATATATTTATTTATTTATTTATGTACCAAAAAAAAAACATATAAAATAGAAAACAGACGCCATGTGTACAAAGGATAACTTATCTCTTTAAGAGATCTCTACCAGAAATCCTCAAGCGATCCTCAACTAACGATATTTGATAGAACGAAAAAATGTTTATCGAGACACAATTTGGTGCCATAGATCCCTACTTTAATTTTTGATAATACCTACATACCCTATTAAACAATATGTGTATAAACTGTATGATTCATCAAAATCGGTTTAGCCGTTTAGTCATAACGAGAGAATATAGGGTCGGACATACCTAAGTACAATGTAATATACCTATGTATAATGCATACATTCATACAGGTCAAACACATAACCCTCCTTTGGACTACGTCGCAGTCGGGTAAAAAAGAACGCTATAAAAATTTAAGCAATTTAACAAATATTAAGTATTCAAAACATAAAATTTTAATTAACCTATTTTTTGAACAGAAAAAATATAAAACATATAGTCCAACAGTACTATAAATGCGACGCCCAAGTGATACTAGGTACGAGATTCGAAAAAAATCTTCGTAAAGGACTCCGAACAGTCAAAAGACGTGCGACAATCATCTGGGTAACACTTGTTGTTAATGGCTTTGTTTACATCATCCTACCTTTTATTACACCTGGACGAAGTTTTGCAGCAGACAACTATTATGTATATGGTAATTATAAGAAACATCTTACATGTAGTACATAGTTTATGTGTTTGTTTATCTCATTCGCACTTTAAACAATTACATGTATAGGATCATATACATACATATGTACGAGTATATCCTGAATAAAGGTATTTTTGGATTTTTTTATGGTGTTCAGTGACAAACGAGCGGACAGACCACCTGAATGAAAACATTACGTGTCGCCCATAACACCTACGGTTCATGCATTTAGGTTTGATGTAACAAAAATGCAGAACCGCAGGTGCGTTGTCACTGTGAGGACTAAGATGATATGCCTCTTGCCTGTAATTGTGCTGGTTACCTTATCACACAACAACAACGTAATCATTGTTCCTTGGCGGAAGAAATAGATAAGGGGGTGGTACCCATCCAGTCGGACTCCTCAGGCTTGACAGAGTCCTACCACCGGTTTAACATTTGGATTGGATACAAAAACTATTTCTAAAAATCGGGTAAATGCGAGTACCTGATGTGATGGTAAGGCCAGAAGGTAGATAGGTGGAACTTACATGGATTTTAGATTGTGACGTTAGTTAGGATTGATATATACTATTTGTAAGATTTAATCGTTTTCATTAATTGTAACATACAATTTTCGTTTCGAACGAAATTTCATTTCATCCTTATCATAGACTCTATCCATTAATTCTGTGAAATAGTACCTTTTTGCATTTTCACTTGGTCCGATTACCGGTTCAGTTCACCTCTTTATAAAATAAATAAATGCAGTTAATCTTAATTTTATTTATTTAATGTTAAAATAATGATTCCTTTGAGTGAAACTTGATATTTTCAGTATTTAAGACACTTTTTTTCCCATGTCCTGTGCGTTTGTTCCAAGATGTGCGAGTCCATATGTATAATTTGTAAGATTTCATCGTTTCCTTTAATTCTAATGTGCAATAAAAAAATAAAGCCCAATTGAGAACCTCCTCCTTTTTAACCAAAAAGGATTGAATACATAAATACTTTGTGGATAATAAATAGCTTAGGTTGTGATATTAGTTAGGATTGATATATATATATATATATATATATATATATAATTAGATTTTATCCTTCTCCTAGATCCTATCGATTAATTCGATATAATACTGACGGTGTCCTTTTTAGCATTTTTTTTAAAAAAATAATTAAATGCAGTTATTATTATTTTTAAAAATAATGACATGTTTCTTTTGAACAAATCTTGATAACTTCAATATTTAAGGCTTTACTTTTCTTCCATGTCCCATTGATTTGTTACACCTGTATATGGTATAATTACAACATATTTTAAATACAAGTTCATACACACGTACATATATATTTTACAGGTTTGATGCCAATATTGGAATCACCAAATTATGAAATAGCTACATTGATGAACAGTCTTAGCGCCTACTTCTGTGTATACACCATGGTGTCTGTTGCTATATACATTATCATTATTGTTGGTTACTCAGAAGCCCAGATTTACGCTTTAGGTGAAGAACTTCTGAACGTTTGGGATGACAGTCAGAACTTCTACAACGAAATAAAGCATAGTATTAGAAATAAAATACACGTTATGGAAACAAAAGATAAAATTTTAAACGAGTTTATTAGAATTCGTTTAAGAGACACCATCAAATTTCATATAATTAATATTAATTTAGTTCATCAATTAGACCAAGAGCTTCGACCTACTTTGGCGTTGGAATTCATTATCGTCGCCTTTTCAATAACCTTTGAACTTCTTGCTGGTTTGGAAAATACTTACGTTCAGCTACCGTTTTCATTCGTTCAAATATACATGGGTTGTTTGGCGGGACAGTGCTTGATAGATGCTTGTTGCAGTTTTGAAAAAGCTATATATGGCTGTAAATGGGAAAACTTTAGCATTCAGAATCGAAGGACTGTTCTTTTGATGTTAAGGATGTCACAAAAAACGTTGATGTTGTCAGCTGGTGGGGTATCCAAGTTGAATTATAACTCACTGATGATTATATTGAAATCGACGTATTCTACATATACAACGTTACAATCAACTGTGAAGAAATTGGATTGATCTGTGTTTGTAATCTTATGTACTTTTAAGTTATAATATATATATATATATATATATATATATATATATATATATATATATATATATATATATATATAATTTGTTTTTTTTAAAATGCACTTTCTAAGTAATTATTCCAATAATTAGTAATTAATTTTCTCCTAAAATGTATATGGACTCCCCGTTGAAATCCCTTCACTAAAAAGAAGAATCACGAAAATGGACCCATAAAAATCCTGTAACAAAGGTAAATATTTGAATTTAGAACTACTTTTTTTTTAGTCGGCCAAAAGAGGGAATATAACAAAAACATTTTTATAGGCCCTTAATATATTCAATTGCCTTTATCTTGAGCTCAATTTATTGCGAAATAGCTCTCTTCACCACTAATAAACATAAAATAAAAAATAAATAATTTCAAAACGACAATCGACTATTGAAAGTGAAATTAGTAACTTAACGTCATATTGAATCCTATTAAGAAGGTTCACAGAAAATTTAGCTGGAACAATATCTATATAATAGTATAATTAAAGGAGTTTCACTGAGCTACTCTAAATTATTGTGAATGTGTTCGTTTTTACTTGAAGTGATTTGAAAAAGTTTGGCAGGTATTTAAAATTATTGGGATTTTGATTAGTTCTATTCATCAATAGAAAATATGGTTGTTTAATTTTTTAAAAAAAAGTTAGAAGATGAGAAGACAAAAATTGTCTCTCCACATTATATATTATACTTGTTGTCTTATGTATAGCCCTATGTATATATTTGAGGAAACGATTTTGTACTGATTATAATGATTACAGATAACAAATATAAGCTGTAGAAAATTGATCACTTGGTTTTTTCTTATTTTTATTAAAACCCTTTTATCATCAAATTAAAAATCTGATTATAGATATTTGCTATTATAGTTTTTTTTAATAGGTAAATTCTATTTCTATATTTTTTCCTCTCTATAATGATTATGGTCCAATTTCGACCATTAGTTACAAGCTTCGTCGACATCATTCCTAGGTGCCTTTTTTATTTACTATATTATATTATGAGCCATTTGTCCTACGGATACCTGTCTTTTATTCCAATTTAAATTAGGGATGGAATGTAAAAAAATATAATACGTTTTAAGATTAGTTGATTTCTCAGATATGAGATATTTTTTCGCAGTAAAAAGTATCCTAAATGCTGATCAAGATATCTAGCTATCATCATGCAAAATTTCATCAAAATCCGTCCAGTGGGTTTCTCGTGATGTGTTCACAGATAGACATACATACAAATCTTTCCGGATGACGTTAAGAACTCTGCATATATAGAAGACAAGGTAACCACTAAATTATTCAACTTCTAAATGCTTGACAATGATTTCAAAAGGAATTTTTACTTAGACAATAATATTTTTCTAATGTCACATCAATGGAAAAGTAGTTCGATAAATTACATACACGTACATATGTATATATGGGTCAATAAACGAAGAAATATTAGGCAATTTTTCCATTGTAAAGTTGTTCGAAGACATTTAACTGCTAAATTCAGTAATTTCACCCTCCGTTAACCCGTTTTTCACTTTTTATTGTCTCTGAAGGAAACAATAAAAATATTTTTCCGCTATAACACTTATTTTTTCTTTCGAAATTTATTTCTGTAGAGAAATGAAAGTGAGAATTTATATTATTTTCTTAAGTGTTTACTTCTATAAATATTAAATATATTTATGTTTTAGTTATTTTTACAAAATAAATATTTCAACCCAATCTGTTCAGTGGTTTGATCTATGCGTTGATAGATAGATCAGTCAGTCAATCCTTTTATATACGTATATTTTATATGTATATATGTATATTTAAATAATCGGTTTATAAAACAAATTTATTTGTAAAACATATTTTATAGTATTCTATTTTTTTCGAAATCTGTACAAACACATTTTTTCTTCTTATAATAATAGTTATAATATTCGTTAAGAGACGACTCCACGGCTCTAAATTCTTCAGGGCGAGAACAACATCTGTGTCTCGCTATTTTATCTGTCTTGTGCTACTCATTCATGTCGTCCACACCGTATCCGGTGACGGCGACTCCTATAAATTACGCTGGTGGGCTCTAATATGGCTAGCGAAACCGGCTGAGTCGTATGTGTAAGAGTAGGAGGGCTTTGGCCTAGTCTTCCGTACTTGGCGTTTCGCATCAAGGTCTTCTAGACGCGCAGATTCAAAACGGTCGATACTTTTGTGAATGGTTCGACGCCATTCCGGTCTTTGACGTGCCAGACTCTCCCAACTCTCAGTTGGTATATGACAAGCCAAAAGATTGCGTTTGAGCACGTCTTTATAGCGAAGGTATTGCCCGCCTTGTTTTCGTTTTCCGTTTGAAAGCTCAGAATAGAAGACTGCCTTCGGTAGTCTGCTATCGGGCTTGCGTAGGACGTGACCGCTCCATCTCAGTTGACTTTTCATTACGAGAGCTTCAATTCCAGACATACCTGTACGACGTAATACCTCGGTGTTTGAAATTCGGTCCTGCCACTTAATGCGCAATATGGATCTTAGACATTTGAGGTGAAATGTGTCGGCTATATCTATGTTGTATTTGGCCAATTCTCTCGCGATTAGAGCCGTCTTTCTCTCCGGACATAAGTTTACGTCATTGTCTAATAAAGTACGAACGTTCCACGTTCCTATTATAAGATCTTTTATTTTTTGTTTAAGTTTCATTTTTCGACCGCATTAAGATGGTGAACAGATGACCGCGGTTTGCCATCTGCTTTGAGGATGAGACGGGCTATTTTTGGGCCACCTTTTCTAGGCCCCTCCCCGGATTGGGGAAAGCAGAGCGCTCCCTGAATAGGGCTGCTTTGTCATCATCTGAGCTGCCGAACCGGTCCCCCGCCTCGATCGGGACCCAGAACGACCATCACCAGACAACCGCCTACGTGCAGATGCCAATTAAGGTTTGGACACACCGATCCTCCCCCCATCGGCTCTCCATCGCCGCAGGGCTTGCGCTCGAAGACCAGGTAACATGCAGGAGTCATCTGCGCGTGAATATATTTAAGTGGATAGGCAGTTGCGCAGGTGCGGATCCACTCTCTCGACCTCGGCCTCCCAGTGCCGGTGGACCGGATGGCCGATACGACCGGCAGAAAGCAGAGGTTGCAGGAGATTGGCCATACGCCACTGTACGTATCCTGGCGTGCGCCCTTTGAGGCACTTCCCCTGTGCCTTGCCACATCGCTGTAGAAGCCGGGTGCGTTTGTCTACGGACAGTGCTCGCCTCCTACACCGAAGTGGTCTTGTGTAAAGGCATGGCGGATCAACCATAGACTGACTGCACTGGTAATGTAACCTACCAGCGGGCGGTGGGGTCGTCACTTCCCTACGCCTATAAATCTTGTGCTACTACTACGTATATAGAGTTGAGTTGCTTGAGAAATTAAGCTAATTTCCACTACAGAAATTAAGCTGTCCAGTAGGTATAAATAAATATAGAAAGAGGTAAAAGATATCATTTGCTATCTCACTTACTCTTGACTTAATATTTTTACTTTCTGGTGATAGCAATATTTGAATAAATCGTCGTCTTAGACGATGTGCTTATTTGTTTAAACGAACAATTTACCGAAAAAGTATGTAATAAAAAAAGTGTATTGTAAAATCCTATTGGTATAAAATATAATTTTACTTTAAAATGCCGAAAAAAGTATTTTATCTATCTATACATATACTAAAATTGTAACTAAGACGAATCTCTACATTCAATATTTTTTGAAAAATCTTATGGAAAAAGTTATTATTGTCGATACAGAGGCCGAATCTATAGTTTTTAGAATGTTTGTCTGTCTGTGACTGCATCATAGAAAAACCATTGGAGGTATTTTGATAAAATTTGGTATGATGATAGCGGTTATCCGGGTCAACATATAGGATACTTTTTACTGCGGGAAAATATCTCATCTCTGAGAAATCTATACTAAACGTTAAAACTTAAGTAGCTAGTATATGTATATTATAAATCTTAGAAATAATGCTTTGTTTTTAAAATAGAAAAAAAACTACTGTAAATTACAACAAGTATTGGTAATTCGAACAGATAAGCACTAAGGCGACGAAAGAGTGATGTCATTTCGTAATCGACTACAAATAGATTTAAAATTGAAGTTATATAAGCTATTCTGATTGCTATCAGCTGCAAGGTGGTGATCGATTGTTTTTTATGATCTTGATGCATGATTGAGTGTCAACCAGCGTTGGTCTTCACAGTTTTTTACTTAACAAAAGAATATTTAATCGATTTTTGAGTAAAATACTATTCGAATATCAGGCTTAAAAGTTCTTTATAGAGCGCATAAGATAGAATGGTGATACAGAAGCACCAAAAGGGGTAAGTTACAGTACATAAGTTAAAAAAATATATTTGAAAATGATTTCATTGAATAGGGAATATGCGTGTGATGAAATGAAGGGGAAATATTTTTTTTTATAAACTTTATTGTTTTGGTATTTAGCCTATATCAATATTTTTTAATGTAATTTCTTTTTGATTAAGAAAATTATTACTGAAATGTGCAAAAATAGATGGGAAATTCTAAGTAGTCTTTTGCAATGCCATAGGTCAGACCGAATGTGATGTCAAAGTCATCATCAATAGACTGCTGTTGTTTGGTGTTTGCGATTGGTACTAACAATCTAGACTGTTCTTTGGTTGATGGCAATGTTGTCATAGACTATGACGTCACGCCTAACGCTCCAAAATGGTGGGCGTTTAAAGTATGTATCCGTACCTGTATATTGAAAAAATTACGAAATGTTAGTTTCTTGGACCTAAATATTTTTTCCAATTTTATAACAATTTTAGCTATTGTATAAAAAAACAAAAACACGCATATTCCCTATTGTTTAATTTTTCTACTATTTTTATTGTTCAGTTCTTCGAATTCTTCAAATATATTCAATTGCTGAAAAGAGCATATAAATATAAAACAAAATTGATCCACTTAAATCTGTTGAGATTACGAATGGAAAATATACGTAAGTTTGGTCTGGGCTACTGCGACCTGCCGACATTGTTGTGGAATGTTTCCATCTCTTTAAGAGTCCTTACACTCAATATCGACAAGCGTAATACCAAAAGTAAGTAATTTTATTTATTTTTTTATATTAAAAACTTTACAATTGCACAGAGAATTTTGGATATCCGCGTTTTCTTCCTGCCAGTGACAAATCTATACATATAATAAAATTCTAACTATGCCGAATCTGTACCTTAATTTTTTTTTGAAAAACTTATTGTAATAGACATTATTATTGATACTGAGGCCGAATCTATAGTTTTTAGAATTTTGTCTGTCTGTATGTAAGTTACCGCATCACGGAAAAACCACTGGAGGGATTTTGCTGAAATTTGGTATGATGGTAGCTGGTTAGCCGGATCAACATATAGGATACGTTTTACTACGGGGAATTCAAATTCAAACCCAAGCGGAGTGAGGGTGGGTCGCTGGTATCGTATATCCTTTGATATATGTATATTTAATGTGTGGAAGTTTGGGATGTTACAAAAGCTACATCATCAGTTTTTAGATTTCTTATTCGTCTAATTAAATAGATGATATAAAAAAGTTTTACATATACGAGTATATTGCAATCTATTGCTTTTAAAAACAAAAAATAATAAATAATAGCTCGTCTTAAATATGACCTAAAAATTATATTCTTATTGTTTTCAGGAATCCCAATACCCTTTTACATAATAACGCTTGTATTAATTTTATGCTACTTCTACGTTTATTTAGTGTCTATGATTTGGTATGTGTTTTTCTACTGTCCTATTACAAACGACTGGATATCTGCCATCATAGTGTTTTCTCTTGGTCTTTCCAGTGAAATTGGCGTTTGCAAGCTTTTCTACTTATATTTGTATAAGTAAGTGTTTTTATGGCTCTTTTCCGATAGTTTTTTTCTAATCTCGACGGCTTGACCGATTTTGCTACTTTAAACCGTATTGTATTAAGGTAGGTCCCGAGGTGGTCCCATAATTTTTTTTGACATTGAGAATACCGTTTTCGAGAAAATCACATAAAATCCATAAAATTTCAAGTATGTTCAGATCTAATTATGAATACAATTGTATTTTTTGGCTTAGAATTATTGTTTATTTGCCAATAGTTTTTTGACAATAGATTTTTTTTAATTATAAGCAAAAAGATGTTGATGATGTTGATTAAGTTCGAAAATATGTAGCTTAAATACAGCTTTAATATTTCTTTTACAGAAGCCATGTAAGAGATTTAGTAGCTGAATACCTTATATGTGATAGTTTATTAACCCCGGATAGTCGCTTTGAAGGTAATATTCTCAAAGCAATGAGATATGTTAAGAAGAGGGCCATGATTTTTTGGATTCTTATAATATCTAACGGTTTCGTGTATGTTACGAAGCCATTAATTCTCCCTGGACGACATTTGCCGGAAGACGATTTTATTCTATACGGTGAGGTCATTTTTATTTTCAAAATTTAAGAATATTTATTCAATATTAGAATTTTCAGGTATTATTTGTCAAAAATAGCAGCGGTTCGGAAAAAAACTTGTGCCCTAAGAAAAATTTCTGAATGATAAATTAAATGATACCTAATATGTAAGATATATGTATGTATGTATTTCGCAAAAAGAACCTCACCGTACTTTATTTTTTGTCTTGTCTTGTCTTTGATTGTTTTTAACCGACTTCCAAAAAGGAGGAGGTCCTCAATTCGTCGGAATCTTTTTTATGTATGTTCACCGATTACTTGAAGACGCCTGAACCGATTTGGAATTTTTTTTCGAAGGGTATACTTCCCAGGAGGCCCCATTTAAATTTATCGAAATCGGTCAAGCGGTTTAAAAAAAAATCAACAAATAAATTATTATTTTAAATAAATTGTTTAATCGAATATGTTATTATATAACTTTCTTCTTACAAATTAATTGAAATCGGATTAATCGTTGACTATTGTTTACTACGCCTTAGAATCTATATTTAATCGGTAAGTAATAAGGGATTTTTTCGATATATTTTTACGATTATAATTCTAATTTTTTGCAGGTCTAAATCCGGCACTGGAAAGCCCAAATTTTGAAATAAGTTATCTTTTATCAGTCGCTGGTGTTATCATTACAGTTTATCTACCATCCAACATAACTGCCTTTCTAATTATAATAACCGGATACACCGAAGCTCAAATGCTAGCATTAAGTGACGAAATGCTACATATCTGGGATGATGCAGAAGAGTATTACAGAAAATTTCAAATTATACATAAAAATTATGAAGTAGATAAAATGAAGAGGACCATTCTAAATAAATTCGTAAAATATCGTTTAAAAGATGTTGTTAAAATTCATACAATGAATATAAAACTTATTAATCGTGTAGAATCAGTATTTCGAGGAGCAATAGCTATTGAGTTTAGTATACTCATTGTAAGTTTAACAGCAGAACTTGTTGGAGGATTGCAGAATACATATTTACAAGTACCGTTTGCATTAATGCAAGTGGCCATAGATTGTTTCACTGGCCAAAAGGTAATAGATGCGTGTATACATTTCGAAAATGCTGTTTACGCTTGTAAATGGGAAAACTTTGATAAGAGTAATACGGCGACCGTTTTAGTGATTCTGCAAAATTCGCAAAAAACTATGACTCTATCGGCAGGAGGGATGACCACTCTAAGCTACCCAAGTCTCATGGCTATTTTAAAGTCTATTTATTCAGCATTTACTACTTTAAGCTCTGCCGTGAAAAAGAATTAAAGAATTTTTGCATTTTGTGTCCTATTGGTGATTGTCATTGAACTATTAATGGCACTATTAATAGCGTAGCAAAATTTTATATAATAGATTATATTGTACATGAAAAATTATTTATATTTTATCTGTACATACTGATTTAAAAATATTGTACTTATTATTAATAACAAGATATTATTATTACATCAAGCAATGAAGGCAATGACTGAGATTCAGCATTTGATTGTCGACTCAAAACTGTAACAAGAACGATTTGCCTTAAGATTTCTATTTATAATGATGTCCATGATATCGTCACCTCACACCATGAATACTCGCAATGCTACTCGCCGCTTATCTCAGGGTTCATCTATCGTGGCTCGACGTATTCCTGATGGCCACGTGGCCGAATTGCTGAATTTCGGTACCTACGTCACTTATTATGCTTTGACAAAATTGACATATTTAGTAATATTTTGAACTGAATTTGAATAAATTTAAAAATGTTTTGAGTTAGCTTTTGGGATTTAAAATTAAAGGCGATAACTTGTAATATAATATTTTATTGCTTTTCACAGTTGATTTCGTTCTCACTGATTGTGCACTGTGTTATCTGTTGCGCAGACGGTCTTTAAGACCATTTTCTAGAACATATTTTTTTGACAAAAAAGCTCTTTCAAATACATGTGCGGGGACGACACATGCGCCACCTTACTGTAAGATATATATTTGTACTATGCCTATAACCTTCGCGTAAGCGCAAGCTTTATGTTGACAAAGTTTTATCATAATCGGATGAAGTGTGAGCGTGAGTGGGAGCGCATGTCCATATCTCAATGTTTTTCTGAAAATTTTCTAATTGACTTATATTTCAGGATTCCTTTAGAATCTAATTTTATCTTGAATCTTCTATATAGGACACCTCATCTCTTAGGCTAACATAATTTTATATATATATATATATATATATATATATTCAATTTCATTTACCTGAACAAAATATTACTAAAACACAAGATATATCATTAAAATCAGATTATTAAAGTTAAAAATCACATGGATACCAATTTAAAAGTTGACAATAAAAAAACAGACAATACATGTACAATTACGTAGCAGATAACGAATGGACATTAATGTATGGAAATTAACAATCGATTATGTAAATAATCGTGTTTGACGAATGCACCACTCGATGTTTTATTGGATACTAAAGAAAATAACTTTGAATAACGTAATGTTTTTACTTATTTATAATGTATAGATAGATTTTCTTTGAAACGTCGCATAACTTAGAGAAACAGTTGAAGTTTTATAATACTGGTAATAAAATTGCTAATTGGCTAACTTATTTAAGTAAAAATAAAGTGCACTATGTACTTACTACATACGTAGCTGTAAAGTAAATAGATATTATGATATAATAGCCTCCTCGCTAAATGATAGACATATGTAAATATATATATATATATATATATATATATATAAATATCATTATATAGATAATCTGAATATGCATAAATAAGTAATAAATCGTCGTTTTAGTGCTTATTTGTTTATACAAACAAGTTACCGAAAAAGATTTTAGTACATAATTATTGTATTGTAAAATCCTATTGGAATTAAATATAATTTTAGTTTAAAATGCCGAAAAAAGTATCTATCTTTGCATATACTAAAATTGTAATTAAGACGAATCTCTACATTAATAATAATAATAATATTCTTTATTGTACACCAAAAATAGATATAAAATAAAAAAAAAAACAACACAAAGAAAAGATGCACAGCATGCGGCCTTATCGCTCTCTTCCAGCGATTCTTACATTAAATATTTTTTGGACAATCTCATTGAAATAGTCATTATTGTCGATACAGAGGCCGAATCTATAGTTATTAGAAATATTGATATATTAATATATATATGTCTGTGACTGTATCACAGAAAAAACCATTGGAGGGATTTGGATAAAATTTGGTATGATGATAGCGGTTATCCGGGTCAACAAATAAGATACTTTTTACTGCGGGAAAATATCTCATCTCTAAGAAATCTATACTAAACGTTAAAACTTAAGTAGCTAGTATATGTATATAAATCTTAGAAATAATGCTTTGTTTTTAAAATAGAAAAAAAAACTACTGTAAAATACAACAAGTATTGGTAATTCGAACAGATAAGCACTAAGGTGACGAAAGAGTGATGTCATTTCGTAATCGACTATAGACTGCAAATAAATTTAAAATTGAAGTAATACAAGCTTTTCTGATTGCTATCAGCTGCAAGGTGGTGATCGATTGTTTTTTATGATGTTGATGCATGATTGAGTGTCACCCAGCGTTGGTCTTCATAGTTTTTTTACTTAACAAAAGAATATTTAGTCGATTTTTGAGTAAAATACTATTCGAATATCAGGCTTAAAAGTTCTTTATCGAGCGTATAAGATAGAATGGTGATACAGAAGCACCAAAAGCGGTAAGTTACAGTACATAAGATAAAAAAATATATATTTGAAAATGCTTTCATTGAATAGGGAATATGCGTGTGATTTAAACGAAGGTGAAATATATTTTTTTATAATCTTTATTGTTTTTGTATTAAGCCTATATCAATATTTTTTAATGTAATTTCTTTTTGATTAAGAAAATAATTACTGAAATGTGCAAGAATAGATGGGAAATTCTAAGTAGTCTTTTGCAATGCCATTGGTCAGACCGAATGTGATGTCAAAGTCATCATCAATAGACTGCTGTTGTTTGGTGTTTGCCATTGGTACTAACAATCTAGACTGTTCATTGGTTGATGGCAATGTTGTCATAGACTTTGACGTCACGCCTAACGCTCCAAAATGGTGGGCGTTTAAAGCATCCGTATCTGTATATTAAATTTTTTTTACTAAATTTTAGTTTTTTGGACCTAGAGATTTTTCCAATTTTATAACAATTTTAGCTATTGTATAAAAAAACAAAAACACACATATTCCCTATTGTTTAATTTTTCTACTATTTTTATTGTTCAGTTCTTCGAATTCTTCAAATATATTCAATTGCTGAAAAGAGTATATAAATATAAAACAAAATTGATCCACTTAAATCTCTTAAGATTACGAATGGAAAATATACGTAAGTTTGGTCTGGGCTACTGCGACCTGCCGACATTGATGTGGAATGTTTCCATCTTTTTAAGGGTCTTTACACTCAATATCGACAAGCGCAATACCAAACGTAAGTAACTTTAATTATTTTTTTATATTAAAAACTTTACAATTGCACAGAGTATTTTGGATATCCGCGTTTGCTTCCTGCTAGTGACAAATCTATACATACTCGTATAATAAAATTCCATGAACGAAGTTTCTAATTCGTTCATGTAAAATTCTTACTATGCCGATCTGTACCTTAATTTTTTTTGGGAAAATCTTATTGAAATAGACATTATTATCGATACAGAGTCCGCATGTATACTTTTAAGAATTTTGTCTGCCTGTCTGTCTGTCTGTCCGTCCGTCCATCCGTCCGTCCGTCCGTCAGTCCGTCTGTCTGTCTGTCTGTCTGTCTGTTTGTCTGTTACCGCTTCACGGAAATTTACGGAAATATTCTTTGATATATGTATATTTAATGTGTGGAAGTTTGGGATGTTACAAAAGCTACATCATCATTTCTTAGATTTCTTATTCGTCTAATTACATAGATGATATAAAAAAGTTTTACATATATATTGCAATCTATTGCTTTTAAAAACAAAAAATAATAAATAATAGCTCGTCTTAAATATGACCTAAAAATCATATTCTTATTGTTTTCAGGAATCCCAATACCCTTTTACATAATAACGGTTGTATTAATTTTTTGCTACTTCTACGTTTATTTAGTGTCTATGATTTGGTATGTGTTTTTTTACTGTCCTATTACAAACGACTGGATATCTGCCATCATAGTGTTTTCTCTTGGTCTTTCCAGTGAAATTGGTGTTTGCAAGCTTTTCTACTTATATTTGTATAAGTAAGTGTTTTTATGGCTTTTTTCCGATAGTTTTTTTTTTCTAATCTCGACGGCTTGACCGATTTGCTACTTTAAGCAGTATTGTAAGAAGATAGGTCCCGAGGTGGTCCCATAATTTTTTTTGACATTGAGTATATTTTTTTTTTCGAGAAAATCACATGAAATCCATAAAATTTCAAGTATGTTCAGATCTAATTATGAATACTATTGTATTTTTTAGATTAGAATTATGGTTTATTTGCCAATAGTTTTTTGACAATAAACTTTTTTAAAATTATAAGCAAAAAGATGTCAATGACGTTGATTAAGTTCAAAAATATGTAGCTTAAATACAGCTTCAATATTTCTTTTACAGAAGTCATGTAAGAGATTTAGTAGCTGAATACCTTATATGTGATAGTTTATTAATCCCAGATAGTCGCTTTGAAGGTAATATTCTCAAAGCAATGAGATATGTTAAGAAGAGGGCCATGATTTTTTGGATTCTTATAATATCTAACGGTTTTGTTTATCTTACGAAGCCATTAATTCTCCCTGGACGACATTTGCCGGAAGACAATTTTATTCTATACGGTGAGGTCATTTTCATTTTCAAAATTTAAGAATATTTATTCAGTATTAGTATTTTCAGCTATTATTTGTGAAAAATAGCAGCGGTTCGGAAAAAAACTTCTGCCCTAAGAAAAATTACTGAATGATAAAATAAAAGATACCTAATATGTAAGATATATGTATGTATGTATTTCGCAAGTTTTGTCGCAAAAAGAACCTCACCGTACTTTATTTTTTGTCTTGTCTTGTCTTTGATTGTTTTTAACCGACTTCCAAAAAGGAGGAGGTCCTCAATTCGTCGGAATCTTTTTTATGTATGTTCACCGGTTACTTGAAGACGCCTGAACCGATTTGGATTTTTTTTATTTCGAAGGGTATACTTCCCAGGTCTCCATTTAAAGTTAATCGAAATCAGTCAAGCGGTTTTTAAAAAATTGACAAATAAATTATTTTTTTTAAATAAATTGTTTAATCGAATATGTTATTATATAACTTTCTTCTTACAAATTAATTGAAATCGGATTAATCGTTGACTATTGTTTACTACGCCTGAGAATCTATATTTAGTCGGTTAGTAAAAAGGGATTTGTTCGATATATATTTACGATTATAATTATATTTTTTGCAGGTCTAAATCCGGCACTGGAAAGCCCAAATTTTGAAATAAGTTATCTTTTATCAGTCGCTGGTATTATCACTACAGTTTATCTACCATCCAACATAACTGCCTTTCTAATTATAATAACCGGATACACCGAAGCTCAAATTCTAGCATTAAGTAAAGAAATGCTACATATCTGGGATGATGCAGAAGAGTATTACAGAAAATTTCAAATTATACATAAAAACTATGAAGTAGATAAAATGAAGAGGACCATTCTAAATAAATTCGTAAAATATCGTTTAAAAGATGTTGTTAAAATTCATACAATGAATATAAAACTTATTAATCGTGTAGAATCAGTATTTCGAGGAGCAATAGCTATTGAGTTTAGTATACTCATTGTAAGTTTAACAGCAGAACTTGTTGGAGGTTTGCAGAATACATATTTAGAATTACCGTTTGCATTAATGCAAGTTGCCATGGATTGTTTCACTGGCCAAAAGGTAATAGATGCGTGTATACATTTCGAAAATGCTGTTTACGCTTGTAAATGGGAAAACTTTGATAAGAGTAATACGGCGACCGTTTTAGTGATTCTGCAAAATTCGCAAAAAACTATGACTCTATCGGCAGGAGGGATGACCACTCTAAGCTACCCAAGTCTCATGGCTATTTTAAAGTCTATTTATTCAGCATTTACTACTTTAAGCTCTGCCGTGAAAAAAAATTAAAGAATTTTTGCATTTTGTGTCCTATTGGTGATTGTCATTGATCTATTAATGGCACTATTAATAGCGTAGCAAAATTTTATATAATAGATTATATTGTATATGAAAATATATAATAATTTATATATTATCTATACATAGACTAAGTTAAAATATTGTACTTATTATTAATAACAAGATATTATTATTATATCAAGCAATGAAGGCAACGACTGAGATTCAGCATTTGAGTGTCGACTCAAAACTGTAACAAAAACGATTTGCCTTAAGATTTCTATTTATAATGATGTCCATGATATCGTCACCTCACACCATGAACACTCGCAATGCTACTCGCCGCTTATCTCAGGGTTCATCTATCGTGGCTTGACGTGTTCCTGATGGCCACGTGGCCGAATTGCTGAATTTCGGTACCTACGTCACTTATTATGCTTTGACAAAATTGACATATTTAGTAATATTTTGATCTGAATTTGAATAAATTTAAAAATGTTATGAGTTAGCTTTTGGGATTTAAAATTAAAGGCGATAACTTGTAATATAATATTTTATTGCTTTTCACAGTTGATTTCGTTCTCACTGATTGTGCACTGTGTTATCTGTTGCGCAGACGGTCTTTAAGACCATTTTCTAGAACATTTAAGGATCTAAGGTTTAGCCAGCGTTAGCCATGTAAGCATATGAAAAAAATTTTTTTGACAAAAAAGCTCTTTCAAATACATTTGCGGGGACGATACATTACTGTAAGATAATTGTACTATGCCTATAGCCTTCGCGTAAGCGCAAGCTTCATGTAGACAAAGTTTTATTATAATCGGATGAAGTGTATTAGAGTGCATGAAATACGAACAAACAAACAAACAAAAAAATATTATTTGCGTAGGGTGTCCATGTCTCAATGTTTTTCTGAAAATTTCCTAATTGACTTATATTTCAGGATTCGTTTAGAATCTAATTTTATCTTGAATCTTCAAAAGCGGTCCTCCGGACCGGACCTCTCATCTCTCAGGCTAACATAATTTTAAATGTATTCAATTTCATTTACCTGAACAAAATATTACTAAAATACAAAATATATCATTAAAATCAGATTATTAAAGTTAAACATCACACGAATACCAATTTAAAAGTTGACAATATAGAAACAAACAATACATGTACAATTATGTAGCAGACATGGACATTAATGTATGGAAATTAACAATCGATTATGTAAATAATCGTGTTTGACGAATGCACCACTCGATGTTTTATTGGATATTTTCTATGAAACGTCGCATAACTTAGAGAAACAGTTGGAGTTTTATAATACTGGTAATAAAATTGCTAATTGGCTAACTTTAAATTATTTAAGTAAAAATTAAGTGCACTATGTACTTACAACATACGTAACTGTAAAGTAAATATTATATATATATATACATATATGTACAATGTACATACAAACAAATAAAATAAATTTTATTTTTCATAAAAAATACTTTGTAATATTTTACTCCTTACGAGCGACTTTCATTCTTTATGCTTCGCTATATTGGCTAAGTAAAATTTCAACTGTCATACTAAAAGCCTGGAAGTATAATATCTATTTATTTATAAAATTTTATAGCATGTTACTAAGTTGTAACATTTGCGAAAGAATGTGGAAGACGTTAAGAAAATTTGGTCTAGATTACGACGATTTCCCAACAATTATGGAAAACGTGAATAATTTGCTGAGAATTTTGACAATTGATATTTTGAAAAATACTAAACGTAAGTTTAATTTATCATTTATAATAATAATTCTCCTGGCTGATTCCGGCTACGGCGGCCAATCTCATTAAGACTAGCCATCTGCGCATGAGATATAATAGAGCACAAGTGTACACGCAGACACAATTGCACTCTCTATTCCTGTCACTCTCAAAGTCTGATGGGACGACACTTCGACACGACCGACGGCTTTGCGTGCTCTCCGAGGCACGGGGGTGAAACACCGCCAACATTCTAACTCCGAGCTACTACTGGGAATATATAACAGAAAAACTTAGAAATTAAATATGGCCCGACCCGGGACTCGAACCCTGCAGAACTGCAGGCCCTCCGGATCTGCAGTTGTACACGCTAACCCCAAGACTACGTAAAAAATAAATAAAAATACAGGAAACATTTTTTTACATTCGCAATCGATCATCGAAGTTAAAATACTACATAATATGTAAAATGTAAAAGTCATATTAATGAAAAGTACATGTACGATGGTACATCCTTACGTACATCCGTACGGAACCCTTAGTGTGCGAATTCGACTCGCATATGACCGATTTTTAATATTTATTGTGATAGAACGTAAAAATGTATAAAAAAGGTAATACTTTCTTAGATTTACGCGATTATTTGACATTTTAAATAAATCACCATTTTAAATAAATCTTTTCGGATTATTTCGCGAATTTATTTTGATTTTTGGTTCCGAATGCTTTCAGCAATCATGGCCACGGGAGAGACAAGGTTTTAGACGTCTCAAAGTACGTTGTATACTTGTTACTGCTATGTCTGTTAATCCGAAAATATAATTTTATTTAAAATTATATTAAACGTAATTAGTAAAGTCGTAAATTAATTTTATAATGTTCAGATTTAATCTGTAGGCTAAATAACTTTAACATTTTAACATTTTCAGCCATTTTTTTCATCTCCTACATTTTTACTGCAATAGGAAGTATAATTTACTTTTACGTGTACGTGTTCTCAATGGTCTGGTCTGTGTACTTTTGTTATGGGAGAGCTGGAAATTGGACCGCTGTAGCTGTTGTCTTGTCTTTATTCTCGTGCAGCATCACAGGCTTTACTAAGCTGATATTTATGAAATTGTATGCGTAAGTTCACAAAATCGTTTTAATTTCATAGGATTCATTATATCTATAACTTTTTTTATTAAAACGATATAATAATTAGTATTGTTGAATCATTTTTTTGTACATAATAAATGATGGTTTTAAAGCGAAGAATATATACTAAAATAATTTATAAATATCGGTCAAGCTCTTTAGAAGGAGAAGAATTGCGAAAACTCGAACATTGAAATTTGATATATTATAAAAACATGTAATATTTATCATATGGAAAGAAAGTGATTTTAAATGAATATAGAAAGTATATTTTTAAATTTTTAACGAATAATGTTCATTTTGTACAGAAAAAGCTTAAGAGAAACAGTTCAAAAGTATCTCTTATGCAATGGACGAGTGATTCCTGGAACAAGATTTTCTAGGAATCTCCGAAAGCGACTTAGAATAGTTAAGCGACGAGCAACATGCATCTGGCTGTTTGGTGTTGTTAATGGCGCTATTTACGTATTAATCCCGTTCATGACTCCTGGATGACATTTTACTACAGATTTGTATCTTATTTATGGTAACTGAAATATTTATCTATATATATGTACGAGTATAATAAAATTCTAACTGAGTCGAATCTGTACATTAAATATTTCTTGGAAAATCTTATTGATATAGTCATTATTATCAATAAAGAGTCCGAATACATAGTTTTTATAATTTTTGTCTGTCCGTCTGTCCGTCCGTCCGTCCGTCCGTCCGTCCGTCCGTCCGTTTATCTGTCTGGGAACGCATCACGAGAAAACCACTGGACGGATTTTAATGAAATTTGGTACGTATTTTAATGAAATTTGGTATGATGATAGTTGGTTATCCGGGTCAATATTTAGGATACTTTTTTCTGCGAGAAAATACTTCATCTATGAGAAATCTATACTAACCTTTAAACGTAGGAATGAAGTGAGTCACTAGCTTACTATATTTTTGCAAACTACAAAAGTGTTTGGAATTAAAAAACATAATATTTCATTTAGTACTATTTTTTTATTTTTTTACAGGTCTAGTCCCAATGTTCGAATCGCCTAATTTTGAAATAGCTACAGTTATAAATATTTCTAGCATTGCCTTCGGTATATACACATTAGTCAGTATAGCAGTGTATGTTATTGTCATAGTAGGCTATATAGAATGCCAGATGCAAGCTTTGAGTGAAGAACTGGAAAACGTTTGGCAAGACAGTTTAAACTTCTATAATTTCAACAAACACATTATACGTAACAAAATATACGTTATGGATATAAAAAAAGAAATAATGAATGAGTTTATTAGAGTTCGTTTGAGAGATATCATAAAACTTCACATTATCAATATTAATCTATTGCATGAAGTAGATCAAGAATTACGTCCGACTGTGGCTATGGAATTCAGTATTATGACTTTTTCCATAACAGCTGAACTCCTTGGTGGTTTGGAAAACACGCTTCTGCAATTACCATATACTATTTTACAAGTGTTCATGGATTGTCTTGCAGGGCAACGTCTGATTGACGCTTGCAATAATTTTGAAAACGCTGTGTATAGTTGCAAGTGGGAACATTTTAATGTAGAAAATCAGAAAACCGTACTATTGATGTTAAGAATAGCTAAGAAGACTTTGGTTCTATCAGCTGGAGGAGTAGCAAAGTTAAATTTTGAATGTTTAATGATGATACTGAGATCTACTTATTCTGCATATACTACATTAAAATCCACATTGAAATAATGTTATATGCTCATTACTGTACTATTATAATCGAATAAAATATTATTAAATATTGAGAATTATCGTCAAAACCGAAGTCGTCGTGAAACCGAAGAAGAGTTTATATTTGTAGAAAAACACTTTTGTTTTGTGATGTTCGAGCTGGCGTGTACTCTTTACTTCATTTTAACGTGACCGGTAAAACTAACATATAATAGATACTAGATAGCCAGGCTTATGAAAGCCATTAGTTAGGAAAGAAATACATTATTTTTAATTTGGAGATTTGTGCTAGATTTTGGTCACAGTTAGGAAATTTTATCTCAGGTTGATATTAATATAATGCTTGTTTAACACTTATCAGTAGTCTTAATAATACTCTTACCATAAAATATAATTATTTTAAAATACTAATAATAAAGAATAGTCGAAAATTGAATAATTATTAATTGTGTCTTAAATCCTAACTTATGAACTATAGCCTACTATACTGTTTTTGCTCTATTACAAAAGTGATAACGACGAACGTTGCTGCTTCCGGCGGACATTCAGAATGACTGTAATGTATTTAACACCTTCATAATAGAATTTACATTCGCATTGACGAGGTTAACGACAAGAAGTTAATTTAATGTGACAATGGAAATTGCTTATGTTAAAAATACATGTAAAGGGATAAAGGAGTTAAATGAAAAGTAAATCATTTGCATAGATATAATTTAATTAATTGTGATAGACGTAAAAATAACATATGAAATAACATTATTTGTATCTTGTAAATAAATAATAAAAAATAGAATTTATGAATGTGGTTCATTTAAAAACTGTGATAATATTACACTACTCGTACATGCAAAAGTTTATGAGTGTTTGTGTGTGTATATTTGTAACTTTTTCACGCTGACACTGGCTGCATAGATTTGGATGAAATTTAGCACAGATAGGTTATTACCTGGAATAATATATAGGCTACTTGTAGTAATAAAATCTGTAAAATGTAGCGCTGCCTGTATACAATATTAAGAATAGAGCGGGCACTTAGGAACGCAAGAAGCGAATCAAGACTAGGTCGATTGACAACATTTGCAAAGGCATAAATTAAAATCATTTTATAGTGCTGAATGTAACGTAGTAAAAGTTGAATAAATAGATTTTAAAACAGACATCAGGCATGGGAAACTAAGTGCTGTCAATCCACCTGCTGACAATGTCAAAGATTTTTGCGAAGCTTGTAATATTAATAGAATCGTCTGCATATTTCTATTATCGAAATTCTCCCATTTACAAAAATACACTGAATTTTCAAAGTAAATACTGGCGTCAATTAATCTTTGTCCAGTAAAACAGTCTACTGCTACCTGCATCAATCCATAGGGTAGTTCTAAATACGTATTCTCCAAGCCTCCGAGAAGGACTGCTGTAATACTTACAAATAATAGAATAAATTCAACAGCTATTGCTCCGCGAAATACCGCTTCCACTTGATTTATCATATTGATGTTAGTTATATGAAGTTTTAATATATTTTTTAAACTGTCTCTTATGAAGCTGTTAAGCATTATATTATTAGTCTCTTCTCGTTGTTCGTTCTGGTCTTCATTAAGTGATGTTTCTATATTATGAAAGGCATCATCCCAAATTTGTGAAATTTCTTGACCCAATGCCAGCATTTGAGCTTCGATGTATCCAGTAATGACAATAAGAAAAGCAGTTATAGTAGAAGATGCGTAAATAGTTAAGGCAATACTAACAGTAAGTAGAAAAGAAGCGATTTCAAAATTAGGACTTTCAAACATCGGGTCTAAACCTGTGAAATATAAATGGCCATAATTATTCTCTTTTTATTAATGATCTTTTAATATTTATATAACTTCGATTATAAACAAGTTAAATTTTAATCATTTTATCAAACAGAAGTCAGGAAGAATACATACATAGCAAAGGTAACACTGAAGCTCAAAAATTTTTTAACCATTTTTTTTTTATATTTTACTACAAATCTTAAATGAGCTAGCCAAAGACACTCACCATATAGAATAAAGTCATCTTCTGGAAAGTGGCGCCCTGGAATAACAAATGGTATTATGGCGTATATGATGCCATTAGCCATCATGGGAATCCAAAATATTATAGCTCTTTTCTTAACATATCTCATTGTTTTGCGAATGTTATTTTCCAAGCGACTGCCCGGGATTACTGAACTGTCACAAGCAATGTATTCCGCTATAATATCTCTTATCTTCTTCCTGAGAAAGGTATAGTTTGATTCAATTAGTATTTAAATCAGCATGTTTTTCTATAGTTTTTGAGGTCGTTAGTTCGTTTCCAAGACTTGGTTATTGTTACTGTTTTTACTTTCAAGAAATATTCTGTAGCAGTCCGGAGCTAAGCACATCCGTATTTTGGACAGTATCTAAAGTCGTCAGTTATTCGCCTTATTCTCACGGGTCGAAAGCGTCACACTGTTTATAATGTCTGGAATTGAGAGTGCCCTTGTGTTTGCGTAGACTATCGTATCGTAAGTTTGGTCACCGCAATTGATGATCAAATATTATTTTGAAATTTTCGGCACTTGCAATAACAATATTGAAAAAAGTAACTTACTCATATAGATATATAAACATTAGCTTGCAAAAAGCTATTGTACTGGAAACTCCGACTGAGAAATTAATAATAGCTGATAGCTTATCTTTTGTGCGTCGACAATAAATAAATGAATACCAAATCGTTGAAAAAATGTAAACGTAGACGTAACTTGTAGTTATTATAATGGTTATGAGATAGAAGATTATTGGAATACCTTAAAGCAAAGAAACAATATATTAAATATTTATAATAAAAACAAAAAATATTTCATTGACATAAAGACTTTGTGGTTAAGGCCCCCTTTTAAGCAAGTAATTTTTACCTGTATTAGAAGACACCGCTATTCCAAAATAAAACAAAAAAAAAACAGATTTTTCTTTAATGATCAAAAAAATATCAAAATTTACCAGGAAGCCTCTTTTGAGAGGGACTAAAAATACCGAAATATTATTAAATAAAAATATTATATTAAATAAAAAAATAATTTTTTTTGGAACCGTCTGATTTGGCGTGGAATGCCCCATAAGTATCTTAAACTAATTCATTTATAAATTTATAATAAGTACAAAAATTTACAACATATATTTCAGTTAAAGGGTCATTCAATATGCTTAAATGACACTATTGCTTATTTGTAATTCAATCAATATATAAATTAAATTTTCTTATATAATAAGAAAAATGGTCTAAGAAACGATTGTTGTAAAGCGTTTTCATTTCAACAATAATATTTCTAGTTAGATATGTTTAATTCTAAGGCCTACCTTATTTCCTAAAATAAGAAAATGTGATTATTGGTGGTGGAAAATTTAACTAAATATATTCTTACGTTTTGTATTGCGTTTATCGATGTTAACTGTAAGTATTCTGAACATCACTGAAGCATTCCAAAGCAGTGTGGGCATATCACAGTAGCCTAGACCGAACTTACGTATCATTTCCATTTTTGGGTACCTGAATATATAATTTTAGAACATTTTAAATATATAACTAATGAGTAACCCTAATTTTTCACTAAAACGCTTAGAGTTATGGATTTATTTAAGACAAGCGACTCACCCTCGCTTCGCTCAGATGCGTCCTTGGGTTCGATTTTTTTTTTTAACGAAACCCTAATACTTTTTCTAAAATACCACCTTAGTTACTCGTTATAACATCATCATCGTCGTTATCAGCAAGTGAATCGTCAAAATCAGACCAGATGTTTCGGAGATTAGCCGGAATAAATAGACATACAGACGGACGGACGGACGGATGATATGTATTTAGTAAAAATCTGTTATCTTGACATTACAAACATACACTTCAATTTTATTTAGATGTTTAGATGAGATGGACTTATTTAGCTTATGTTACTCTCTTATGATATAGATACATCACTTTTTGTTGAGCAGACAAAATTTTTTTTGATACGTTGCTATTTAAAAGAAGGAAGATAAAAAAAAAACACATTTTCGTATTTACAGTATTTGAAAGAAATTAACCATAATGGAAATAATTACTTGGTATTGTCTATTGCTCAATAGCTTGAGAGTTTAATCCGAAAATTGCTTAAAAGTTGAGTGTTCATTAAATAATACGTCTTTATAATCTTTATTGATTTAAATATAAAATTGTGCAAAAAGTGTACTGATCTATATACTGTGAAACTCATAAGTAAAAAAAGCGTTATCCATATCAAAATATTGATTATTTTAATGCCATATTGATATACTCGTACATCTCTTTAAACCCATAAAAGTTTTTTTTACTTTTTGGAGAAGAAAAGTGGGTATTTCTTTTTTTAAAGAAAAAGTTATTTTTAGCTGGATAAAGATTTTGCTGGGAAATTGTAGGCAGTGTAAAGGCAGTCAGGGTTACAGAACATAAGGTGATGGTGGACGGCTACTTCTACAAGATCTTTCCTCTAGTTAAGGTTTCAAATAAAAAGGAGAATGGTTGTTTTATAAAAGAGTAAACGCCACAAATCTACCGACCGCTGACACGCCGGCGTTACAGTTAACAATAGATTTCTTAGAAATTTAATTAATTTCTTAGAAATTTACCTGGAGGTGACATATAAATAGGCAAAGACAAAGCAAAAAAAGGATCAGTACATTTTTCTCCTCTGTTTGTTAACCGATTTTCCTAATTTTTTTATGTTTAGTAGCTATAGACGAGCTATATATCAATAAAAATAAAATTGGTATCAGTTAATTTTTATCTAAAAAAATAATATGATTCTTTATATTCTTTATTGCACATACAAATTAAAATATACTAAATTATGAGAAAATTGGATTAAAAGTGATTCGATAAACCTGTCCTTTTAATACAATTTTTAAAATTTCTGTTCTTCAACGAATATTATTCTAGAATGACGTCTTATTATACCCGCATGCTTACAATTTAATATTGCAAATGTGAAGAACTCAAGAATACTGTCGTTTTACGTTCACTGAGTGATGAGACTGAATAATTAAAGTGGTAATAAATAGGCGTCATACGTACTGGTGGTGTAATTGTGTTAAATATACAGTAGAAAATATTCATGATCGATCAATTTATTAAAGCTATTTTCCTCACGGACTTTGTTGTCCGATAAAAAAATAAATTTATTTAATGGTAGAAGATTTTTTTTGTAGAGAATAGTAATAATTTTATTTTAAAAATGACAATGACAGACAGCAAAATTACTCAAAAGTTGGCGTTACTACAATTAGGAATGGAATTTTTTGGTAAAATATTGGTTTATCCTTGAGGTATTTTGTTATTTTTACCTATTCATTCAAAAAATTATTACGAAAATCGATTCACTATTGGCGATAATATCGCTCAACATATAAAAAACATACAACAGAATTAAGTACCTCCTTTATGAAGTTTGTCAAATTGTTAGCCGTAATATTTCAATCTACTGAGTTTTATTTGCGCAAAAAATAATATCCTCCCGACCGATTTGGGCCAATCTCACTGAGACTAGCAGGAGATATTATATTCCACAAGTGCACGTGCAGACAGAAGTGCACTCTGTATTCTTGTCACTCTCATACTCAGATTGGACGAATATTCGATACGACCGGTGAGAGATCAGGCGCAGGACCGACGGCTTTACGTGCTCGTCAAACACAGGGATGCAACACCGCAAACTTCCCAACTCCGAGTGGTTACTGAGAATTTCTTGACAGAAAAACTTAATTACTAACTTGGCCCGACCTGAACCATGCCAGGAGCTCCGGATCTGCAGTAGTACATGCTAGCCACTAGGTCGCCGAGGTAGTTTCGCTTGTTAAAAATAACTTTTATAGAAATAAAAAAAATGCAATACCTAGTTTTCGTCCCCAAGAAGTCTTGAGAAGAAATTTTTTTTTGGGGGCTAAAGAGATGTAAAAATGCTAAATATATATATTAATATATATTAATATATTACTCATAGGTGTATTACTAATTTATTAAAACTATTATAAAAATGAATTAAGTTTATAGTATTTTCTAAGGAAATTAATTAATGAAAAACATCACCGTTGAGAATCTCGTCGGCTCTTCTCAGCAGATTATTCTCAGAGTCAGCACATGCACTCTGCGGGCTGACTACACGAACTCTTTCTAAATACAGAAATATTTTAAATAAAACTATCTTTTCGGATTTTGTCGCGGATTTATTTGGATTTTTGTTTCCCGACGTTTCGAATGCTTTACAGCATCCATGGTCACGGGAGAGACTGAGGTGTTACATGTCTTGAATGTATAGTTGTTACAGACAGCCTACCCACAATTAACAAAATGAAAATTGCACCAATTACATTACAATATTTTTTAACTTTAAACATTTTTATAATTTTAATTATAATTGAATATGGAAAATTATTTATTTAATTTTGCTATTATTTTTATAATTATTACAATTTTAAAATATTAATTAGTAATCTATATTTAGTGTTGCCATTATTATATTTATAACCATAAAGAAAAATATAAAATGTAGTATTAATTATTAAAGCCATATAATTGTTCTATGTGTAATTTAAAAAGTTAAAATTAATTAAGGATAATAATTTTAATTTAGTTTGCTATTATTTAAAAACGACTTACTAAGCAACACTATTAATATATACTTTTACAAATGAAAAATGAAAAATATTAGTCTTTAAATCCGAAAAGATAGTTTTATTTAAAATGTCAAATATTCGCGTAAATCTAAGAAAGTATTACAGAAATATTTTTACTTCGTATATGGCAACCTAGGACCTACAAATTACATTTGTATCTTATTTATGTAAAGCTTCTATTAATAATACACAAACATACATCTAATCTTTATTCATTTAAATAAGCAAATAAATAGGTAAGTGTTAATAAGCATACGATTAAATTAAAATATTCTTACAATAAATGTTTTATAACTATCACTTTCATGAAATTAATAGGTAAATGTAATACTAACAAATGACAGCAACTATTTGCAAGATAAGCTGTCTAGTTAACCTATTCTTAAGATACTTATTTTACGTCATAAAAAACGTGAGGAGCGAAGTCCCTTTCGCTTTTTCGTAGACGATTGCTATACAGTAATTATAATTTATATTATAAAATATCAAGATGATAGAGTACAGTTGAAAAATTTACGATAAAATATATTTGTTCTGTATAAAATATTGATAAATTGTTTGAGTTGTTTAGTTCATAAATCCAATAATAGATGGCGTTAGTCATATTCTACATCGCGCGAGCTTTACGCTCTGATACGTATATATACATACATACTCAACTTATAATACCCTCCACCCCGAGTCACCATTTAAAGCGTCGGGTTTGGGAGGACCCAAACCCGACGCTTAAAATGGTGTAACTTTTTACCAAACAATATTATGTGGACTGTATAGAACAATTTGGAGCTGGAGGGAAACTTTTACTTTTTGTTGAGGTTTGGGTCTAATTGCACCATACTAATTAATAATTGTAACATACTATTTTCATTCAAAACATTTCATCCTTACCATAGACTCTATCCAATAACCATTAATTCGATAAAATTGTGACGGTGTACTTTTTTGCACTTTCAGTTGATTGATTACCGGTTCAGGTCACCTCTTTTAAAAATTATTATTTTTATCACATATATATGTATCTACGTTATCTATTATCTATCTACTTTAATAAACATTTACAACATACATAGATGCAATAAAAAAACTATAATACAATAAAATAATTATTACGAAGCAAACATTGTAAGAAAAGCATACAAACATAGTATGTTGATTTGACATATAGGATTTCTTTGTGACGTTCTTATTACTGTGACTGTCTGTACGCTATTCTATGTATGTATGTATGTCTGTACGCTGTCTCTACTCTTTCTGACAGTATTTTGTGTAGTAAATTATAGTTATGTTATTTATGAGTGTGTTTAAACCATGAATGACAAATAAAAGCTTAAACTAACTAGTGACATTTTATTTTTTGCTATTATTTGTGTTCTTCTTACTTAGAATATCCAACTTATTTACTGGACGGTTGTTACTTTATTTGGACCTCACTACATAAACATTGTTTTATTTTAGCGACTTCCATTTTTTTATAGTGACTTATAAATAGACTGAGGAATTTATAAAGCTGAATGAAGAGTTGTAAAAGCAGAATAAATAGATTTTAACACAGACATTAGACATGGGAAACTTAATGTTGACAATCCACCTGCTGACATTGTCAGAGTCTTTTGTGATATTTGTAATATCAAGAAAATCGTTTTCATGTTTTCATTATCAAAGTTTTCCCATTTGCAAAAATATACAGCTTTTTCAAAGTTTACACAAGCATCAATAACTCTCTGACCAATAAAACAGTCTACAGCCACTTGCATTAACCCATATGGTACTTGCATGTACGTATTCTCCAAGCCTCCTAGAAGTGCTGCTGTTAAACTTATAATAAGTAATGTGAATTCTACTGCGATTGCTCCACGAAATGCTAATTCTATTTGATGTAAAAGATTTATATTAACTATATGAATTTTCACAATTTCCTTCAAACGATTTCTTACGAAATTATTTATTTTTGCTGTTCTAGTTTTTTCTTGATGTTCAAATTGCTCATCATTAAGTAAAATTTCACTATTATTTAGTTCTTCAGCATCATTCCAGATGTCTAATATTTCTTGGCTTAAAGCGAGAATTTGGGCTTCTATATACCCCGTAATTATTATAAGAAAAGCGGTTATATTAGATGGTAAGTAGACAGTAACAAATATTCCAGCACCAGTCATTAGTAAAGCTATTTCATAATTGGGGCTTTCATATATTGGGTCTAAGCCTGTAATTAAATTTCATGCTTACAAATAGCATTGAAATTTTTAGCACAATACTTTCTATTGTTAAAAATATATAATTATAACCATAGTAGTTAATATATTCTTAAATAAAAATTAACAAATATCCATAGAAAAAAAGTTTTTATATTAAAAACTATATTTATCTCACCGTAAAGAATAAAGTCATCTTCAGGAAAGTGGCGTCCAGGAGTAATCAATGCTTTTGAAAAATAGACGACACCATTAGAAATAATGACGATCCAAAAAATCATGGCTCTTTTTTTAACGTCTCTCATTGTTCCAAGGATATTATTTTGAAATCGGCTGCCTGGGACAATGATACTATCACATAGTAGACATTCAGCTGCCACGTCTCTTAATTTGTTTCTGTAAAAGATATGAGTGGAACTAAAATTGATTTAATTTACCGTTCTTATTTCGGCCTGTGATCTGAAAATGATGTATGAAATAGAAAAAAACACACTATAAAATATGAAGAAAAAGATGCTCTCCTAATTTCTCCCTTAACAGTAATAAAAAATATAATAATATTTATCTTACTCATGCAGGTACATAAAAAACAGCTTGCAAACACCGATGGCACTAGCAACTCCAAGAGAAAAGACGATAATAGCAGATAATCTATTATTTGTTCTTCGACAATAGAAAAATGAGTACCAGACCATAGAGAAGATGTAAACGTATAAGTAGCTTATAATTACTACAATAGTGATGATGTAAAACACAATTGGAATACCTGTAGAAAAGAAAATAAAGCATTCTTAAGATAATAGAAACTATATTGTCGACAGAATTTGTACATTACTCCTACATTATATTTTTTTAACATTTAAAACTAATTTAATCCTTATGATTAAGCCAACTTTAAAAATCTTACGGTTAGTGTTTCGTTTGTCGATATTCAGTGTAAGGACTCTCAACATGACGGATACGTTCCAAAGCATCGTGGGCAAGTCGCAATAGCCCAAACCGAATTTGCGCATTTGTTCCATATTTTCCTGCGCAAGTATACTGTGAAATTCTCTATATATATTTTAATGAAATCTATATATGGAAATAAAATTCCTGGAGAAAATGTAAAATTAAGAGTGCAAAGAAAGTCTTATGACAATATCTGTATTAGTCATTTGGTAATGCGCTTGCTTGGAAAAATAAGTAATGAGAGGTCAAACCATGGGGTAGCAGATTAAATGTAGATAAATAGCATATAAATAGCGATCTTGTCGTTAAAAAACTGATCTTCCATGCAACCGTTTTGTCAAAGACCAATAAAAATATAAACCTGGATTTTGATTAGATTGGATATAGTATTTTCTGAATTCCATATTCTACGTTGTCGACGGAATGGAGATCAAGGAATACTAAGGAGAATAGAAGATTAGAGAATACTATTATTATTAAGACAAATTAGAATATTTTTATGTATTTTTTTGACTTTATAGAATTAGTAGCAAAACCCGTGGCTTCGCTTGCGTTGAAACTGCAAAAAATCTCTAAAAAGTTAGGTCTCATACAAACTTTCGTCCCCTATTTTACCCTCTTATGGGATGAATTTCGAAAACTGCTAAAATACGTATTTACTTAATTGTATTGAAGAGCATTAATACTAAGTTTCAAGTAATTCTGATCCTAAATATTTTTTTGGGTTATATAATAACGTGATTTCCTATGGGAACGAGATGATCTCCCGCGGCAACAAGTAGCCTATATCACTCTCCAGCCTTCAAGCTATCTTCACACAAAAAATCATGCTAATCCGTTACTTTGTTTCGGCGTGATAGAAGTACAAACAAACACACTTTCACATTTATAATATTAGTATGGATTATTTTTAAACGCTATTACAATATAAGGGCAGCTACAACACCACGTTTTGGACCAAGCATTTTACATGTATATACAAAATCGATTAGGCAATAGGCAATGATTACAATCAAATGATAAACAGCAAGTGAGCTATCTAGTTGCAATAGCTTGGTGACACTCTGCATTTTAAACTACATAAATAGAATAAATTGGTCAAGAGTGAAGCCTTATATTTTCACATATTTTGTAAAGAAATAAAATTTACACAGACAGATGAACATATAACTATAACCATAAAAAGTAAATTGTGTAACTATAATAAAAAAAGAAAACAAATTTTACAGTAATTTATCCACAAATTAAATCTCAGATTTTCTAAAGGTTCTAATGACTAAGATTTTTTTGTAAATTAACAGTAATCTTAGGAATATGTATGTATGTACTAAGAAATTTTTATCTTACTTGGATTTTTGTAAAATAATTTTATTTTTGGATCACTTCTATGTCCGATGAAAAAATACTCTTTTTAAAAATTTAGGTTACTGAATAATTAACTTTTATTTAAATAGAAAATTTTGCTTTTAAAGTCAAATATATATAGTAGAATAAATACAATATCTTGCAAGGACTATTATAAGCAATACTTTGTCACATTTTTTTAATTATTTTAAAATTAATGTGATTCTTCACGAAAATCTGAGAGGGCAATGAGTTGATCCAATTCTCTATTAATATAAATAAAAATTAAATTAAATACAAACGAAAGTAAGCGCATTACTTGAGGACAGCTAGACCGAATTGGCTAATAGTTTCAATAAGGTTTTATGGGATATTCATTTGGAATTACAATTATTTACTAGGTACACTCTTTGCCACAAACTCGACTTTGAAGGTCAATGAAAGCGCCGCACCGCCAACCATCCCACGGTGTGGACACTTCATGCCGGAAATAAACTTCTCACAAAGAGATACTCAAACAGTGTGCTCCTGAGTTGTGCCCTGTACTAACGCGACTTTTCGCACTTTCCTACCAATCTAGGCAAGTACCGTCTTCGTGGAAGACCGCCCATGTGCACCCGGTGCCCAAAAAGGGCGATAGATCAGACCCATCAAATTACAGGCCTATCGCTATTACCTCTCTTCTCTCCAAGGTTATGGAGCGTGTTATTAATACCAAGCTTCTCAGATACCTAGAGGAACACGATTTGATCAGCGACCGGCAATACGGCTTTCGCCACGGTCGCTCGACTGGTGACCTTCTAGTGTATCTGACACACCGGTGGGCTTCAGCCATCGAGAGTCAAGGTGAGGCGTTGGCAGTTAGCCTAGATATAGCAAAGGCGTTCGATCGGGTCTGGCACCGGTGTCTTCTCTCGAAGTTGCCATCGTACGGACTACCCGAGGGCTTGTGCAAATGGGTTGCCAGCTTTTTATCTGGTCGATCCATCAGAGTCGTCGTTGATGGCTGCTGCTCGGAAAAACTAGATATAAACGCTGGCGTCCCGCAAGGTTCTGTGCTGTCTCCAACGCTTTTCCTTCTGCATATCAATGACTTGCTGTCTATTGATGGCATTCATTGCTATGCGGACGACAGCACTGGAGACGCTTTCTACACAGGCCGTGCAAACATCCCTCGCTCCGCTGTGGTAGAAAGTCGCGAACAACTTGTGTCTCAAATCGAGAGTATTCTTTCCAGAGTCTCCGATTGGGGTCGGGACAATTTAGTCCAATTTAACCCCTCCAAGACACAAGTTTGTGCGTTCACCGCTAAGAAAACCCCATTTACTGTGGCCCCTCAATTCCAGGACACACCCCTAACCATCTCCAACAGTATTGGTATTCTTGGTGTCGACATATCCAGCGACGTCCAGTTCCGAAGTCACCTGGAAGACAAGGTCAAGCTGGCATCCAAAAAGCTAGGTGTGCTTAATAGAGCGAAGCGGTACTTCACGCCGGGACAAAGACTGCTTTTATATAAATCGCAAGTCCGTCCCCATATGGAGTACTGCTCGCATCTCTGGGCGGGAGCACCGGCATACCAGCTTGGGCCTTTTGACTCGGTTCAGAGGAGAGCTGTGAGAATTGTCGACGATCCAATACTCACAAGCGATATAGAGCCCCTAAGTCTAAGAAGAGATTTTGCGTCCCTATGTGTGCTCTATCGTTTGTACAATGGGTTGTGTTCCGAAGAATTGTTCGAAATGATGCCCACGGCCACTTTCTATCACCGCACCGCTCGCCATCGACAGCGAGTTCATGCTCACACATTGCAGCCCAAATGGTCCCGTACAGTTCGGTTTCAGAGGAACTTTCTCCCACGGACCATCTCGCTGTGGAATGAACTCCCTGCCGAGGTTTTCCCAGAGGGCTACAGTATGGGGTCCTTCAAAAGGGGAGTAAATAGGTTTTTAAAGGGTCGGCAACGCGCATGTGATGCCCAGGGTGTTGCAGGTGTCCATAGGCTGCGATAACCGCTTACCATCAGGCGGGCCGCATGCCTGATTGCCACCGACGTGGTATATAAAAAAAAATTTTACCCAAAAACTTGGAAAATCTGGAAAAACTGAATATGCCTTTTCCTATGGGACTTTTGTATGAACTCAAATATTTTATTGAATTTTATTGAAATTTGTACAGGACTAACGTCTAATTGGTCACATAGTTCATATCAAATAGTACTTGTTGGATATTATTTACCTTCTATTCAATTTTTACCTCTAAACAAGTTTGAACAACATGGTTTTCGTTTTTGCAACCATTTAATACTAAACCTTCTTCAAAGTTCAATCGGCTATAAATCGTTAATAAAGCGCGATTTTGAGATTAAATATTCAATGTGATAAATTTATTATATGATTTAATAACATGGGAAGCCTACGTGATTAACGTTTGATATTCATTTATTGTATTTGCAATAAAATTATAACCTAGCAATTAATTCCATGAATTAATTCTAATAATGACAGAAGCAATTATATAACTCTTGACATACAACTCCATGCTTTTTCTGTTGCATGCATAACTTTTGTTAATCTTAATATTTACTTCGTAACTAAAAATATGCTTTAAAATAATTGACTTATTTTTAAGTTAATGACGTTATTTTGAAATTGATATGCTGCCATTTTAGGATATCGCGTAAGACATGCATATATCAGAACCTTATGGATGGGGCACACATATCTCTGTGATTTAAAGCAACCAGTCGGACTTGACACACGGATCCGTAACATTTTTAGAAAAACTAGATGGTTACATTGTAGTATCAAGGGGATATTTTTATGTGATTTTTGTATTCGACAACAGTGCTTATAAAAGTTTAAACTAAATAAAGTTATTTTCATTTTATTTCATTAGAATTCTGCAAGCATTTAGGGACTTGAAAGAGGTAAGAGCTAGTCACTAGTTTGCGATATTAATGAAAATGCTTATACTTGTACAGTGTGCCCTAACTCCTTTGACATTAACAGCCCCCATTTTAATTTTAATAACTTAATTTAACAACCTTATCCTGGCGCTAAACAGGAAGACCTTACGCATACTGGTAAGGACCTCAAACTGGGGCTGAGTGAAACACACCTGCAGAATATGTATGGAGGCAGACAAAACGCCACTTCATCTTCTATGGGAATGTGGACCGCTCATGCACAAACACAGTATTCATCTAGGAAAACAATGTCTAGGTCTAGATGAAATAATCGAGTGTAACCAGCCAAAATTCTGCAGCTTATAACATCGGCAGGGTCTTGTGGTTTACTCTAATATAAAATGCGGCGGTTAGACGGCGATAGACCAGGATTGATCGCAATGATATCATATAGCCGCAAAAGCTAGTGTATATTTTTTATTATTTAGTGTGATTTGTCTATTTTTTTGAGAATACCATGAAATTGAAATATATTTTTTTAAATTAATTGATAAATTTTCGTTAATTATATGTTAATAACTTAAAATAATTTAATTGCGATATTCGGTCAGCCGTTCTTTTTTTATTTATATAAATATCTTTTAGAAAATTTACTATATCAACGGAGAAAGCAATACTCTGTCGGAAATGTGGGCAATTTCACGTACCATTTAAACTCCACGTCCATCGTTTTACGAATTCTATCATGATTAAGTACGCGCTGCAACAATTGTTTGTGTTTTGGTGTCCACGTGTGCGATACATTCGCATGGAAAAATAAAATATATTTTTACAAAAGCTACTAAAGCAAAACAACCATTTATATAAAGCTTGTTTATGGAGTAAGAGTAACATTGATATTTTGGAAAATAGTATTTTTTTAGTCGCTTTATCTTATTGTTTGAAATCAGTGTACATTGAAAATGTTTTATATTGTAATAGGTAGCCAATAGAAATTTTAGAATTAATTAATATAAAAGGTACAGTCAAATTATTTTAATATTTTTAAGATTTTTGGCAAACCGAATATTATTATTACAAGCGGCTTACCTTCGCCTCGAAAGTACCAATGATACTTTTCTCATGGTTTTTGTTGTCGGATTTCAAAAATGACTTTATTTTACAGTAAAATTGCTTAAAATTTGGCATTACCACTATAATGAATGGAATTTAAAAAATTAAAATAAAATATCGGTTTATCCTTGTAGTACTTTGTTATTTTTACCTATTCGTTAAAAATAATTATGATAATCGATTCACTGCTGGCGAAGAATACGCGTAGCATACATACAACAAACATACAACAGTATTAAGTACCTCCTTTATGAAGTTTGTCAAATTTTTACGAAAATGTTACGAATATTTCGAAATATCGAGTTTCATTTCCACAAAAAAATAATGTCATCCCGACCGATTTGGGCCACGACGACCAATCTAACTGAGACTAGCTAACTGGAGAGGAGATTTTATAGTGCACAAGAGTTCAAGCAGACATAAGTGCAGTCGCTATTCCTGTCACTCTCATACTCCGATGGGACGAGTACTCGACACGACCTGTGAGAGATCAGGCGCAGGATCGACGGCTTTATGTGCTCGTTGAGGCACGGGGGTGCAACATCGGAAACTTCCCAACTTCGCGTGGTCACTGAGAATTTCTTGACAGAAAAACTTAATAACTAACTTGGCCCGACCTGGACCAAAAAAAAATTGTTATACCCAGTTTACATCTCCAAAAATAACCTTTTATGGGACTAAATAGATGTACGAACGCTAAATAGATATGTAAATAAAATAGATGTGTAAGTATGTACATAGTATATGAATATACTACTAATAGATCTATTACTTAATTTTTTAAACTATTATGAAAAAAATTAAAATAAGTTTATATTATCTTATATCGAACTTAATTAACACCTCCAGTTAAATTTCTAAGAAATTAATTAAAATTCGAAGAAATCTATTGTTAACTGGCACGCCGGCTTATCCGCGATTGATGGAAAATACTGTTGAGGATCTTGTCACATGTTGAGAATCTTGTCGGCTCTTCTAAGCACTTATTACTCAGGACCAGTACATGGTAGTCTCTCCGCGAGCTGACTACAAAAAGTCTTTCTAAATACAGAAATATTTTTTTACTTCTTATATACCCCTTGTATATAGCCCTATACCTAGCACCTCGTTATTATATTTGTATCTTATATATATTAATAATACACAAACATACAGCTCATCTATATTTATTTAAATAAGCAAATAAATAGGTAAGTGTTAGTTAATGAGCATACGATTGATTTAAACTATCCTTACAATAAATGTTTTATTACTATCATAAATATAATACTAATGTAAGGTTTCAGTGTTTTAATGTATAATAAAACTTGATTATACTGACTACACTAATGACACAAATGCACAAATTACAGATACCTTTATAAACCAGCTAGTATAAAACCAAGGGTACGAAAAATAAATAAGAAAGAAATACAAATAAAAATAGAAAGCTAGAAAAACAAGAAAAGGGGAATTGGTTGGTGGGGAGTTGACACGGGTGGATGCTGTTTGCTCCTGGTACTTCTCTGATAGCAGAGTGGACTGTGGAGCAACCCCATGGTTGTGGTGGTCTGCTTCGGCAGACCTGCCGTCGGGGCGTCGTAGTTGAATGCGTAAGCGATCCTGCGACGCCCCATTAAGACGGGGGAAGGTTTTGTTGGGTTTTAGTGGGTAGTACTGGCTGTATTACGCCGGTGAGTCCCACACGTCGTGCGTAAATGCATTTCCCAACGTTAAAAAAGAAAAAAAAAGGGTGGATGCTGTCCATGATTTTTAACTGAAAAAAGAAAATAAGAAATTGTTGAGAATAAGTGTTTACTAATAAATTGCAACCAAATCTAGTTAAAATATATAAGTTTTGAAACATGATACTGATTTTTCTTGAGGTATCTTATACTAACAAATAACAACGGCTATTTGTAAGATAAGCTATCTAATTAACCTCTTCTTAAGATACTTATTTTACAACTCATATTATAACGATTATTATAGAAATATAAATTAAACTTAATAATAAATTCTATACACTTGTCTCGATAAAAAAATAAAAGCAATAAACAGAAAACAAAAAAAAACTTTAGTGTGGAGTCAGTCCATCAAAAGCAATTTTTAACTGAAAATATTCACATCAAAACGTGATTGACTTTGGAACAATTATAATATATTTTTGTAAATTTTATAAAACTTTATCTTATATATTTTTATAGCGACTTATAAAAAGACTAAGGAATTTATAAAGCTGAATGTAGAGCAGTAAAAGCAGAATAAACAGATTTTAACACAGACATTAGACATGGGAAACTCAATGTTGACAATCCACCTGCTGACATTGTCAGAGTCTTCTGTGATATTTGTAGTATCAAGAAAATCGTTTTCATATTTTCATTATCAAAGTTTTCCCATTTGCAAAAATATACAGCTTTTTCAAAGTTTACACAAGCATCAATAACTCTTTGACCAGTAAAGCAGTCTACAGCCACTTGCATTAATCCAAACGGTATTTGCATGTATGTATTCTCCAAGCCTCCTAGAAGAACTGCTGTTAAACTTACACTAAGTAAAGTAAATTCTACTGCGATCGCTCCACGAAATGCTAATTCTATTTGATGTAAAAGATTTATATTAACTATATGAATTTTTACAATTTCCTTCAAACGGTTTCTTACGAAATTATTTATCTTTGCTTTTCTAGTTTTTTCTTGATGTTCAAATTGCTCATCATCAAGTAAAATTTCAGTATTATTTAGTTTTTCAGCATCATTCCAGATGTCTAATATTTCTTGGCTTAAAGCGAGAATTTGGGCTTCTATATACCCCGTAATTATTATTAAAAAAGCGGTTATATTAGATGGTAAGTAGACAGTAACAACGATTCCAGCAGTAGTCAGTAGAAAAGCTATTTCATAATTGGGGCTTTCAAATATTGGGTCTAAGCCTGTAAATAAATTTCATGCTTACAAATATTGTAAAAATTTTTGCAAAATACTTTCTATTGGTAAAAAATATATTATTATAATCTTATCACGATAATATATTTTTAAAATGAAAGTTAACAAGTATCCATTGAAAAATAGTTTTATATTTAGAAACAATATTTAAGAGTATTTCACCGTAAAGAATAAAGTCATCTTCAGGCAAGTGGCGTCCAGGAATAATCAATGGTTTCAAAAAATAGACGACACCATTAGAGATAATGACGATCCAAAAAATCATAGCTCTTTTCTTAACGTTCCTCATTGTTCTAAGGATATTATTTTGAAACCGGCTGCCTGGGACAATTATACTGTCACATAGTAGACATTCAGCTGCTACGTCTCTTAATTTGTTTCTGTAAAAGATATGAGAGGAACTAAAATTGATTTATATACCACTAGCGGCTCACCCTCGCTTCGCTCGTGTTCGCCTCTAGGAAAACACAAACAAACCTATCCTATGGTAACCGTACATTTTCCGCTATGAAAAGTAGCCTTTACGTTAATATAGACTATAATCTATCTCTTTACTAAATTTCATCCAGATCCGTTCAGCCGTTTTGGCGTGAAAGAGTAACAAACATCCATACTCACAAGCTTTCACATTTATAATATTAATACGGATTCTTATTTCGGCCTGTGGTCTTTAAATGATGCGAATAAATGGAAGAAACTTAATGAAATGGATGAAAATTATTTATTATACTGTAGTGTTATTTATTTTATTCTATAGAATACGGAGAAAAAGATGCTCTCTTAATTTATCCCTTAACAGTAGTAAAAAATATAATAACATTTATCTTACTCATGCAGGTACATAAAAAATAGCTTGCAAACACCGATGGCACTAGCAACTCCAAGAGAAAAGACGATAATAGCAGATAATTTATTATTTGTTCTTCGACAATAGAAAAATGAGTACCAGGCCGTAGAGAAGATGTAAACGTACAAGTAGCTTATAATTGTTACAATAGTGATGATGTAGAACACAATTGGAATACCTGTAAAAAATAGAGCATTCTTAACATAATAGAAAGTATATTGTCGATAGAATTTGTTGGGGAAAAGTGCTATGAAAGGGACACGTTCAGAATGGGCCAAATTTAATTTACGGTACTAGGAACCAAGTAGTAGATTTTTGTTTTCTAAATTCTTACAACATTTACTCAGTAACAATATTGACGTAAATTTCATTTCCTTTTTAAAACAAAGAAAATGTCGAAGTGTAGTTTAATTATTTCGTGGGTAAAAGTATTTTATTGGTTTTTTGTGAAGTTTATTTATTAGACTATTTAAATAATATTTGATAGTTATTGTATCACTAACTGACCATTGGTTTAACTACTTAAAAGGTGAGTGCACAATAATACAAAGTTATTCGAAAATCTTTTTGCTGTGTGGATATTTTTAAAATAGTATGAAAGTCTTGAAAGGGACAACTAAATAGGCCTTAAAAGGGATGAATAAGTAGTAGTTGAGGCAGGACTTAAACGCCCCATTAAGACGGGGGAAGTTCTGTTGGGTTTTAGTACTGGCTTCTCCAGCCGATGAGTCCAACATATGTATGTATACAAACAACTAACATTTAAACGCATCGGCCAGATTATGATTAAGTATTGTATAATTATAGTATATATATGATATATTATTAATTAGAGGCGTATTAATAAACGATTAAAAACATAGGAGCTTCTATAATCATTGCTAAGAACTTGTTTATAATATGTCCCTTTCATGACCATCAATGTCCCACTCAAGATTTCAATTTTTTATTATAGCTCATTTATTGATCAAAATCTTACACTAAAAAAATTGATCCATTCATGGCACCTTTCCCATACATTATCCCTACATTATATTTTATTAATATTTTAAAAAAAATATAACCCTTATGCTTATATATTTGAAAATCTTACGTTTAGTGTTTCGCTTGTCGATATTCAGCGTAAGGACTCTCAACATGACGGATACGTTCCAAAGCATCGTGGGTAAGTCGCAATAGCCCAAACCGAATTTGCGTATTTGTTCCATAACTTCCTGCGCAAATATACTGTGAAATTCTCTATACATATTTTAATGAACCTATGTGTGAAAATGAAATTTCTGGAGAAAATGTAAAATTAAGAGTGCAAATCAAGTCTTATGACAATATTTAAGTATTAACCAATTCGTAACGCGCTTGCTGGGAAAATTAAGTATGTAATGAGAGTTCAAATCATGAGTTAATAGATTAAATATAAATATCATACAAATAATGGCCTTATCGTTAAAAAACCGATCTTTCAGGCAATCGTTTTGGCAAAGGCCAATAAAAATATAAACTTAGAAAATCCTATGGGACTTTTGTATGAACTCAAACATTTTATTAAATTTTATTGAAAATTGTTTACGACTAACGTCTAATGGGTCATCGCGTTTATATCAAATAGTACTTGTTGGATATTATTTACCTTCTATTCAATTTTTACCTCTAAATAAGTGAACATGGTTTTCGTTTTCGCAACCATTCAATACTAAGGCTTCTTCAAAATTCAATTGTTAATAAAGTGCGATTTGGAGATTAAATATTCGATGTAATGAATGAATATATGATTTAATAACAGGGTAAGCCTATGTGATTTACGTTTGAAATAATCTTTCGTTGTATTTGTAATAAAATTATAACCTAGCTGATGATTTCATGAATTAATTTTAATAACGACAGGGGCAATTATACTCGTATAACTCTTGACATACAACTCCACACTCTTTCTCTTGCGCGGATAACTGTTGGTAATCTTAAAACTAAAAATGTACGCTGGATTTAAAAATAATTATCTTATATTCAAATTATGACTTTTAAATTTTTAAATTGACATGCTGCCATTCTAGGATTCCTTTAAAAACTCTGATACTCATTTCACATTTAATCGTTTCGCCTAAGATATGTCCGACTGATTGCGGATTCCTTTAAATCAGACAGATTTAAAGAAATCCGTAACCAGCCGGACTTGACCCATGGCTCCGCGATATCCTTACTAATATTGTACTTAGAAAAAGTAGATAGTTATGTACGAGTACCTCATAGTAAGTTGTTAGTTTTTTCCACTTTTACACAGTAACAAGGGGATAGTTCCTGGAGATTTTTAACCCCTGACGCAAAAAGAGATATCTGTCTGTCTGTCTGTGCATGTGTGTGTGTGTGTGTCTGTGGCATCGTAGCTCTCAAACAGATGGACCGATTTCAATGCGGCTTTTTTATTTGAAAGCCAGATTCTTTGCGTTGGTTCTTAGCTATGTTTGGTTAATATCGGTCCAGCAGTGTAAGAGTATCAAGCTCTTTTCCAAAATGATATAAGGCTTTTTGGCGTATGATTACTCGATTAAGTGCATCACGCGTGCCAGTGTAATCGTTAAACGATAATTAATTTGCGTAGAGGATTTTTTAAATTTTAAATTTATAATTGTATTAGACAAAAGAGCTTATACAAATCTAACTAAAGAAAGTTATTTTATTTCATTAGAATTCTTCAAGTATTTGCTTAAGGACTTGAAAGAAGCAAGGGCTAGTAACTAGTTTGCGATATTAATGAAAATGCTTATACATGTACAGTGTGTCCTAACTCTTTGAATATTAACGTCCTCATTTTAATGATTCGTGATTAGTATAGATTATATTTAATTGACTTCTAATTCTGACTATAATATTCTTGATTAAACTGATTTTCAACCAACTTTACAGGTTTGGCTCAGTTTGTAGTTAGTTTTGTATAGTAAATTGTTTGATTAGTTATGTATAGTAAATGAAAACTACCAATCAGTTACTTTTTACTTTTTAGTGCTTTTGTTTGAAGTCGGTTTTTATTTTTTTGTTAAAAAGTTTTTATTGTACTCCAGTCATGGGTGTTTATATTTATATTTATAATATGTATGTATTTAAAGTTATATATGTGTAGTAGTGTATCAACTATGTGGTATCCATAACTCAAGCCTCGTAGCTTACCATGAAACTAGATAATGCTGCGTGTTAATGTCCCAACTTCTTCAAAACGAGGAGGTTCTCATTTCGGCTGTATTTTTTATTTATTTTTTTATGTTTGTTTTCTCAGAACTCTGTCATTTATTAACTGATTTGGAAAATTTTGTTTTGTTCGAAAGTGTATACTTTCAGATGGATCCTATTCAAATGTCTGTAATTAATGTATGTTATTTATTATCTTTATATATATGTACTAGCATTGCCCGCGGCTCCACCCGCGTTCAGATGACCAAAAACCAAATTCTTAGGTTTTACATATTAGTATACTCTTACAATGCAGTTTTTGTATTTTTTGTCAAAAATAAGATAGGTATATTTCCCGCGATAAAAAGATGACCCGGATAACCAGCTACTATCGTACCAAATGTCATCAAAATCCCTCCAGTGGTTTTTCCGTGACGCGGTAACAGACAGACAGACAGACGGACGGACGGACGGACGGACGGACGCACAGACAGACAGACATACAGACAGACAAGAATTCTAAAAACTATAGATTCGGCCTCTGTATCGATAATAATGTCTATTTCAATAAGATTTTCCAAAAAATATTTAATGTTTAGATTCGACTTAGAATTTTATTATATACAGGGTGTCCTGTTTTCAATGGATAACCTTGAAGTGGCTTGTAGTAGAACTCTTAGCCGTTCAGAAAAAAATACAAAACCAAATATATTGTAAGTAGTACTTAAGATATGATTTTTTTAAATAAAAGACTACACATTTTTATCTTATTTTAGATTATGGAACTCTACAACCACAAAATGAATGAATTCCACCGATTTTTGTTATTATTTTAATGTACACTAACCATGCCAATAGATAGGTAGTAAATAGTAAGACTGGCTATTGCACTTTTTTTTTTAAAACGACTTGAATTAACATTTTCGGCGAAAAATTTGTAAAAATGTCATTTTCGACAAAGTTTAAGCACCTTGGGTGTAAAAAAAATGTATGAAAACATAAGTGACCAATGATTAAAAAAAAATACGTGTTTACAGTAGATTTCAAAATAGTATAATTCATTATGATATCTGATGTAAATCGTGAATTATTGCAATTAATGTACAAAGGGAGTAAATTTGACTAAATATCGAAATATGTATTATTGGAACATTTTTTACATTAATTTGTACCTGACTATTGGTGTTCATTGAAAAATATCATCAGGCATTAATAATGAAAAAATAGCTTATTTAAATAAATTAAAACCAAATAATGTTCAAACAGAAATTTAAAAAACAGTTAATGCACAATGTTTTAAATGGTTCGTTATGATTTTGAAATCGATCATGTGATGTGATATTTACTACCTGCGCGCACCCTTTGCACCCTTATCTTTTGTTCATGTTAGACAAAGAGGGTCTAAGTTGGCTGAGCAAGAGGAAGTAAACGTAAAAAAAAACAGGTAAGGGCTCAGTGCGTCACTCGACTTGCTTGATTTCGCATGTATTTTCTCGTTTCGGTTTGCAATTTTTGTGATTTACTTTGTACCAGTTTTAAAACGACGACCTGGCTATTTTACTGGACTATTCGTTTTGTTTACTGATTTGAACTTGTTTTTTTTTTGGTGATATTTACGACGACTTGGCTTGCTACTGAATGAACTGAACTATTCAGTTTGTGGATCAAAATGCCACGAATTCAGTATGAACCACAAGAATATGCAAACATGCATTTTGTATATGGGGAATGCAGAGGCAATGCAAACGCAGCCGCAGCTCTTTATAGGGAGAGATACCCTAATGCGCGCCACCCAGATTATCGCGTATTTATAAGAGTCCACAGTTGTTATTCAGAAGGAAGAATACCTGGTAGTGGTGTCGGTGGGTCTAGCGCTGGAAGAATAGCTAATCCTGATTTCGAAGACATGGTGCTTCAGGAAGTCGAGCAAGATCCGTCGACTTCTATACGAGCAGTAGCTCGACGCACGGGCATTTCAAAATCTACGGTGCACAGTATTTTAAAAAGGTACAAATTGCACCCATTCCACGTTACACGCGTGCAAACTCTCCAACCAAGAGACTTTCATTCTAGATTGCGTTTTTGCCGACAAATGCTAGCAAAGATAGAAGAAGACCCGCAGTTTTTTAATAAAATTCTGTGGAGCGATGAATCAACAGTCAAAAGAGATGGGTATTTGAATCTGCACAATCTACATAGCTGGGAATTAACAAATCCCCATCTCGTGCGTGAAGACAGGTCACAAAACCAATTTAAAATAAATTATTGGACTGGAATATTAAATGGAAAAATAATAGGCCCATTTGAACTAACGGGCAATCTAACCGGTCAAAGTTATTTAGAGTTTCTTCAAAATGTTCTTCCAAATTTATTGGAAGAGGTGCCCGAGGAGCTAAGGGAATCATATTGGTTACAAAATGACGGATGTCCTGCGCATTATGCTGTTGCTGTTCGTACGTATTTAAATAGAATGTACCCACGCAGATGGATCGGGCGTCTGGGACCGATTTTGTGGCCTCCACGTTCACCGGACTTGAATCCGTTGGATTTTTTTTATTGGGGTTGTCTTAAAGAAGAGGTGTACCGCAAGCCGATTAGGTCCTTAGAAGAATTACGTAGCCGTGTCCGGGCAGCCGCATCAAAAATAAGTGAGCGACGGTACACGAGGCTACTCAGAAGATCATTTGTTCGAAGATGTAGGGCCTGTATCACAGTGGGTGGTAAACAATTTGAACACTTATTATAAATAAAATAAAGTCGAATTAATGTCGAATATTGTTTTTTATTAAACCCCCAATGACCAGGTACAATTTAATGTAAAAAATGTTCTAATAATACATATTTCGATATTTAGTCAAATTTACTCCTTTTGTACATTAATTGCAATAATTCACGATTTACATCAGATATCATAATGAATTATACTATTTTGAAATCTACTGTAAACACGTATTTTTTTTTAATCATTGGTCACTTATGTTTTCATACATTTTTTTTACACCCAAGGTGCTTAAACTTTGTCGAAAATGACATTTTTACAAATTTTTCG